ACCTATTACTTGTTCCTAATTTTTACAATGTTGAAGCAAGGGAAAAGGTACTAGGATTCAGTGGCACTGGGCATGTTACAGAAGTGATGTCACACCCTTGAAAACCTAGACAGTGTGAAATTTGCCCACTGCAGAGGACCCTGTCTTTCGTTGTCATGTGCTCTGAGCCCGGAATAAGCCACGATAGCATCCCAGCAGAAGCAGATCCTCAATCAGACATGAGTGTTTGCTCCTTATCGATGCAGAATTTTGTTTTTCATAAGTTGGTGCAAAACAGTGTATATCTTAATCTCTAGTGGGGAACGGCAAGTCTTGAAAACTTACTAAATGCAGTGCTCTGTGCTCATGTTAGATGGAGACAAAAGTTAGATTACATTTATGGACTAATACATAATTGAAAGCATTGTGTGTGTATAACCCTCACTTGACAGCAGTTCCTGTGCTCAAAAAATAAACTGATCATTCTGCACCAGTGTGCTTCACAATGTTTGCACTCAAGGTGTTGTAGCACCTCTCTGAAACCTCTACCTCTAGCTTGGAGGAGTTCACAAAATGTAATTAAATTGAAATTTATTTTTCAGTGCACGTCAGTCTTGAGTTATTTGAAATATCTGAATTTATTATTCCCTCACCTCACTGTTACCTTGTAAAATCCAATTAGTAACTCTTGACATGTTGAAGGTCTCTTCCCAAACTACCCACTCTCAGGTTTCATTATATTTAGTTCAAGGTCTGCATTTCACAACTCTGATGTTCAGCAGCAATTAAATGAAATGCTCTGTGTGTTTGGCATTGCTGGAATAACTTGAAAAAGTAACACAAATGTAAAAATAAATGAAAACTACAATTGCAGCCCCCTGCAGACACTCGGGCAGCACTTTTGTCTTAGAAGGGCTTAGAAGTTTCTGGATTTAGTGCCTTTCCAATCTAATTACCCTACTAAACAGTCTTAATTTTTTTCTTAATAACATAGTTTTTTAAGGTCTTTGATTATTCAAAAAATACTTCATTAAAGGTATGATTATCTTTGATTGTTCCTATAAAATACCTTGGAGCCTTTTAGAACATTTTAGAAGATCATAGGTTTTACAGTCATGCACTTAATTAAATTAGACAATCTCTTTAGGTTTTGCTCTAGTAGGACTCCGAGCAGCTACACAGCTGGAGAACCCTGATCTACATTTTTGGGGGTTGAACCCTACTCTCAATATAATAATTAGGGCACATTTAGAAGAATGAACTATGAATCAGTCAGGAGAGACAAAGAAATTAATAACCCCTGAGTCATAGTTGCTTGACTAAGACTTAGGCTCTTTAGTATTTGTCTTGTGTGGCATTTTTGTATCAAAAAGCAATCTAGCCATTTCTGATCTGTCTCAATTTACACTCAGTCGAAATTAGTTATTCACAACACAGTGTCTTGTGTTTATTGGAATAGCTGTGGGATCAGTGCTCGACTTTTAGTAGCCTCGTGCTCATTCACCTGCAGTGTTATAGTCTCGGTGTGTAGAGCACAGCTGTCAGCCTGTTTGCTTGAACTGCTCCTTGTTAACCCTGATTCCTCCCTGCAGTTACTGAAGTGAGCAAATTTGATGCTGTCGCTAAAGAAGGTAAATCCCCTTGATAGCATCTCTGCAGCTGGCTGATTAGAAGCCCACAGTGCTTCCAGTCTCAGTTTGCTTTAGAGAGACAGAGCAGCACTTTTCAAAGATTCTTATTCCAGTGCCCTGTGTTTTTTTTGCCTATTCATTCTAAACAGTTTCAACGTCAGTGTTGTACCAAGGGACGCTAGTCTGTCTGGGACATTGGTATGTGGGATGAAGTATTACTGTTAGAAAAAGAAACGAGACCTATGGGTTATGATGGCTTCTATTTATGTCTTTTGAAAAAAGTGCATTTCTGCTTTAGTTATAGGGTTTTGAAATCTTTCAGGGTCCCAGTGGTCATTCTGGTCTTCTAGTAGTTCAAGTAGGGAGCTGCGTCAGCATGGGTCGGCTGCACAGGAACAGGAAACGGGTTTATCCCATGCTGAAAAAAAAAGGGAACACAACATTTCGGCTGTGAAGCCTTCTTCAGGCGTGAGAAAGACAGGGCAGACAGCAAAGATTAAATAGCACAGGAGAACAAAAGCTGGGAGAGGGGAGGAGGAGGGAGAAGGAAGGGGCAGAGAGGCCACTCGGGAAGTGCAAAGTGGAGAGGGGTGAAGAAAGGTGTGAAGTCAAAACCTGCATGTGAATAGAGAAGATTACACGAAAATAAGTCTCTCATTAAGAGAAGGGGGAAGGTGTGAACCTAGTTTCAGGATGAGTTTTGTTTCTGTTGTTTTTCTGCTATGGGAGTTGAGAAACCCTTCTTTGAGAGCAGAGACAGAGAGATTAGTGTGACCGTGGGACGTCTGAGGTGAAATGAAAAACTATGGGCCTAGAGAAATCTTTAATTTTCGCTGCCCACGGTTTGCAAGACATACAGTAAATCGGGTTGCTGGAGGGTACAGGATGTCGTCTGGGCGATCTGGAATTGACCTGAGGGGCCCTGAATGGGTGCGTTAGATATGTAGTTGCAGGTGCAGTTCAAGCAAACAGGCTGACGGCTGTGCTCTACACACCGAGACTATAACACTGCAGCGAGTTCTGTTGCAGGGGAAGGCGCCTGGTGGGGATGATTGCGGAGTGCAGTCATGGGAGCTGTGAACAAGAAGTTTTCCATGGATTGGGTGGTCGGGGAAAAAAGGGTACCGATGGAGGGATTGTCCTGTAAAATGGAGTAGTTGCCAAAAATGGTCCTGGGGATAGAAAGTGTTAGGGTGGTAGGGAGGCGGTGGTAGGCGGTTGTGAGACCGGGAGTTCTAATCGAGTTGATGATCCTGGGGCTGTTTTGGATGAATCTGTGGGTTTATAGTAGACCGAGGTAGAGAGAGTCGTGGATGGTCAATAGATACATTTGTCTAGAAACGGAAGAGTGGTGGAAGATATGAGAACTGTATATTTGAGGGATTGGTGAAAGTTAGTGAATTGATGCAGGAAGTGCTCTAGCTGGTCATTAGAGCATGTAGCAGCACCAACACAGTCATCGATGCATCGCTTGTAGAGGTCGGGGACAAAGCCAGTATAGGAAGCAAAGCATTCTTATACCCAGCCGACAAAAATATTGGCATAGCTAGGTAGCATCTTAGTGCCCATGGCAACTCCACTAACCTGCTGAGAAAGGTTATTAAATGAGAATACATTGAGGGCGAGAACCAGTTCTGCAAGACGCACTCGGGTGTGGATGGGTGGATCAAGCACTGTGCGTTTGTCTAGCATGTGCTCGAGGGCTGCAAGACCACAAGGTCATTGTGGGGAATGGCGGTGTAGAGAGGCGTGATACCCATGGTAACAATGTAGCATTCTGGACCCTGAAATTGGAAATCATTGAAAAGTTGGGGGGCGTGGTTAGTATCCTTGATATATGAAGGAAGCATTTCAACCAGCGGTCTCATAAGGCTGTCGAGAAAAGCAGAGATGAGTGAGGTTGGACAATTGCATGCTGAGACAGTGGGGCGTCCAGGGGTGTGGGGTTTGTGGATTTTGGGAAGGAGGTAGAATTGGGATACCTGGGGATGTTCGAGACAGTTCACCTCCTGGGGGAGCTCCTGGGTGGATACCACTTCCTTCTGGTGGTCAGTAGTAAGATCCCATTGGAGAGGACGGTAGGCAGGAGTATCAGTTACTTGTCTGGAAGCTTCCTTAATGTACAGGTCTTTTTTCCCCACACTACAACAGCTCCTCCTTTTGTCCGCTGGTTTGATGACTATCATCCCTATTGCGGAGAGATTGGAGCGCCTGAATTTCTCCTTGGGTGAAGTTGGACCTGTGTTTCTTGGGTGTGGAAAGGGTCTTGGGAACTTGAATGCTGCATTGGTTAATAAAAAGTAATTAACTGGTGGAAAACAGCTGGAAGGGGAGTCAAAGAGTCCATTCTGGTCTCCTGGCTATGATGTGACAGGATTGTCGTGCTTTTTGGGCAGGCTTTGGCATATTTGTTGTGCAGCTATATTAAACATAGAAGCAAAATCAGAATCGCTTGTAGCTGCCAGTTTCCTCTTTTATTTCTTATTTATCTGCAGGGAGACCCTCAGGCCATACCCATTATACTGTGAGCATTCACACAATCTATACAAACTTAGTGAAAGATGATAAAGTATCTGTAAAATATAAAAATGACTCTTGACTTAGTGAGTTGATCTACCACAATCGAATCTTGTGAAATGAAATTGAAAAGGGATTAAGAGACCAACAGCATGTATTTTTACATTTTGCGAATGTCTAGCCCAGGCCAGCATATTGCGGAGATACACATCTAAATCCTTTTCCCTAAACAAATTCTGTGATGAGCAGCATTCCTTTGCAGCCAGCAGATGCTGGATGTTGAAACTGCAGCTATCTGTAGAGCCATCGCTTTTGAAAGAATGACAGTTATGGATCACCGATAATATATGCTGCAAATATGTATTGGAAATATGTCTGCAGGAGAGATGTTAGGGATTTGCCAGGTCTTCCACATCTAAAGTTCCACCTAGAAGCCGTAATATTCTGTTGCAGTCACAGATGTCTTTGCCGTTTTGCAGAGATGAGGCGTGAGAGGCTGAGATTTCCACCCAAGAGCAAAGCCTGCAGATTCCAATTGCTGATTAGCAGCTGGCCGGTGGCTTTCCTGTAATTAATCCCTCCCGACTCTTAGTGCTCGTCTCCCTCTCTGAGAAAATGCCCTGCGCTGCCAAGTTAAATTGAGTTATATAGACAGTTAGCGCCTGCATACGCTTAACTTCAAAATCCCAAAATAGTGGTCAGGATCTGCTATCTCACCGGGTCTTAGCAGACAAGGTAAAATCCTTGCCTGTCCATCGGAGATAAAATTCAGAACTCTTGACCGTTCAACTTGAGCAAGTGCTGGCGTTCGGCCAGCGTTCTAACTTTTAATAATGCAACAGGTCCTTTCAGGTTATCTGTGCTGCTTGCTGTCTTTTCCCATGGAGGAGCAAGAGGGATTTTTGGTAGGATGAGGTAGAAGAGTTTGTATGTAATCCTCTAGCTCGCAGAATCTTTAAAAAAGCATAGTTCATTTCTTGGTGTGTATAACAAAACTGTTTAATTCATGAAATAAACCTTACAAAAAGAGGAAAAACGTCAAGAAGCAACCGTTATACAACCTGAGCGCAAGAGTTCTATGTATTAATTCCACTGCCATCCAACATGAGTTCCAGCCTGGGTAACCCCAAACTGAAGGTGTTTTTCAGAGGAACTACAACGTCTAGAAGAGAGAAAGCCCTTTTTGTACAAGAATAAACTGGAGGAAGCAAACCCTATATGCCCATCTGAATAATAACTACAGTCTATCTGTTTAGTCCGAAGGTCTTAAAGCATTTATAAAAGAAAATAGTGTTCTACGTGATAACCAATACTATATTCTGTTTGTCCATCTTCTTCCTGCTGCTATTATGTGTAATGTAATGAGTGCTTGTCTTAGGAATTTCGAGCAGAATCTTTCAGCTAATTCTGTGTTATTAGTGGACCTAAAAAACGGTTATTTACACTGTTGAGTTTTGGTTTATTGTCACAGTGTTTCGTTGCTTGAGTTTGTCAGAACGTTGCAAAATGTAAAGAATGATGTTGTCACAGGTGTAGTTGCCATGATACTGATGAAGGCGGATTTTCTTATACTTCTATTGAAGCGAGAGGATTCATGGCTTGCATCTGATTGATTAGAAAACCTAAGTCAAAATGGCCCGTTTCCTTCTTTTCTTCTGCAGAACTGCAGAGTCTGTGTGCAGTGTGGCACCAGGACGAGCTCTCAGTGGCACCACAACTGTTTGCTGTGTGACAGCTGCTACCAGCAGCAGGATGCGGGCATGTCCTGTCCACTGTGTGGGAAGGCCTTGCCTCCAGACGTTCAGAAGGACATGCTCAGTTGTCAAGTGTGTAAAAGGTAAGTGGATAGGTGTGCAGAACCCCCCAGCAAGTCTTCCTTTTAACAGACAAGTCCGCTTTGCAAAGAAGGTGTTGGTTTAAGTGGTGTTAGGTGTTAAAATTGTGTTGTATATGTTCCCGCACAATAGGATTAACAGATTTGCAATTAAATAAATAGTAAGCCCGGAAACCTGTTTGCAGCTGTATTTACAAACGACAGTGTGCTTTATGACGGTAAGGTCACAGAGAGCACTCCCCTTGGGGAAAATGGAATAGTTTGTGTTTTGTGGAGATTGCTTACATGAGGGTATTTAAATAATGTGAATGTGAACACATTGCATTTGGAGAAACTGATCTTGTAGCCGGGTTCTAAGAAAGCTCAACCTGTTAATTGTCCTAAATCAATTTGCCCAGAAGGTCAGTAGTGCTTCAGGTCTATCGCAGCCTACATGGAGGACGGTATCTAGTGTCAAAGAAACCTTGGACGGCATGTGAATCCTCATAGGTGGGAATCTTGTATTGCTTCCAACATGGATCACACACACTACTGTCTTGCTTTCATTGCAGACTCCCCATTCAAGTGTTAATTGGCATAATGATTTTTACTATTATTTCTGTTCAATAAATGTTGGTGCACTTGCAGCAAAAAGCTTCTCCTAAATATGACTGAATTCATTTGTTATAAATGTTTGTTTGATGCTCTCTCTCTATATTTTTAATAAAGCAGGTTTGTGTCTTGGAGTGCGGCTGTTATTATGCAATACTATTGTTTTTCTGTGCTTTTTTTTATGCTATCGACCTACAGGTTTCAGGAGCTGCTCTTTCCCCTGAGAGCTTTGCTGTGGCAGCTAAGCAACAACCACATAGTTGTGTGTGTGTGTGGTGCGCTTAAACCCTAATGGGACATGAAAATTTAAAAAATTGAAAAGTGTATTTAGCTTCACCTTTTAATAAGCCGTTCATATTAAACAATGAAGGTTTACTTTTCATTTTAGAAAATTGGAACTGTGTACATGTACAGTAGATTATGCCTGTTGTATGACATTTTTCCTCTGAAAAACATCTTTGTCTTAATGTCTGTTACCTTGAAACACTGCAACTTATACTTCACAGTTTACATTTTGTGTATTTTAACTTCTTTATCTTCTTCTAGTGGCTGTTTAACCTCTTTTCAGCAAGTGATTACTGAAAGTAACTGGTTTTCGTGTTTGTATTTTCAGTGTTGAATGTCCTGTTGCCTTAACTTTCTTTAAGGAAATATCGTACCGGTATATTACTTGAAGGTTGCGAGGTGCTGCTTTGTCCAGAAACTCACGAAGATGACTTTTCCTCATGCTTTCTCCTGTAAGGTGGATACACCTGGAATGCGAGAGGCAGGCCGAAGGGGAAAGTGACATGCACGTGAAAGAAGACTACGTCTGCACAATTTGCAAGCAGGTTGAACTGGAGCTGACTCAGATGCAGGCCGGCGAGCACCAGGGCAACACCGGGTCAACTTCAGAACCTGGAACAGGTTGGTGACAAGTGCTGGAAATCGTGGCTGGTGGAGCTGCTGTAAAAAAAAAAGGGCAATCACTTTGGTCACAATATATATACATATATACACAGTAGGTCAGTGCTAAGCAAATAAAATCAAGATGAATGAACCGTCTTGCCTATTTCCATAAAGAGATTACAGTGTGGAGCACTAGGCTGTGGCCATTATGTATTTCACTTGGAGCGCTTTGCCTTAACGCTAGCTAGAGTACAATGGCTAAACAGAAGGCAGACCAAAAGAAAAGCCGTGGAGTGAGAGAAGGCCTTGGGCAAAACAGACTGCAGCAAAGGTTTGGGGTTGTGAAAGATGGGTGTGCTGGGGGGGGGTGGAGGGAGGCTGGTAAAAGGAGGAGCTGAATTGTTTATTAACCTTGGTAGACATGACCTTAAATTTCTTTCTCATTTCTTCAAATGAGTTTTTTATTACTGTCTTTGAAGTGTCTTTTTGTATAAATAGCAAGGTCATGTGAAACTGGGAGAAAAATAAGGTGCTTGAAATATTAAAGAAAAGAAGAGTGCTATACCACAGAAGATGAACGTATGCCTATGACTGCATATATATTTGTAACTGGCTTGTCTGTAATTGAAATGAAAGGTTTCTGAGCAGCAGGGAATTAGTTGCTTGGTGGAAATAGGCTGTCTTGGGTTATTCTGCCCAGACTTTCATTTCCTTTGTTTCATTTTCACATTATAAAGCAAGTTCCTGGTGTGCTAATCTTCCTATAATGTGGCATATAAATCAGTTCATATCTGTATTGTTGATGGCAGGTGACCTGTACATTGACAGGCCTAAGGCCTTTCCCAGCCCTCCTGAGGTTTTTGGGATATGTACTGTATTTTGGTATTTGGGAATAGAAAATATCTCAAAATGGTTGTTTTTAAGGTGATATCTGAGGAGTGAGTGTTATTCAACAAGTCACCTTTATATTGTCCTTTCACACAGGGTGTTTCTTGTAATAAAACATACCATGGATGATGGTGTCAAGAACTGATATAGAAAATTGTATGTTAAGCAATTTGAGTTTGTTGAGAACTGCTCTATTTGTGCTTTGTTGAAACAGAAATAAGTGGAAAAAACAGTTACACAAACGAGGTGAAACTCTTACCTGTTGGCTCCTCCTTAAATGTGCTCACAGCTCCCCCACATTCAAAGGGCTCGAATTGATGATCCTTTGCTTAGACATTCAGGGGATGTTCTTCTTACCTTTACAAAGAAACAAATAACAGTATTTTTAGGTTTGACTGAAAGTTGGTGTGAAAAATGTGACTTTTCCTTTTTAATGTCACTTTTCTACTGGATTTTTTAAGCTGGCATTTTGATGGTTATCATCCAAATTGCTCTTTAAAATCAACCTGAAAATACTTAATGAACATTTTGTTTACAAAATGTGTCTTGTGCAGTTTGTCTTGTGTAGATGTGCATCTCCCAAGTGTCATTTCTTAATTAAGGCTCTTTGCTAAACAGGGTGGAACAATCCATAGACTTGAGTCTTTTTACCCCAAAAAATAATGGGTTTTTAAAACTATTGGAATGAAAACTTTCTCTGAGGATAGATTTGCCTGTGGTTTCCATTTCCAAGACACATTTCGTTATTCCCAGGCATAATTTCAGCATATATGTGTAAAGATTAACTGTACCTTAGAAACCCACTTGGACAGATCATCATGGGAGTAACCTTCCCCCCAATGCCAGGTGAGATGTGGCTGTGTTGATCTGAGTCAGGATTTAGCACAGAGCCCTACCCCAGGAGCGTTCAGGCTTATAGCTGACCTGCTATCTGATGTATATGGATTGGTGGGGGATATGCGATTTTAAAGGAGTTCCATTCTTTTTTTTTTGCTTTCAGAAGCAGGTAAATTATAAACAGGTTTGCCACAGACATCTGATCTCGGGCGAGCAAAGTGAAGGGAAAAGAAACCAGTGCCAGGATTCTTTTTTGTATGTCAGCACTAATGTGCCAGTCACTGGAGACAGAGTTTGAATGGCTTTTGTGTCCATGATAATCCGATCCTCCCAGTTTCTTTGCTGTCTTCCATGGCCAAGCTGGTTCGTATTTGAAAAACAAGTTCCTGTTCGATCAGGATTCAATCAAGTCTTTTTTTTTTGTCGTCTTCTGTGGCCTACAATCGTCCACGCGAGTACATTTTGCAGGCAGGTACTGCGTCCTTTGCTTTTGTTCTGCGGGAGACCAGGTCACCTGTCAAATCGTATGTCAAGTTAGGATCCAGCCTGAGCTGATTAATAAACTCTGATACGGGTGAGCACAGTGCAGTGGCTGCTCTGTATGGGTGATGCAGTGCAAGGTGTAGGACAGTTATGCAATGTGCACAAATAATTTTTTATTAGATCACGTTATTCACTGTGTGACGCAGCCAAGAAATTTGGACAGCATGAAGTGTGCTCAAGCTGCTGAAGGAAGCTGGTAATCGCTTCAGATACAAGAGCTTCGGTGTGCGTTCCGCACGTGATAGCTAGAGAAATCGGTGGCACTGTAAAAGAGAGCTGGCACAGGCAGAGCATCTGTGAGACAAACTAGCGTCAATTGCGAAACCAAAAGATTTTGGCTATACCATTTACTTAATGACAATACACTGACAGCTGCAGCATCTAAACTGTTGGAGACTGACTTTTACTCCCAGCATTGAGCCAAAATAAATCAGAATCTGAGCACCCTTTATTAAAAAGGGAACGTATTTGAAGAGATTATACTGCCTTACCTAACGAGACCAGTAGTCTCCTATAAATGACGGGGAGACTTACATTACCCCAACAGCTGCTGTGTCCAGGAGTCAGTAGACCTAGACCTTGGGCCAAATGGAATTGAATGGGAGCTGAATAAGAGGAAAATAAGATCAAAATGGGAGATGCAAAATAGACGTAAATAGCGAACTACTTGGGTTTGACCAGAATTAGTTTCCTGTATAGTCATGGTATTATGGTAAATGTATGTAGTTCCTCCAAAATATGCCACCTGAACAGAGGATCTGCTGCAGTTTTTTATAATGAGAGAAGACGGGCAGTTCAGATTGATTTCAACTAAATTTCAAGGGTTTCATCCATTTCATTTCTAGAGGTTTAAGTTCACGTTTGACCCCAGTCCTGAAAACAATGCCTTGGTCATATTTTCTATTTCCAAAAGTCACAATTTATTGCGGATTCGCCAGCCCTTTTATAACATGTAATGTAATATGTCTGTATTGCAGTTGTGCCAATAAGCAGCAGGTGAAACAAGTGGTGAGTCTGTGAACTCTGAATCTGGGCGTCTGGCCTGGCAGGACTGCAGAGTAACATAAAAACATTAGACTGCGGAAATGAGGTGGATACTGTCCAGAGCTCATCTTCCAGAGAGCCAGATGTGAAATCTCTGGGGGGGGGGAATCCACGTTTAAGATGAACACACTGAAAGCAGGTTTCACCCCACATACGTTATTTACATCCAGCTCAAGTCATTGCCGCTGAATCATTTTTCTAGAAATGTATCTTGCTCATCATCCTTGAAAAATCCATAAAGCTGTCAAATTCACATTTTATACGTAGTTCTATTAATAGTTGTATACAAATTGTTTAAAGCAATCATTTGACAACCTAATGTCAAAATATTCACCATGCCTTTCAACAGCAGAGAAATCAGAAAATATTATTTTAATTGACGGAAAAGTCAGGTCTCATTCCTGTACAAGGAACCATTTCAATGATATATTTTTCTCACAAAAATCAAAATTCAGTTCAAGAAGGGTTAAAATCTAAATACAGCACCGATATTCCCAGCTCCTGCGTCCACTTCACTTCGTCGTTCTTTGTTTCTGCTGTAGCAGTGCTCTTCCAGAGTCTTAGAAGGCAGATTCTCTGCCACTGTGGTTATAAATAGCTCCCAGGGCTAAGCCAGTCTGGCTTTGATCTCGCCATTGAAGTCTGAAGAGCCCAGGAGAGCATACACTCAGCAGGCAATCAGCTAAACTTGTTTATTTCTCTCGAGGTGTATGCATTTTCCCAACACACACTTACACTGTGGATTGCAAAATCACAAGATGCAACAGAATGCCTCAGGTTTTAATGGTTTTTAAGTGAGTGCATTTCAATATTCAGCTTTTTAGCACCCGGGTAGCTTAGGTTGTAGCTGCCATGACTGTGGACAAATAATTCTGTACACTTATGTAGTTCTTTTTTGGACACTCCACTCAAAGTGCTTTCCAGGTAATGGGGATCCCCTCCACCACCACCAATGTGCAGCCCCCCAGCTGGAATGCACTAGCGCGCTCCCCACACATCAGCTGTCAGTGGGGAGGAGAGCAGACTGATGCCAGATCATAGAATTGGAGGCCATGATTGGTTAAAGTCAATGGAAATTTAGACAGGATTCCAGCATAACACCCCTCCTGTTTTCGAGAAACGCCCTGGGATTTGTAATGACCACAGAGTCAGGACCTTGGTTTTAAGTCTCATCTGAAGGACGTAGCCTTTTTACAGTGTAGGGTCCCCATCACTATACTGGGGCATCAGAACCTGCACAGATTGCAGGGTGAGCGCCCCCTACTGGCCCCACTACCACCTCAGAGGTCTCCCATGCAGGTACTGACCAGGCTCACACCTGCTGAGCTTCAGTGGGTTGCCAGTTGTGACATGGCACTGGCTGCACAGGGCTTCTCTCTCTGTTCCTGCTACAGCACAACATGGGGGGTTTTCCTTTCCCTGACACGTGAGCTGCTGCTTGCATGTGCTCTGAGGAAGGACAAGAAGCAGAGAAAGTTCACTTGTGAAGAGATTAAGCAAGTGTGACAGAATGTTAGAAAATCATTTCTTGGTCAGATGGATAAAATCTTTTAAAGGGACTTTTAGTCTGTGCACAATTAATAAAGAAGACTCAGAATTAATTATGAATTGCTTTTAGAAACTTGAATTTTGTGTTAACTTCCAGCGTACATATTGTTGATTTATGATCAGTTATTTTTTTGAGAACTTGATAATTATTGGTTAATATGGTGTCCTTGTGAACAAATGGTAATTTTTTTTCCTAAAGGTTTTTTGATATATGTGATAATTTTCAGGTGTTTTCTGGAAAATTAAAAGTTTGTTGCAACTTATGTTTAACACCAATGTAAATGTAACAAATTGTTAAGTTAAGGTATCAATTGTATATTAATGTTAAACAAAATATAACTTATTTTAGTCCAGCATATTGTTCTCTCAGAGATATGTACTGATAAATACCGTATGCCCTGCTGATTTTGTGAAATTCAAGGTTGCTTACATTGGATCTAATAAGGTATCCAACGTGACAGAAAAGTCTGGAAGGGTTACTTAACCTCTTGCAAAAACCACATTTGCTAAGGCTAACACTCTAAACCACTGTTTTTTTTTTTATTTTTCCCTGAATCATCGGAGAATTCCATCTAATGAGAAGTCTTGAGAATTTATGTTGTCATGGTTATTCCTCCCATCAGTGTTCTGCTTATTATGCAGCTCTTAACACGAGAGGGTTTCAGCTCGGATAACTTGTGTAAGGCAGTGGTTATCAAAAGCAGCCGCCTGGGCTTTTAGAGCCTTAGTTCAGAAAGGGGGGCGGGGGGAGGATGTCGTTTCTCTTGTAGAGGTGAAAAGAGAGCAGTCCCATCTGATTGCTTTGTTTCTAGATTTTATTTTTCAGCAGGCTAATGGATTTGATATTTAGTATTTTTAGCTTTTGGAGTCTTGAAGACCTGTTTTTTTGGGGGGATTTTAGCATCCTTTTAACTCTTGTCTGAGTTTTTTTTCTTTTAAAAAATGCCCAGTATTTATATGCGGCTCTTTGGGATATTAAAGTTAGTGTCCACCTCCTTTCTGCAGTTCAGTATCATTTTTCGCTGAAAATCTTTTGAAAACCCGAAAATTCAAAGTTCAAAGACTTCTATCTGCTGAAAGAATTCACAACTCGTGACAAGCCATGAAGGAATCAACTGGTCTATATGTACATCTAACTCATTTAATTATTTAAACCGTTTTTTTTTAGTCAGAATGCCTCATTTGACACTTAATTGCACCGCCATACAACTGCCATGGGATTTCGTAATAGTCTTAATTTTATTTCTTTCAGGTTAACATGCATACTCAGCTGTATATTGACTTTTTAAAAGCTCATGCTTTACAGTAATAACAAACCTTTATTTGTGAAACTTGAAATTTGGGGATTTTTTTATCCCAATGAAATTTAAAATGACCTCCTTTGTTATAAGTATTTGCAATGTTACTTATAACTTACAACCCTTTCCTGTGTGAACAATACTGTATAATGCAAGCTTGCACTGATGGTCATAAAGACAAACTTACCTTGGGACGCTGCACAAAAGGCTTGAAGAAAAGCTGTTGAGTTTTGTGAATATTTCACACAGGAGAAGTATTGAAGCCTGTTGCTGTGCTGTCAGGCTTTGCAAGCAGCCCTTTGTGGATCATGAATAAGAGAATTTCCTTGGCTGCAAACACAGGGACCTGTCTGCCTTAGAATGTTCTTTTTATCATGTGTTCTCCATCAGGATATCCCTGCAACAAGGTTCTATTGTTTCTTTGGTTTTATATGAATAGATCTTGGGGTTTAAACTGAACATTGACAAATCACGTGGAACATCTTGATTGCGGTTTAATTTTGAAAACAAAGGGGTGTGTGATTATCAAGAGCCAGCTGTAGCACTAGTCTCTCATTTTAAACTGTCAAAAAATCTCTTGACTCTGATTTTCATTCATCCCCAAGCAGACTACTCTATCCCAGAATTACCCAGTTATCAGACAGGAACTCCCTCATTCACTGCCCTTTTCCCTGCAACAATGAGTCATTTTTATTTGTTGTTAATCCTGTCATTTTGCTAAGTGCTAAATTGGCAAAATACAGCACAGTGGGTCCAGTGTTGCAAAAATTGGATACTCTACTATTGTGCTTTGTACTTGACATCTGTTTTACGCCACAATCTTACAATCACACAGCTAGGGAAAAAGAAAAACGTGCAAGATAAATTTGCTGTCTTATCATCACTTCCTGTTAGTGTTGTCCAATGTTTCACGGAATTAAACATTAAAATAACAGAAATATGCTTAAAATTAACTAGCGACGTTTGAATTCCTTTTTCATAGCAATTGCAGAGGACACTGAAACTGAAGAAATTGTGCAGCAGGAGCAAGTTGCCAATAAGTTTTCACTCAATGAAGAACGGAAAAATGAAGACTGTACACTAGGTAGGTTTTTGTCAGTAACACTTTTCCATTTTTGCTCTATCATAATGGATCATTTATAACATTTCATGGTGGTGACCTTTGTTCTCATTATATCGACAATTATACCTTTCAAGAACACATTGCAAAATATTTCTTTTGTTTAAAAATGTCCTATACCTTTTCTATTATTTTTGGGAAAACGTTTTTTACTTTTGTGCAATGATTTTAAGAGTTTGACTTGACAATGACTAAGAGTTTATTTTGCAGCGCCATTTCTTCAAAAACAGTGAAGTTGTTGATAGGTCTTCGGACACTTTCAGCATGGATATTAATGTCGTATTCTCGAGGAAAGTATCTTTGCCAGCTTGGTTTAGTGTTTCGAGCACACCTGGGGTTAACCCCCTATCTTTAAGATGATTGGACTGAGCTTTAGCAAAAAATGATTTTAATGCTTCAGATATTTATAGAAGGGGAAACATTTTAGGTGTCTCTTAATGTAGACCGAAGGGATTTTGATGTCTTGCTTCGTTTTCTTTCAGTCATTGAACCTGCACAAGAGATTCAAGTCACAGTGACCGTCACAGAGCCGGCCGAGCTGCCTGAGGCGCCCGCGGTTCCTGTAGAGGCACCACAGCTGCCGGTAGCAGTTCTGGCTGCGGGGGAAGTGGAAGAGAGACGGGAAGATATGGAGATAACTGAATCGGAAAAGGTCTTCATGGAGCTCCCGTCTGAAAAGGTGGACGAGAGGCAGCAGTCGGAAGAACTGAAACAGGATGTCAAATCACCCACCAAAGAAACGGTCTATGAGCCAGCGGTCACTGCCCAGACAGAGCCCATGGTGGTCTCTGCTCCAGAACAACGTGGAACAGACGGAACGGTGGAACCCGTTGTCCCAGAGTCGGAAGTACCCGCGGCCGCAGCGGATGAGACCAAACCCGTCCGCGATCTGCCAGATGAGAAAGAGGCCTCGCAGGTTTGCGACGTCAGCCCGGTGGTCGAGATGGATACCACGCCCGCCAGCGAAAGGAGCTTCTCCGACATGAACTCGCCCACAGAGGACAAGGCTCTGAAGCAGTCTCCGGAAATGCCCTATTCCGTGTCTTCGGACTCCAGCAAGTTGGCTCAGTCGCCCTTCTCTGTGGGGGCGTCTCCGAAGGAATCGTCCCACGCTCAGAACTTCTCGGTGGCTAGTGGATACAACGGCAGCGCTGCTTCCACGACTTTCATCCCTGTGGCTCCCAAAATTGGCATGGGAAAGCCCGCGATCACCAAGAGGAAGTTCTCTCCTGGAAGACCCCGGGTGAAACAGGTGAGTTGCTGGCTTGGGCTTTTTAAATGGTGGTGAATCCTTGACTGAATAATTAAGTTTGACGAAAAACCTTAAGTGATCTAACGGTTAAAGTCCTCTTCAGTACCTTTCCTGCTGAAGGACCCTTTCAATAAAATGGTTAAGAGGAAGTTAACACACTGGAATCTAAAAAGAAGTGATGTTCATATCTTGACTGGCCCTCGGTGACTGTTTTTGGGCACCCTGTCCTTAAAAGGGTGATCAGTGTTGTTGACAAGCTAACCCTTTGTGCATGCTTTAATTGGTGGCAGAAGAAATATTAGGTAGTACAATTAGCATTTATAACTTTGTAAACATATGTGATTTATAGGTGCAGTTATTTTTATTGCTCATGTATGTTGCATTAGTCTGTAGGTCTTATTATAGGTCTCACTGTATTTTAAGCAAATGGCTTTAGTTTGAAGTGCTCCTAATTGTGTGAAGGAAGGTAGAGAAGACTCATTCATTGGAATGACTTACTATAAATAGCTAAAGAGGAAAATCGGATGTAGAACACTTACTGTTTTCTTCTTTCTGAAGGCTTGTCAGCAACGTCGATATCAAACTGATGTCAGCTCTGTTGGGTATCTGTTTTAACTGGTGGTGGTGATTTCACTGTAATCTGAAAGTAGTTCATTTGGCAGAACCTGTAATGAAATTGAGAATTTTAAGAGGGGTGGTTGAATTCAATCTTGCTGAACACCTTCAAAATGTTTTTCCTCTGATATCATGTTTAGCATTGGCACAAGCAACCGTGGTTTGAACAGCCTTGTATTCGGCTAGTGTTGTAACATGTAATGGCTTTAAAAATAGTTTGGAAACATTTGGGAAGACCAATGGTGATGGTCACAGTAGCTTTGGCAATTAGCACTAGAGTCTCAGTGTCTTTGTGTCCTGGTTTCAGTTTTGGCCCAGGTTGCTGTCTGTGATGACTGACTAGTGTCTTAGCAGTCTTGTACTTTCAGTGCCACCTTGCTTCCAGAATAAACTTTCAGGGTTGCTACAGTCCTCGACAGGAAAAGTGGTTTCTGATACTGGATGGAAGGAAGAGCAGTGGGCTGTACTAAAGATGAGCAATTGCTTCCTTCATCAGTAATGTCTGTTTTTCCCTTCCTGTGATTCTGTCCTAATGATTTTCAGCAGATTTTGCAAGCCTAATTACTTCCCCCAGTTTCGTTACCTGGCACTAAATGGAAACTGTGAAATGATCTGCGTTTGCTGTTAATGGTATTTTTTGTAATGTCTGTAGAGAAATTGGGAGCAGTAAGAAAACTGTTAAACCAGATTAAGGCGTTTGGCTGTGGTGAGGCTCATTTGAAAATCATGAAACTTTTATTCAATGGATTGCTCTGTAGATTTTGTCCTGAAAATCCGTTTTACTATTTGAGTTTGTCTTTATGTGCTTAAATGCACTAGCATAGGCTTCCTCTTGTCTGCTTATCCACTGCCCCAGGAGGGTCTGCTGTGGTTCATGGTCAATAACGTGAGGGGTGGGCTTTCTGAATTCTGGAACATGGCTTGCAGTTGGTCTCAAGTGCACAATCAGCTTGGCCTTTCGGATCTTGGGGTTCATTTGCAGAAAGGTTTCAGCCCCACCTCTCCTTCGTAAAGGCCTGTGCCTCATTTTGATCGTGTGGATCCTTTGGAAAACCTTATCTATAACGAGCTGTGCCGCAGATAATCAGCACATGAGGAAGTCTAGGAGGGGGCTGCAAATAACTTGCAAAGTCAGGGCAAGTGCAACGCAAAACGAAAATGACATTCACTTTCTTGTGTAATCCATATATCCCATCAGCCACTGCTCTAATAAATTGACCGCTCTCATCTTTAATTTGTAAATCTTACTTGGTGGAATGGTTTTGATTAGACTTTTTCACTTCACTTGGCTAATCCTCTGATCAGCGTTTTGTACATCACCAGTTGGTGGGTAGTTGAGGCCTTGTTCACTGTAAAGTAATGTTATAGAGCTGGATTAATATTGCTACTGCACAGTCCCATGATACCAAAATGGGTAGAGGGGGGATATCCGGTTGCAAAAGTCTTTCATTGGTGAGCTTGAGCTGTGTGACAGCATTCATTGCTTAGCAGACTCCAGAGCTGTAAGACTGCAAGCGCTTGGTGTTGCCTACTGCCAGTCCTGTTAAGGGTGGTCCAGATATAAATGCATACCTACAAAAATAGTGGTCTATCAGTGTAGCTAGCTAGGCTTTCATTCAGTATAGGAACAGGTAAAGGTTTATTCTATGCGGGGAAAAAATGTCAAAGTTTTGGCTGTGCAGCCGTCTTGAGGTCCATGAAGATGGCTCATTTAATTGGGTCTTGTCTGATGCCAGAGGAGTTTAATGATGGATGATCAGTGTGTTCTTACAGGCTCTCCAAGCAGCTACCTAGACAGCCCAGACTTAAGTTACATGTATTTTGTCATCTGGTATCTGCCAGAGTGAGACTCCATTGCAGGGTCATTCTCATAAAATAGATGCTTGTTAACTTGTACTTAAATCTGAATATTTGTTCAGTTTCATCACCAGCTGCTCCACTTAAACACACTTTAAATTTAATTTGGGTAGTTCAGAATTAATAATAAGGTCTGTGAATCGTGATGAAAGTAATTGTTCTGAATCAGTTTTTCAAGACTCCAGTTAATAGATGGTCTAGTGTGATATAAATTGTTTGAAGATTGAGGGGAATGTCGGCCCTATCCAGTGATGAAACTGTCCTGGCTCTGGTTTCACATCTCCACTTCTATCTTCTAAAATGCTTTCCCCAAATTTACAAAGAAATACATCACCCCCTTTACCGAAAGCCTTGTTTCTGCTCAGCTCTTATGCTTATTTTGCTTTAGTATGTTCTGTGAAATGTTATGTGATGTGTTTTTTTTTTATACTTACATTCATGTGTAGCATATATTCAAAGGCGCATGTTTATGCTGCAGGTAACCATGGTGATCTTTTTTTCTTCTCATGCTCCTCATCCTTGAGACAGTCTGAGTAAACATTTGCCTTCAACTTCAAACCATGTTTTGTGTTTTAACACTTCTACGTTGCCTGCCTAGGGCCAACTTGTGTTACAATACTTTCATTAACATTAAGTGTTTGACATTAAGAATTATAAGTTTGGGACAAATCTGTGAATGGTAAGCAAAATCATACCCTTGGCTATATTCTATTTTGTAAAGACATTCTTTTAAAGTGATAAATAATATAGTTCTCACTTTGCCCTACAGTAATTATTCTGACTGTAATTAAATGTAACTGAGTTTATCAAAGAGAACTCTTGAATCAAAAAAACAAATTTGATCCTAAATTCCCTTATGTTCTCTAGGCAAGTCTGAAGAGCGACCCAGTCTGCTAATTATGCCAGGGAATTGCAATTCTGTTGTGATGGCAGGTGCTGGGGTTGGTATTTTGGCTGAAGATAGTTTTTTTCCCAAATGCTAACTAGCCCCGTCTCATCTAAAGATATTACATAAATAGTAAAAAAAAAAACCATGCATGCAAAGTTTTTGTGTTTCTATTACATAGTGAATATTTTACTCAGTAATTGCAAAAATAAATTTGAAATGCCTGGCTTTAAAATGCCTCCATTTTATTTTTGAGATCTTAGAGTTTGCGACATTTTTCAGTCGACGCAGAGTGTAAACAGCCGTTGATGTATGTAACCGCCTTTATGCAGTATAAATGGTTTGTCCCAAACTTTGGAATTTCACTCCTGCTTTCTCTAGCTTTTTTTTTTTTTCCTTTGCTGGCTTTCGATTTATGTTGCTCCATTTTGTCCCCCTTCTCTTATCCACGACGCCGTAGGGAGCTTGGAGCACCCCTAGCGCTGTGAGCTCGCCTTCATGGTCCCCAGACCGCTCAGAGGGGTGGGAAACCCCAAAGACGAGGCAGCCATCCAGCACTCCCATCTGGACCGTCAAAGTGGTAAATAGCCTGCGCTACATTCCAAACAAAGTGGGCCCAACGCCGTCTTCCATGCAAAAACCCCACCGTGCAGCTCCAGCGGCGTTTTCTCCAGGTGCTGCAGTAACAGTGAGAGACACCTGTTGGACGGTGGGCTTCTGTGCGCCGCAGAGCCTGTCTGCTTCCTGTTATCAAACAAAGGTCGTTAATCCCCTGACTCCCGGGCAGAATCCAACACAGGTCAAGAAGCTGGCCTGGGAATTTCCCCCCAGCTGAAGGGTCTGTAGTTCCCGAGCTGCCTTAATCATTTACAGGCCGTTCCTGGAAATGTTTTTATGACGCCTAAGGGCGACCAATCCAAATAAGCAGTTGCTTATGTCCTAAAACATCAACCTTATGGAGAATGCCGTCTCCATAGTTGTGGAAGTTATACTTTTTCAAAAGTATCACCCTTCCATAAGCTGTTTTTTAATACATGGTGTTTAGTGCAGGTAAAATGTTTATAGATTGTTTACTTGTGACATTAAAAGATGCAAAAACCTGCATATTTTTTTGTCTTGGTTGTCTGGTACCTTGGAGTACCACCTTTAATGCTTTTCTCGACTTAGTGCAATTAAAGCAGGCCTTTTCTTGGTTTATTCCCATATTTGTTTTTAAGAAGTCACAGCACAAGTCACAGCTTTAGTCTGTGTTTTTCTTTTTGAGAGAGAGAGAGTCTTGCTGCCTGCATATGCATGATAAAGCAGCTTTTGGCCACAATTTGTCAGTCTACCTGCTTTTGCCTCGCTAATATAAACGCACTAACCAACTTGCCCACCCTGACTGCTTGTCCTTCAGGAAAAGAGGTTTGATCAATGAAAGAAGCTATTGCATGGTTCAGTTTAGTAGTAACAGTTTCTCACTTAAATTTAAACATGAGAAATTGTGCTGTAGTTCTGTAATGGTCTCAGGCAGTCATTTGCTGACAGCCTTGACATTTATCTCTTGGCTTATGTGGCCATCTGTGCTAAAGTCAGGAAATCTTTCATTGGATGGAGGTGTTCCAGTGTTTTTTCTGTAATGCTAAGGTAGGTATATTTTCCAGCAGTTTAAAGGTGAGACACACGTTACCATAGCAACAGTTGATAAATGGTACCACTCCCGGTTGTTATCAAATGAAACTTTAAGATAAACACGATTTAGAGAATGGAAAGACAAACACTACAATAAAATACATAATCACAACTGAATATTTGAAAATAATTGCCATTATTTTTTCATTTTGGAAGGTCCCTGTAGAACAAATTGTATGGATCATTGAAAACGGTCACCTGGTATGTGTCATGACCGTCCTGGGGCTATATAGGAAAAAAACAGGAAATGGAAATGGTCCAGCAAAAGTGTGGAAATTGAAGGGTGAAGTTAACGTTCTTTGCTCAAAAGTTTTAACTTGGGATTGCCCTGAGAAGATCTTTGATAGAGTTTGTTAGCTGCATTATACTGCTCTACCATGACTATTAACACATCATGAAGAGCTTTCCCATCTCTGTGATAATGGGACAGAATTCCCATAAAAAGAACCAAACGACGTGCTTCTGGGATTGGCAAGAAAGTGAAAGAGAAGCGGGCATGGAACAGCTTCTGGTGAAACTTTAGGAGGTGGTCATATGAGATTTTCTCCCATGAACTGCAGAAAACCTCTCTCAAAATATCCAGAAATAAGTTTGTATTTGACAGATATGTCCGCAAGCCTGTTAACAGACACTTGTGATGTTTAATTGACTGAGAGAAAAATGCACTTCCGTTCCGTCCTCACGATAATTATTTTCTCTTCTCGGCTGCAGTTACTTTTGGAATTGTACGATTCTGTTAGTAGACACCGTGAATCAGTGAGGTATACATTGATAACACTAAAGAAAGAAGAGGATCTTGCAGTAAGGAGCTGTATGGAAGGAGATAAATATTTCAGATTAATTTTTTTTGTTCCAAGATGACTTGGAACATTCAGGGCAGTTTCCTTGTTTAAAATCTATTATTACACGATGGTAATGGTTTGAATTCTGAAGCCTGTGATAGACAAGAATAACCGAAAATATGTGATTGACAAAGCACTTTATATTTTAGCCTTGCTATGCATACATTGTGACAATGTCAAGCGAAGTCAAATTGGCAATAGTAAATAGTGGACGTTGAAGGTGGTCATTTCACATTCGTATCTGTAACTGAGAAGACATGATCAGATTAAAGTTTAACTTAAGAGCAGCAGAGCTGTTTGCTATGTAGAAGTTATAGTTAAGACTGTATGCCACTGTTCCATGCTTTCTTGTGAAAGATAAATGTCTAAATCATAACTAAAAAAATATAGTTTTGCCTGTCAGTCAAACATTTGGTTGTTTCCAAACACATCAACACCTTCCTAGCTAAGCGTACGTCAACGTTTGAGAATTGTCAGTGATCACAGTCTTTGTTTACAGTGAGATTGCTGTACAGAACGTTTCAGAGAGCTTCATTGTGTTAAAGGCATCTCGGAAATAAGTGGGGCAGTAACAATTGGAGCATTTCTTAATCAATTAGCAAGCATGAGAGTGTGAGTTAAGTGCTCGGTAGACTTCCTGAAATTTTTTAAAAACATTTAATGTAATTGCTAAACATCCGTATAACATTTATTTTCTAGCCAGGCCATAGTTTTGCAGAAACGCTTATAACATTTTTCCTTTAGAATTTTTCTATGGCTTTGACCATTTTTCTCTCTTTCATGCTCATTTGACCCCCAATGGACTCTGGTAATTGCTTCCTCCCTCATTTATTCAGTGGCTAAAACACTGACAATATAGTATTGAACCTCCAAACCAGTTTAGAAGGCTGTTCAGAAAAATACAGCCCTGTTCTGATAAGCCTGTCTTTACCACAAGGGAGCTTTCCAGGGCCTTTTATTAAACAATTATTTTTTTTAACTCTGTAGTATTTTGTTGTAGAGTTCTTGGATTAGCTTAGATCCCTCATAAGGGAGTTAAGAAGATAGTACATTGTGAGACGCGTTTCTCTCTGAAGAGTGTTCAATAAAACAAAGATTAAAATATTGCATATTCAAGCAGGGACTATTTTAGGTTCTGCCATTTTATCTCATAAGCATCTGTAAACATGTACAGGAGGGCTGTACTTTTGGGTATTAGCAAACAGCCTGGGGAGCGTTCAGACTGGGTGGAACGTGATGGTGAAGAGACAGATGGGCATCGGACAATAATTTAGCTGGTTGGGGAGGGGCAGAGAGGTTGTGGAGATTACTGCTGCATCAGAACAGTCACCCTGCTGGGAGGAGGCCTCGCTGTTTACCAGACCTAATGTTTTGTTTTCTTTTTTTTTTGCTTTGGTTACATTGTAGGGTCTAACTCTAGGCAGGCTGACTAGGCCAAAGTCCTAAAGTGCTGAACTCTGGTCTTTTCAACAGGGCCGTGGATCAGGCTTTCCAGGGAAGAGGAGGCCAAGGGGTGCTAGCCTTTCAGGGCGAGGAGGAAGAGGCCGTTCAAAGATGAAGAATGGAATTGGCCCAGTTATAACACCTGGAGTATGTTTCTCACCCCAGTTTTGATGCTTTTTTTTTGTTGTTGTTGTTGTTGTTTCAGTGCACATTAAACGGGTTTCCTGAATATCGGGCTTTTTGAAGCAGCTGGATCCTAAAAATTGTGCCCCCACGCCCCTCCCAGAGCAATGCTCTTGTACACCTTAAAAAGGGGAACAGGCTCCCATGATCAATGACAGTGCAGGCCAGAGCTATATTTGCACTTTGTACCTATTATCTTTGCCTGTAATGGATCACTTGCTTCCCTGGTGGACACTGGTGCAAGAGCCCTTTGGGTTTGTAGTGTTATTGCCAGTAAGGTTGTAGCTTTATACACAGTTTTCACAATACAAAATTCAAACAGGACAACTCCCAGTAGATACTACAGTAGATCTGTCTAACTCATTGGCTTTGATTTTCAGACCATTCTCTTGACCATTTACAAATTAGTCCTTTTGTTTGACCAAAGTTTCATCAGTTGTTTCTCTTTAATTCAGATTTATTATTAAGTCCAGGCTTTAATCATTAAATGTGAGTTTACAGTATATTGATCATGAAACCATTAACTTTGTGTACATGTACAGTAACTGCTGTTCAGTCCTCCTGGATCCTGTCTAGAAAATTCAAGTAGGGAATCGAGCCTGTTGTGGTACCATATGCTGACCTACAACCTGGGAGCCCACTTCATGTTCCTCCTTTTGCTTCTTTTTAGGTGAACCTCACAGAAACGTATTCTGTAAAGGATGAGGAAGAAAACTCGATGCACAACACAGTTGTTCTGTTCTCCAGCAGCGACAGGTTCACTTTGAAACAGGTGAGGTCTCTTTCCTCATTTGTCTAATGCTCACAAGCTGCAATTATTTGCTTGTGTGATAGCAGCAACAAAAGGCAGAGCTGGGCACTGTCTTGGATATCTGTGTGCAGTTAATTGGAGAAACCTAATTATGATTTTTAAGCTTTTTTCCGCTTGAAATTTGGTTTCTTTTCTGGAAACTCACGTTCCCTTTTGCCAAGGGAGCTGAACCCCTGAGTGTATCATTACTTTTGTCATGAGTAATTTAATCACTGACACTGGAAGATGTTTGCCATCGTGTTGTAGTTGGAGAGAAGCTTATTAAGGGCTGTGAAACCCTTGCTAGCGATGCATGCGGTATCTTTGTGAGCAGTAGTCTTGCTGTAGGAAGACTTAAGCACTTAATTACATTTTAGTTTTATATTGTTTCCCTTTTTAGGTTTTCTAATATCATAGCTATTGTTTACCATAATAATTAATAATTAGTGCCTCGCTAATGTTTATGTATTTTACTGTATGAAACGTGTCTAATCTTACTCATTTTCTATTTACAGGCTTTCATTACACATTGCGTTTTCATTTTTATGGTACAATTTTATGCTCCACTTCTTTTGGCATTGTTATACTGACCGCGGCAGCGTGCGCAAGGGGCTAGAGAGTTGACCTGATGGCCATGTTTCACAAAGAGGTCTCGGCGAATGAAAAGGAAGATTACTCGGCCGCGTGTTAATGCACATCTTTATTTCAGGACATGTGTGTCGTCTGTGGAAGTTTCGGGCAGGGAGCAGAGGGGAGGCTCCTGGCTTGTTCCCAATGTGGCCAGTGTTACCATCCGTATTGTGTCAGTATTAAGGTAAGACGGGTGCCCCAGGACTCTTTGTGGTTGTATAAAAAGCTAATGTTTTTTTTAATCCAAATGAAAAATCTTTTTTAGCTCTTAACCAAGAAATTCTCTACTGAACAAATGTGAGCACCTTGCAGCAAGAGTTTGTAATCCCACATTTACTATATATTTGGGATGGCAAATCTTCAAACCCTGCATATCAAAATCGCAGCTCAGAGTCATGCAGTAAGGCACAGCGTTAAATATATGTGCATACAGGAAGTATTCCAATTATCTTTAAAGAGCTCTCCAACATTTTAAATAACTCATAACTTCTAATATTATGACTTATATTGCTAATTACTTTTTATGAATTTTGCCATTTTATTAAATTGCTTTTTAGTTTTTAAGTTTGAAATAAGAAAAACATCAAAGAATTGGAAGCCGTGCCTAATTATACCTATGCCAGTTGTTATTGCCAATTAATTTCAATCGATTGTTATTAATTAAACTCACTCAATTTGGATCAGCCATTTGTTTTTTTTCACATCTTGGCTCCCAGCTGTGTACCCTGCTGCTGCCCGCAGGGGCTAATGGTGACTCTCAGGCCGATTCTTCCGAGTGGCCCGCGTCAAGCCACTCGTCTCGTAGCGCGCCGCGGGCTACACTGTACCTGCCGGGGCCGCCGAGAGTTGAGAGCCCCCTGGATAATCATCCCTCCCCGCCTTGTTCCCATGATCCCAGTGACAGTTGGCAGGTTGGCATGACCCAGCCTGGGACCCGTGACGCAGGGTCATAGGCACCAGCCTCTCCACAGGCAGGAGCCTTCACTGATTGAGCCAGAATCTCAAGACAAATTCAGTTAATTTTTTTTTTGAAGAAGCAGTTACTCGCTGCCATGTTTTCTGATGGCGTCTGTTTTTTTACAAGACGTTAGCATTCATTTGAACCGTATTACAACTCGGCCTACAGTGTGGAATACTATACTGTTTGCTGTTGGAAATGTGAGTAATAGTTATAAAGGGGTTCAGCACCTTAAGTGTTGCGGCACACAAACTGTTTCACAAATAAAAACCTGTTCCCATCGATACTTCAAAAGTGGGGAACCTTATCTAGCTTGATATGCTGAAGACTTCATTTAATTTTAATCATGCCATCCAATCGCTTGTCAAACATAATTGACAGTAAATAGTGCAGTTAATTTTTAAGACATTTTAATGTGCAGTGATAGAAGCTAATAGTTGTGGAAGATTAAATTCTGTTAGAGATGACTTAGTTTTGCAAGCTCATAAAACACCAATTAAGCATTAGCAGTCAGCACTTTGAATATAAAAGGCGCTGGAAGAATACCACAAAGGGAGTGATCGACACTTAATGCTTTCATGTCATCCAGTTGGCACGTACAGTATCCATAAGTTAAGCGTTATTTACTGGAAAAACAACACTTCTGTGTTTGCTAATTAGTTGAATGCTTTGTTGTAAAAATAAGATGTACCGATTTCAGGGGTAATGTTGTGTGACATTTGAATGTTGTTTATCAAGGTCATAGAGTGCACAAGTGTGCATATGCAAGGCCCAGACATGAATTTCGAGGTTTATGCAAATAAAAGTGACATGTTTAGTCACACTTTAATTTTATTGCCAGAATTGTTTTTGTTTTATTTACTTTTAGGAAAAAAAGGAGCGTTCTTTTCTTGCAGCAGAATAGCTGACTGTTGGCATTTCTGACTGTTGGCATCTCGAACGTTAATTTTAGAAAGATATCCGTAATACCTTTCGGTTTTTGTGCGGAATATAGTTGTAACGTCAGGCATAGAAGTTTAAAAAGCTTTTGTGCCGCACTTTAGAGGAACGTAGGATACCGTAATACAACTAAACCGCTCTACCTCGAATTTCTGTGTACAGCTTGAGATTTAAAACACTGTTATCATTCCAAGTCATCTTAAATCAAGGCCCCGGCGAAATAATACCGCTGGGTTCCTGTGAGCGGGCGGGGCGCTCACCCTTCTGTGCTCGCGGCCTTTCAGATCACGAGGGTGGTGCTGAGCAAGGGCTGGCGCTGCCTGGAGTGCACGGTGTGCGAGGCCTGCGGGAAGGCCTCCGACCCCGGGCGGCTGCTGCTGTGTGACGACTGCGACATCAGCTACCACACCTACTGCCTGGAGCCGCCCCTGCAGACGGTGCCCAAGGGCAGCTGGAAGTGCAAGTGGTGAGAGCTGGCGCGCGCGGCCACGCCCGCCCTCCGTCTGATCTAGCAGCCCTTTCCAAACGAGATATATAAAAGGATTTCCCCGGGTTTTTTTTCTTCTTCTTTTTTTGAAATCCCAGATATAATCCTTATTTATCTTCTGAACGATTTAATGTTTCCGAGGAATGTTTGGCAGTTTTACAGTACGAGTAAATCCAATTTGGGGAGAAATTTGATCTTCAGCAAACAGTGTAGGTTTTTAGGGATATCATTTATATTTCTTTTTTTGCCAGTTTCTCACATTGTTTTGCTTTTAACTGCTCATGAGAATTTGATTTTGGATATTGAGTTATAATGCTGAAAGTAGTGATGTAACCTTACAGTAGCTCATTTTCACTGTCAGCATTAAAAGACATCCAAAAGTAAAAACTGTAGATAACACTTCAGAATTGTGTTCACCCCTTGCAGTTTCATTCTACCTGAAATGAAGTTCAGTAGTCTTAGAATGCAAACTGACGTAGTCTTCCTCCGGGTGTGACCGTTACATGTTTATCTTGATTTTCAAGCTGGTAGCTTGGCCTCTTGCACCGTGCAGGGCCTGACACAGATGCTTATCACAGACATGTAGGTGTTGCAGGAAGAAGCTGGGCATTTTCACAGTTTTGCAGTGCTCATTTTAATCTAGCAGAGCACTATAAGGAAATTAATGCAGCTGTACACAAACATTGAAAATGAGAGAGGCTCTTTGTAATGAACATAATGGATGGTGTTCAAGAGTTGTTTATCTTGAGAGCTAGCTAGACCATAGCGCATGACTGGAGGATGTTTTATTCTTTTTTCGACATTGTGTTTGTTTTCAGCTGATTGAATATTAACGCATGCCTCCTTTTGTTTTTGCAGGTGTGTTTCCTGCACGAACTGCGGTGCCACGTCTCCAGGCCTGAGGTGTGAGTGGCAGAATAATTACACGCAGTGTGCTCCCTGCGCCAGCCTGGCTGTCTGCCCAGTCTGCTGCCGGAATTATCGGGAGGACGAACTCATTGTGCAGTGCCGTCAGTGCGACAGGTGGGGCCGCAGTGAACAGAGCCCCTCAACCTCTTAAAGCTGAAGACCGCCAGCGTCACAGGCAGTTTTCACACTGCGTCCCCCCTTACTGCTTCCTTCTCTCCCTCCATTGAGCTCCGCGGCCGAAACGCAGACACGCAGTCTCTGGTTTCGTTTTTATTTTTCTTTTCCTGCAGGAGTGCTTTTGTTTTGGGTTGAAATTTAAAACTAAGGTTTAGTTATACAGCTGTAAATCTGGGGGGGGGGGGAGGGCTTGCCTTTAAATCAAACTGAGGTTGTGGTTTTGAAATGAGCTTTTTCCCAGATGGCATACAACAGGGCTTAAGCTGGACCACGGTGAAAAGTGAACAGCTGCAAACGTCCAAAAATGCATTTCAGGTTATGTTTTCGTTTGGATCAATTGATTGTGTGCTGCCCTGAAGTCATTTGTAAAGTCATTAGACAATCGATAAATTGTTGGCAGTTTACAGGTTTCACTGGCCTATGTTTCATACAGTCCTTTCTGCACACTCAGTATGCCATGTTAACACATTCCTTCACTGTTGTAGTGACACAGAGAAAAGCTACATATTTATCCGCTTTCAGAAATGACCTGCAGCGGCATCAATGAGTCTCCACTGCACAGGTACCTAGAGTGCGTTTCACAGTCTGATGGAAACGCTGCTTCAGGTGTGTGTTTGGCCCAGCTCATTTTTAAAGGGGCACCAGTGTCTTATCCGTTGATGAGCTGCTCTTTCTGATTCTGGTTTCTTTCTGCCCCCTCAGGTGGATTCACGCCACATGCCAAAACCTGAACACTGAGGAGGAAGTGGAAAACGCAGCAGATAACAGCTTTGATTGTACCATGTGCAGAGCACGAATGACACCATGCCAGGGTAAGGGCCAGAAATCTAGATTATTCTTTATTTTAGAACTTGCTGATTATGCTTTTATTGTATTGACATTGGTTTTTGTTGCAGTTATACCCCCCTTTCATAACCTTGCATTTTGTGGGCGAACAGATTGAAAAAGGACTTCTGTTTGTAGCTTGAATCTTAGTGGGGGATTGGTGTACAAAATCCAGTGAACAATTTGTCATTAAATTGGGATTAATACTATTAAAAAGCTCTTTTGTTCTAATGCTTTATAACTTATTAGGCATCAAAGAACCATTTGTTATTTAGCTTTATGCAAAAGCAATGCTGGAGTTACAATTCGGTTCAACTGGACATTATGTTAACAAATGCGTATTTTTGGCCACAGGCATGGAAGGCAGCGAATCCCCGATCTTGGCACAGATTGTGACAAAAATGAAGGAACAGGGTGAGAACACACCTGGACTCTCAGAGCCTAGGTTTGATTTTCTCTGGGTTGCCTTGAGCTTTTTTTTTTGTGTTCTAACTTGTTTGCTGTCATTTTGTTGTTCCAGACCCACCTAAGACATACACCCAAGATGGGGTGTGTCTGACGGAGTTGGGACTGTCCCAACTGCAGAGCCTTTCCGTGATGGCCCCGCGGCGGAAAAGGCCCAAACCCAAACTGAAACTGAAGATCATAAACCAGAACAGCGTGGCGGTGCTGCAGACACCCCCAGACCCCCAGTCTGAGCACTCCAGGGATGGGGAAATGGATGACAGCCGAGGTACTGTTTTTTTTTAAAAACAAAACAGTGGTCTTTTGGATCTGGACAGGTTCCTTTATGGCGGTAGGAAGCCCATCGTTTCATCTTGCTCAAAGGTTTATCTGGGGCTGGGATTTCAAAGGTTTATCTGGGGCTGGGATTTTAAGTCTTTAAAGATGCAAAGATGTGCCTCTGCTAAACTAAACCAGCGTTGCAAAGGAGACCTTGTTCTTCCTGCTAGGTGGCTGAATGCTTAGTTCCCTGTGTGGTATAGCCTGTGGTGACTGAGTATTTGAGGATGGATGCCATATCCAATGGAAAACACCCTGTGATGCTGCAAGCAGGTCCCATCGTTGATGCAGGCCATAGCTGGCCACAGTTCTTTAGATCTGTAGGATGGCAAATTTTAAAAAATCCCCCCCCCCCTTCCAAAAAAGCAAAACTACATTAGAACCCATGAAAATATACTTGAAATATTTTGTTTATCATGTATGAAGTTATTTTCTTTATCCATTTTATTATATTGACTGTCGTTAACTGTTGTGATGGTCTGAATAAGGGTGTCCACAAAAAAGGCTTCGTGTTTTTCTATATCTTTGACCTTGTGGTATCAATTTAAAATATCACCTTTCAAACCCTGTCTTCAGTGCAGTTTTTCTGTTTGCCTCTCTTCTCGTTGTAACTTATTGATTTTCAGACTCGACAAAATAGCATTCAATGTTTAATATCTGTTGCAGACTTTGGATACTGGTCTGTTTGTTAGACTTCAATTATTTATATTGTTTTATTCATGAAGCATCTTTTTTGTTTTGAAATGGAACATTCATTAGATGCCAATCGCTTATGTACAGATATCTATTATTGCAGTGTCCAGTACTTTCCTTCCAAAAGCTTTTCTTGGGGGTATACAATTTAAATATATTCAAAATATATGAAAGAAAATAGAAGAGTTGTCGGACTGTAACAGAGCTGTCTGACTGAAGGAAAAAACATCCGTGGGAAATAACCATTTAGTAATGTGATTGGTATGGGAAGGAAGATGAGTTGCTGCTTTGAAAACAGTTTGCAGTCAGCAAATTATACCTGCTTTGACATTTCTATGATGATAGACTAGCAGCACACAGCTGAATTAATGTCTACCACATCCATCAATCCAGGGCCCTGGTAGGTAAGGCAGGAGTTGGGCTGAATTTTACACAGTGAGCTGTTCCTTAAGCCTTTCACTAGCCAGACGTTCATCAGGTACCGTTATAGTTTTTTGTTTTCCAAGATAAGATATGGAAAAAAAAGGTTAAAAAAAAGTCATTGAGTTATTATTCAAAGTCCCAACCTTGAGTCGCACTTCTAGATTTTCTTTCAATTTTTTTTTTCTAATGGTACCTGTCTCTAGCTTTTTTTTTTTAAGGTGTAAAGAGGTATTTCTGGGTGGGTGTTTTAGTCCCAACCTTGAGTCGCACTTCTAGATTTTCTTTCAATTTTTTTTTTCTAATGGTACCTGTGTCTAGCTTTTTTTTTTAAGGTGTAAAGAGGTATTTCTGTGATGGTTTTTAAATGAGGCTTCGTTGTTAAATTTTTAATACTCTTCAGCGAGTTAATCCTGGGTAATGCTAGCTTTTAAGGATCTTTTTTTTTTCCTCCCAGCTCAGAATGGCTGATGGCACCTGATTCGTATTTATGAGAATAAAAAGGTCTAGGTCGCTTACGCAACACTTCTTTTCCATTTGCAGAAGGGGACCTTTTAGACTGTGATGGAAAGTCTGATTCCAGCCCTGAGCGGGAGCCTGCAGATGACGACTCCAAGGGAGCCGAAGGAGCTGATGGAATCAAGAAGAGAAAGAGGAAACCTTACCGACCCGGTAGGGGATCTGATTGGAGAAGACGGCTCCGCTGGGCTGTGAAATAGTGCAGTGCGCACTTCAGATCCTAAATGCTGTCTGCAGTGCTGCACTTTTTTAGCCGGAGCTTCTGTGCCTCAAAATAGATGGTCTTGGCTTCCCCCAAAAATGCGGTTAGGCGGCGCTTGGCCATTTTGTTAAAATGAGCAACCCTCGTCGCAGGGGGGATACAGTTGCGACGAAGAAAAACAATCTGAGCACAGTGCGTCAGTTTGTGGTGGTTGCTGTTTCATCTGCAGACCCTGATGCTAAACTGGCCATGCAGGCGATTTTGATATACCGAGGGTTTGGAAGCACTGAGGAATAAGGAAACTCCACTGCCTTTTAGAGTTCCGATTCTTGGGGGGTCTTTAATATGGTAGAGCTTTGGGTTTAGCAGTGTATGTTTTAAAACTTTTTTATTTAATGTTGAAAGAATTAACAAATACAATATATACAATTGTAGTTCAAGTAGGTAGGTGTACCTATAGTTTGATCAGATGAGAGAGATGACTTATCCATCATTCATTTTCTTAACATACCTTTAAAGAGTTCTGCTTTGTCCTTGCTTGTATTAGTTTGGATTAAAGTTGGGAGTAATGGTGAATTCCATGCTGGAAAATAGAAGTGTTTCAGCTGTAGGGCTGTCTTCAGACTTGAAGGCTCATGAGCTGAAACGTTTCTTCTTTGCTTGTGCCTTTGTAACCAGCGCGCATTGACACAGCTACCCTCTCAAACATCTTTAATTTGTTTGGGTCACTCTGTAACGGTTATTTTCATATCCAGTTTGGTTTAAGTATTGCTGGAATGCTAAAATAGAAAAAGGAGAGCCTTGACGATGTAAATTTGAGGAAGCAGTGCCTTCATTTCTTACAGCTAGAGGTTTCAAGCACTTGGACAGTGGTCAGTTGAAATTATCATAGGCTTTCTGTTGCATTACATTTGATCAGAAACCACTTCTGCAGTTTTATGCCCGTTTAAGAAGTGTTGTTCATGTAAGACAGCCACTAAAGTGCATCGTTCAAATTCCATCATTGCTTATGAGTAAATTGCTGGTGTATCTACATTATTTATATGCATTCATCCAACAGGCTCATCTTAAGAAGGTAATGTGTAGAGAACAGTTAAGATCTTAAAAGAGTGAATTTACAGTAAGTAGGCTGACATCTCACTTGGGTTGACAATAATGATTCAACATCTCACACTTCTTCACCTGAGTGAGTCATTTGGAAAATGTCAGTCCAGAAGGCATTACCAGTAAGCACTAATAGATGACGATGGAGATATAAAGTGCTCCTTTTAATACAACAGGAAATAGTCTTGAGGGTTGCTCTTTCTCCACATTTGCGTGTAAGTTGTTACATAGCTTTGAAGCAAGGCTTTCTTTCGACTTTTTTTTCTCTCTCTCTCTCTAAGTCATCGGGAAAGAATGACATTTAAATTTCAATTTTTCTGTTTTGTCCATTGGGCTTTATTCTCTGAACATGGGCTACATCAGTGATCATTTCCACATAGCAGCATTTTAGATAAATTATCGTGATAACATGGAACAAAAGCATATACCTTTTAAGTTTGATTATAGGCAAAACTAGTTTTTATTTTGAGCAAGTTTTGATTATATAAAGTTGAATGTTAACTGTCCTGCGTAATGACTCAGAACTTGTGTATTAGCCTAACTGTAAAACAAGTTTGAAACTATACCTTGTTCTGATTCAAGAAGCTTTTCAGAAAAATTGCAAAAATGGGCATATAGAGCCTCAATTTTAATATTTTTGTTTACCACCTTGGACTCAAACCGGAATGCTCATGGCCTGCAATATCCTACTTTTTTTACTTTAATGACCTCACATGAAAATGACACTGATACTACAAAACCAATGTGATTTGTCTATTTTCTGTAATAGTAAGTAGTTTGATATAGGAAATCAGTCTAGCTTAAAAGCTCCTACAACTGAAACTGAAAGTGTGGAACTTTTCTTAAGACAAACTGAATTTAATGAATGTGAACAGAAGTTTTTTCTTTGTTTATGGACATGTCAAAGTACTGACGCAGCCTTAAAAGGAGAATTTAAGCACTTTAATTTGCTGTGCAGTTAAAAAGACAAGCAGGGTTCAGGGGGATTTGTCCTATGGATTTTAGATCATAAGCTTGCTCTCTTCCAGTTAGAGAGAATGCACTGGGATTTTCCCTGCTTGATCTTGAAGTAATTTCAAAGAGAGCTTAGGAGTGGTGTCTTTTGGGACAGCTGTTTCAAAGATAATGCGATACTGGTGAACTGTCCATCTTTTTTTCTTTATCTATAACCTTCCTCCTCGCTGTGCAGGGGCTTTTCCCTTGTCAGTGCATCTCAGCTTGTGGTTAGGGTAATGGAAAAGAGCTGTCAGTTTTGTGGGATTTCTTTCAAGTTTTAGACATGCCCTGAGCTGCCAGAGTTTGTTTGAATTATCAAGGTGGTTTTGAAAACAGTCAAAGTTGCTTTTTTTAGTTCACTTTTTTATTATTTTAGATATCTTTTTTATTTTTATAGTGTAATATATTTGTGAAAGGAGAATGTTGGTGAAACCATAATGTTTCTAAAATTAAGTAATACACACCTCTTGTTTTTGAAGTCCTGCCTGTGACACAACCTTAGAACACCTCTTTCATGTCTGTATTTTGTATATAGTTAGAAGGTGTGGGGCCTGGACTTGACCTGTCTATTAAATTGTATGTGGATATGCGCTTTTTTCGTGATTCAGTAGGTAAAGGTCCCCTCTTTTTGTAGTCTGAATAAGCATATTAATTTTTAAACGATTTCATGAGTAGCTTGATTTGTAAAAGTAGCCCGTTCCCCATGGGCAGTCTAACAGTCTGGTTCAGAGACTTCAGAGTTATCCTGAGACCTGTACTGTAGGTTTTGTTGATGCATGAAGGCCACCAAGCGGACTTTACTTGAATGGTTAAAGGAAAGGAGATCACAGTGAGCAAAAGTCTGAAGATTTGGTATGTTATCAGCGATTGAAAATGAGACTCGTTTTTTCTCTCCCACACAATTTAACTTTATTTTGCTTTTATTAAATTCAGACCGTCCGACACACTCCATTAATTTGACAATTCCCTCCAATTCCACGCCAACCATGGGAAACATTGCCTCCACAGGTATTGGTGGGTTTATGGTACGCCAGAGGAGCCGAACAGGTCAGGGCAAAACCAAACGCTCCCTCTCCAGGAAAGACTCTACGGGCTCTGTGTCTGAAAACCTCGCTGGGAAGGAGGAAGGTAGATGTGCAGGGAGATCTTTCTGTTCGGGGATCATAATTACGTGGAGTAGGGATGATGGGGACAGTCATTGACTCTCCAGTCTGAGAATAGCAATATGTATTGGCATTTTTATGTTTTGAATTTTGGGGGATTAATTTGCTAGCATAGTTTACTAATTAAATCTATAACAATAGTGCCATATTAGCACCTCGGATATCTGTAAGCAGAAGTAACATTTGTTGCTGGATTCGCATGAGTTTCCTACAGGTTTAACAGTTTCTGTATCACACATATAGTTAATGAACAAAAAGCTGGTTTTATTAAAATACTGTAAAATCCACAAAAGTTGTCATTTGCAATAAATTTGCAGTCTTGCAAAGTGGGGGGAAAACGTTGGAATGTAAATTTTCACTTTATTGAATTTGTTCAGTTTAGTGTTTTATTAAAATGTTAAATACATCAGTAGAGTTAAAAGATATTTTTACTAGAAGATTTTTATAGTACCTTTAAAAATTCTCATGAAAGAAAATGATAAATTAAATTCAGGGAAATTACAAGAATAAAGTAAAACCTATATAACAGAAATAGCAATTGCTATAAAACTTTTCCAAAAAAAGTAGTAATTTTTGGGCCTGGTTTTATAGTGTTTTTAGGACATACCTTTTCAGCAAGACCTTCTTCCTTGTCAGGCTGGAATGAGCAATTGCCTGAGACTCCAGTTGAAGAGACAGTCCCTGGGTCAGAGTGCCTGGAGAAAGCAAAGAAACGATACAGGAAAAAGAAAAACAAATTGGAGGAGACATTTCCCACATACTTGCAGGTGTGTAATCTATCCATCCGTGCTGTTTTACTATTTGTGCATTTTCCCGTGTAATTTGGTCATTTTTTCATCCTTTTGAGAGTTGTCCACTTGAGAGTAATTATGACCTTGAATACAACAAATATGGGAATTTATCCTTTTTATCAATTTTGCTGTTGCAAAAACTGTGGTGAAAAGTATATATTGTTACAAATAGGGGGTTACAAAACTAGTGAAAATCAGGATTTGACTGACTGGTTTAGTCAATTATTTATAACTCCCAACTTGTAAGTGGATTTCTAGCAAAATACCTGAGAGGCTGGTATAATTAGAGCCACGTTAATTCTTTAACCTCTGGCACAGCTTTGTTGAGAGGAGTAATAATCCAGGCACACTTGGTTAAACTAATATTTATTACAATGATACAACAAATTACATACAACACAGAAGTTACTTTATGTACAGTATGTACAAACAAGGCATTTCAGAGGCCTAACATTTTGATCACCCAGCAAACCTCAGACTGCTACTAAGAATGAAACTCGTAATGCCTACAGAATTGCCTTCTAACTTAAATATAAAACAACCTGCAGTTAAATCTCTCTCTCTCTCTCTCTCTGCACCCTGGATGCCACAGAATAAATGGGAGCCTACTATATATTCCTATTCATTAAAATGCACCCTAAGCAGGAAAGACATTTCTAATTGAGGTATCTTTTACCCAGGAAATCCAAATTCCCTAAAAACACAGAATAGCAAGCTCTCTCTAACAAGGTTCAGATACTGAGCTCCAGTCAGGTTTGATTTGGATGATCATGAAGTAGGGGGTCTTGCCTGGCGCAAGCTTCAAGTCCCCAACTCCTCTGGACTCCTCTCTGTTCTCTTTGTTGCCTGCTTCTTGTTGCTCCTCTCCTTTTACTCCAAATGTAATCTTATATTGTCTGTTGCTGTCCTGCTCCTTGGCAATCATTAACCCACAATGTACCTAGGTATATGAAGATAAACTTTACAATCCTCTCTGCTCAAGGGACCCCCCAGACCTCAGCAAACATCCTCTCTCCTTTGAAGTTAGAAGTGTTTACCCTTCTTAGTGTAACAAACATTAATCTAAAATCTAAGATACTTCTCAGTCACCTAAAGCTGTAACACTATATACATTTTTAAAGTGTTTTTTTGCAAGTCAGTTCAAGTTTTTAGTTGATCTGCTATAGTTTAAGGTGGCTAAACAACACTGCATTGCTACCCAACCCTAAGGAAGTAGAAGCTGTTATGTGCTTTTTGAGAGATGAGTGGAAACTTCAGCTCTGGCTTTGCCTGTCCTTTTTTTTTTGTGTCGTCTGTGAAGTGCATTAATCTTTTTAAGTCTTGCGGTAATTTGTTTTTTGTAAGATCATTACATTCTTTACAGGCCCATTAAATTGTATATGTTGACACCAGCAGAGGTTTGAATTCTCCATCCTATTTCCAATTGCTTCTGAGCCACCAGCTGGAAACCCTTAATCATATTTTAATTTTCTTGTTCTAGATTGAGAAAAAAAATCAGTTGGTTTTCTTTGTATTTACAGAATGGCTTATACCAGAATAAAGAACTCAAATATCACACAACAGCACATTAATAGGATTAAGAAGTCTTGTTCATTGTATTTAATAACAGATATTTTAAGTGTCTCTGCTGTCACCATGGGTTTCCTTGTACTGCAAGCTTCAAATTAAACTTAAAGTTCCTCACTAGAGGAATGACTTTAATCAATTATTTAAATCCCTACGCATTAGGCTTTTAATGTTTTAGCACAGTGGGGAGTAGTCACGTTGATAGTTGAAGTTGTAAGATTGAACTGGTACCAACTTACTTAACCAAGATATTCCCTGCCAGCAACAGGAGTGTGTTTTATGCCAGGCTCATTACTGTCATGTCTAAGTATCCTCATAGGATGTGCTTACTGTGTGTCTTAATAAATGCATGGGCTCTAATAATATTCTGAAAAAAAATAAAGAAACATTAGAAACCACAGTCTCCCCTTAGTTACAAATGTTTTAGTATGATAGCCAGTATGCTTTCACAAGAAACCCATGCATCTTCCTGCTATAGAGTGCTCTTTATTTATACTTCTGTTTCTTTGTCACTCATTCCTGTTATATTGTTTCCTTTCCTTTCCTGGCTCAAACTCGGAGACTATGATTTGATTTAAATTGGTTTACGTTTTGCAGCAGCCAGACCCATCATGTAAACTGTGAACATGACAGGTTGTATTGTGGTTTTCTGTGGTGCCACCTTATCACGTGTACCTCTGTTTAGAGTGCTAATCAATTCTGTCCTGTTCACTCTTCTCCTTTAGGAAGCCTTCTTTGGCAAAGACCTTTTGGACACGAGTCGACAGAACCGGTTGAACTTAGAAAGCAATCTCTCCGACGAAGACCCCACACAGGCCGAGAGCAAGCCTCCTAGCGCCAACACAAGTTTTCTGGACCCTTCCTCGGATCCGCTACTAAGTGCAGCCACCACAACTTTTTCCTCCAAAGGAGCAACCCAACGTATGTTTCAGCAGACCAAGTTATCAGATCATGGAAGTACAAAAACAAAGCAGCTGCCCTGCCTTCCTCATATCGCTACAGATATTCCTTCTGAGATGTCCCCTCAGCTTTAATTACATCTCATTTCTTTTAGTGAATCCATAGGGAAGAGCAATACTGTAATGTAGCATCTTTTTTCACTGTGAAAACCGCATAGTGTATTAATGTAAATTTTTGTTCTTCCATTTAGTAACTGAACTGTCTGTAGGGTTTCAAGGCAAGTGCTTTCATATTGGAATTTTTGGGGGAAGTGTTTTGTGAAATGAGGTCAAAAGAAACCCAACAGTGTATGTTTATAGCAAGTGTATAATTTGGACTTTCTGTATTGGCTAAACAGTTTTGTTCCCAGCAGCTGGGGAGTTTGTCCGTGTGTTCAGGCTTAGTGTAAAGTGTCATGCTTAGGTTTGCATTTTTATACTCTTGGGTTTTGCAGGTTGCATTTATGATACCCACCTCCTTAAAACTAAGGTCCAAAGAGAACTGTGTGAGCAATACTGCTCTCCAGGCTAGAATTCTTACATCAAGATATTACACAAATCCGCGGCTGTTTTTTATTTATGGTATTGCATGGCGGCTGACTTCACTGATAGAAAATAGTTGGATAGCAGGTAATTGCCCTGCCCTCTACGGATAAGTCTGTGGTTAACCCCTACTGTCAAGGCAAATGATGTATCTTATTATAATCAATAGATGTTTTTGAGAAAGTAGGCCTTAAAACTGAAATATTTAGACATTCATATGCCAAGGCAACAAATTCTTCTTGCATATCCCACACCCATTTGTGACCATATGAATATATTAAACAGGTGTTCTGCCTGAACTCAGCTGATACCCTGGCTTATTTTCAAGAAACGTCTGGATGCGATCCTACGATCAATAAGCTTCTTACTTCTAAACTGGCATGAAGGGCTAAATGGCTCCCTCTTTATTTTAGCTGTTCTTATGAAAGAAGTATCTGTATAGTACACAAAATGTTTATTGTATTCACCCACAGACTTAGAACTGATCTGTGGTTATATTAGAATGATCCATTTTATTTGGCATAATTTTTTTTAATTCCAGCCAATTCTGAGGATCCTTTGGCTGTCCTTTCGGAAGTGCTGAGCAATGATGATGATATCCTGGGAATTCTGTCCGATGACTTGGTGAAACCTGGGGATGATTCAGGTATACAGGGGGCATCTGTGGGTAGTTTCAGTAAAAAAACACCTTTCCCCACAGGCCTGTGCAGCTTCATGTGGTTTCTCGTGAGAGTCTTAATCTGTGATGAGCATCTTTGGTTTTAGTCACATCTTTTAAATTCTTTTGCCCATTTAATTGTATTTTGTTCTTGCTTGGGCATCTTATTTTTGTGTTGCCTTTTTACACAGTATACTGCATTTGTGCTTTATCTGAATGTTCTTTGCTTTATCTGCCATTTTTTTGACCGATTCACTCGTTCCCTTTTGGCGTTTTTTTTTGTTTTCCAGTTTTGTTCAGTTTGCTTTTTCTTTGTTATATTCACCCATTTTATCTGGTTTGGGTTCCTGTAGGTCTTGATTTATGCACTTTCCAGGTCGAGAACTCTCCCTCTCCATTTGGTAAGAGATTACACCATGGCCTAACCATGGCTAGAAGTAGTGTCGACCCTCTCTTGGGCTCTCCCAGCTCTACGCAAAATCTTGCCGTGTGTGTGTTGTGCTCAGTGTTTGCATGGTTCCTTTCCTTCTTTCACTTCTTCTCAGTAGCCCTCTTGATCTTATTTTAATTTCTGTTTCGCTGTACAAGATAAACTGCACGATATGCATTATATAGCACTCCATGATCTTGAGTTTTACCAACGTTTCTGGAAAATGTGTTCTGTACTGTATCTGGTCAGTTGAGATGCTGTATATAATTTATGTTGACATAAATTAGTATGTACATTCTTGACACTATAAAAATTCTATACTTTTTTTCCCAGATACTTAAGTGTTAAATCTAAATAAAGAGGATAACATAACGGTTCTTAAGCTTGCATTAGATGTAATTTGGAACCATTTTAATTGCAAATTCAAATCGAGTATAATCAGTTATTAAGGCCTTATGTCCTATGGTTTGTCATTGTTTTAATCTAGTGGAATAGAGATGTAAACAGTATAACTGATGGACAGGAATGAAAAACTACAGATTGCGAGATATGCTTTCTACAACTTCTTTTAAAATATGCCGATAGCTTGTTCTCCATCTTACTAATTATAAACCAAGACTTTGGAAATTGATTAGCTGGGGAGGTTGCATAAGGCAGGTGCAGAAGCTAACCCTTTGTGTAGCACACAGTGAAATGTATTTTCCTTTTAGTCCTAACCTGTAATATGTTACCTTGTTCATCAGATTAAACTGGAATACAGAAACAAAATTAAGGCTTGTGCATAAGCAGTCATTTCAGCAGATGAGGTGTATACATTTCTATTGGATAATCCTAAATGTAGAATATCAACTTCAGTTTCTCTTTAGATTTTCTGCAAGATAGGGATGGAAATAAGGCTATGAATAGATGTCAGCGTGATGCTTTTCAGGTTTTAGGAACTCTTATCCACACTGTGCTGGATATGCTGGAAAGTGCTCTCGGTGTTCTTCTTTTTTGCTGCACATTGCTATCTGCTTAGATTCACACAAAATACAGTAACGCGCTGGAAATGTCCATTTCCTGGTGCCTGCAGCTCTTGAAACCTAATTCCCACACTTGTAAGAGGTGCCAGAACTCAATACGTTTTCACTCCAAAGCTTGGATTAGGCGAAAGAGATGAAGGAGCAGCTCCCCCTGTGCAGTGTGGTTTTCACTAGCATGTCAAGACATGTGGAGAACACATGCATTAGCTTTGTGAGCCTTTGACTGGTCTGTCACTCCAGGAATAATAGCATTTTGGTGTTTTGGTTGTTTGTCTTGTCCTGGGGGCTGCAGCTGAGGTTAAACCTGGGCTTCCTTTGCTCTCTTTAGCTGGACTGGATATAGTTCCCATTGCGGATGATCCGTCTGCTGCCCCACAGCAGACTCTGGGCCGGAGTGTGCGCTCCCTGCCCGAGGAACCACTGGATGGGATTCTCAGTCCCGAACTGGATAAAATGGTCACTGATGGTAAGGCAGAGGAGCTTTTTTTGGTCCCCTACCTGGTTTTATTTACAGGTACTTTCTTTATCTTAAATGTCTTTTCTCTTGCAAGACTCCAGAATCCTGTTAAACGTCCCAGCATATTTAACTTGAAGCCGAATTGTTCTCAGTAGCGAGATTTCTATTCCAAAGGGCCCCAGCTTATCGGTTGCCGTGGCTCAAGATATAAGTGCTGATCATTTAAGTACAATAGAAAATAGTTTGGTGAATCACACTTGCATATTTGTTCAAAAGTGCATGCGTCTTCCAATGTGTCAGCGGTGGGACCATGGCTCAACCTAATTAATGGTGCGAGTTGACAGGAAATTTGAAAGGGACAGGGGTCGCACCTGGATGGGAAGCTTGGCTGATTCAGACCTGCCTAGCCTTGACTGAGCTCATCTAATAACGGCTCCGAGCACTTGTTGAGGCAATTGGAAGTGCCTGGGAGTTGTCCTGTAAGGAGTAGGAGCTTCGTTTTTGTTGGCATCATTACTTCTTTTGAGGCTACAAATCCACAAGGACTGTACCATAAAACTAGGTTTGGACAAACCCTGAATTCAGTTTCAAAGTATGGTTTAAATGTCAGTTTAAAACATCTCCTATTTTTAAAGATGTTTAAGATGAAAGGTACTGTTTCTGATCTCCGAATGTTCTTTTTTCAATAGCGTGTGTAGAAATAGCTCTTAAATTGCTCACATGTAATGTAGCTTTTTTCTAAAAAACGGTTACCTTCGGGACATAAGAGTTTAGAAGAGCAATACTGGCTCCCAGCATGGATTGAGCTCGGTGATCCAGGTGCTGCAAGGTTAGCTCTGGTTTGTGTCACTGTGTAATTGGGAATCCCCAAACAGCAAAGTGGGCCAGTTCCACTGAGAGCGATGGGACAAGTCAGCCAGGCCTCTCTGGGCTGCTGGTAAAATGGTATCCCTTGTGTCTTCCTGACCTGCCTGTAAGCTTGTAGTCAGTGAGGGACATTCTGTTTCTACATTTGAACTTGCTGTAGATCTCTGCATTTTCTGTGGTCCGCCAAGAGATTAGTGGCTCAGTGGCCCGATGCGATTTGGAGAAAACTGTCAGCACTTTCTCATTCTGCCCGTGTGGCCAGTGTGAACCATGTCATAAAGATGCAGGTGGCAGTTTCAAACTGGTCTGGTATGTAATAGAAAAGGCGGAGAATAAATCAGTTTTGATTGCTTTTCAGTTGAAACTTGCAGCTCAGGTGTCAGTCAGCTTAAAGTGCCCCCTTGTTTCTGTTCTTTACAATGGAGGTGACCTGACACTATTGAGAAAGCGTTTAGTTTCTGTGGATTTGGCCTATCCTTAAAAAGCACTCTGATTTTACTCAATACGCTTTTCTTTATCAATTCATAATTCTTCTTCTTTGTGAGCCACTGCCTCTTAACCATGAACTTTTTGCATAAGACTTGTTTTGCTACTGCTCACACTCCAAATTTGACAGCTTCAGACAGGCAAAAACAGCAGTGCAAGAAAAGCAACTTTACCCCTAAATGTCTCAGCATTGATCATAGGCTTTATCCTTAAAGCTGACGTTTTAAAATTTGATTCATTTTACTTTATTTTTACAGTTGGCCTAAAGCTGCTGTTGATTCCTGACATCTTTTTTTTGTTGTTTCAGGTGCGATTCTCAGCAAGCTTTACAAAATCCCAGGTGGGTTTTGATCTCTCCCGTGCTGATGTTTGTAGACGCAGCCTTTTCTTGGGGGGGGTTGGTTTCTGATGCGAGATAGCGGCTAACTTTGCTGTTGATCTCCACCCGCACAGAGCTTGAAGGGAAGGATGTGGAGGACCTGTTTACTGCTGTTCTGAGTCCCAGCACCAGCCAGCCCCCACAGCTGTCGCACCCCGCGCCCCCGCCGCCGCCTGCCGGACCCGCCGCGCCAGGGCCACCCCTCCCCCTGCCGAACCCAGGTGAGTCGGGACTTCCCAGACAGAACTACTTCAGCACACTGATGTCAGGTGCACCTGTGGCCAGTCTGTCCTGTTATTAACTCTCTAGGAGTGCATACAGATCCTGTGTGTTTTTCGAGACCTTCTCAATTCTCCAGTTATTTTTTTTAAGCAGCTCGGGGGTTTTCTGCACCGAGACAGACAGTGCAGTCAGTGGAAAAAGGGTGCTTCTGAGTAACCGACACAAGATCAAAGGACACTCCTGTGGTGGGGGGGAGAGGAGGTTATCGAAGTAGACGAATCAATAAGAATCTGATTTTCATGCAGAAAGTAAAACTTAGCGGAGAAGGGAATTGCTTTTTGCATCGCCTTTTTCTCCGTGCCGAGTCTTCTGGGTCTTGTGGCTGTCGATCAGACGATGCCAACTTCTTGCCGCCAAAGCAGTTCTTGAGTGAAAACCGGAACCCTGGTTCTGCAGTGCCTGTAGGGTTGTACGCCGAGCCTAGTTTATGTGCGCTTCTCGTGCAGTGTGTTCGGCGCTCTGAAAGCCCGTTTTCAATTGCAGGAGATGGCATGTTTCCTAGAATGCCAGTAATGAATGGCCTGATGGGTCCAGCCCCCCATTTTCCTACAGCCCCCATGAACCCTGCGGGCGGACCCTGCATTCCTGGCACCTTCTCGCCCATCCATCGCATGCCGTTCCCGGATGCTGCCAGGTAGGCTCCTGACCTCGCTTCCGCAGTCCTGCCCAAATCAAGGACTTGCTACGTCCTACATCGGATGTCTGGCGATTTCGATCGGTTTGGGAAAACGCTGAAATCTGTCTTCGGTGGATGTGTGCCTCTTCATCATTACAGATTTCGACTGTGCCACCGTTTCTTTGGAGCCGGTTTTGTATCTTTGGACAAGTGATGTATTTCTGTAGTCCAATGGGGAAAAAAAAACGTGCACTGAACTTGCCTGTCCTAGAGTGGTTAATTTGTCATTTGAAAGATTACAAAATGGTCATTTTAAATCCTCAGAGAAAAACAATCCTGTACAGATGTGAATATCATGCCATCTGTTTACTTCAATTTATATACTGTCTTCCAGTATGTAAATGAAGAGAGTCAAACTTCATCTGAATGCATAGTAATACCTTGTCATGTAAATTCAGTGCATAAAGTATAGACGTGATAACTGCAGAGTTTTGTCGAATTAATGTTTTGAAAACAGCCATGTGATTAAATAGATCCTGTAATCAAGGCAAATTCGTCTCGGACACTTCCAGTAGCGCTAATAGTGAACTTCTAACGGTAATGGTGCTCGACAGGGACAAGAAGCATCAGTTCACTCAGGTGGTCAGCGACCCCGTGGGCTCATGGCCGCCGCCGGTCCCAGCGGCCGAGGGGGAAGCCGACACCATGTCCAGCGCCCAGAGGAGCACCCTGAAGTGGGAGAAGGAGGAAACACTCGGGGACATGGCCACTGTCGCCCCCGTCCTCTACACCAACGTGAACTTCCCGAACCTCAAGGAGGAGTTCCCTGGTGAGTCGAGAGGGCGAGACCAGCCCGGGTCCCCTTTGCGCAGTGAAAAGGCTTGATGTACAGAAGTGATAGTTAAATAGTTTGGCAGAGACTCTGTCTGTGGGAAAACGTTCGATAAGAATGACGATTAATAACTTGGAGAACAGTTGGGTCATACTCAAGGCATCCCTGGGCTGTTTTTAACAGCACGTACAAGGGGTTTAGATGGTCTTTTAAATCCGTTTTTTTTTTTTTGGAATAACAATGCATCTTTTAGATTATTTTTTTAAGGTTTTCATTGTTTCTTCTGGCAAAGCAGCCCTTTGTTGAAACGCGATCCTAGCTGTTCTCTGGTTCCTCCGCAGACTGGTCTACAAGAGTAAAGCAAATTGCAAAACTGTGGAGAAAAGCCAGTTCCCAAGAACGAGCACCATATGTGGTAAGAGGATCATTTGTACATTGTTAGTCAAAAATAAATGCACAACTCTTTACGTTTAACAAGAATATAGCAAAATGTGATTTGTAAGAGCGTATTTGGAAAAATTGAGCCCCTATAACTGAGTCAAAATGCCCTTGGTAGTGCATTTAATCAAATATGATGGGATAAAATGCAATATGGCATTTGGTTTTAATATTGCTTGTGCTTTTGCGTAGTTTTTTAATTGTAATCTTGACATTTTTGATGCAGTTCAGCTCGAAACATCAGCCAGAAATTTTGAATGTTCAGATTTTTCATTCATGTCACAGTTTCCATTCTAATTCTAGTTGATAATTCGTTGCTTGTCCAGTTATGAAGAAGTGGCACAGGTTTGTGTTTGATGTACATTTAGTGGTTTTGTAACTAAGTGATTATAAGCTTGCCCAGTGACTTCTGACTCTTTTTTGCTGTACTGGCAAACATTTTAGTGTAATTTACTCTATTCTGTCTCCGTGATTTCAGATATATTTTGATATTAATGCATTGTGCCAGTATCCCACAGCAAGTTGACAGCAGCTGTTCCTCCTTTTTTCTTTTTTTAAGAAGTGGAATATGTATCGTACTGTTTTAATAGATTCATCTCAGTATAGTTTACTTTTGAAATGGCACAGGGGAGTAAGATCATGAGTGAATGTTTGTATATCTTTCTTGTAGTTCGCTTTTCTGAAGGGTTTTTAGGACCTCTTGGGTTTAGTCTTGTATTTCTGTATCTTCTTTGAAATGTTTTGGGGGATTTCTTTTCCCAGAATTCTGTTTCAGACTTGGCTTAAGTTTTAGCTTTCATTTCTGTTTCAGACCTTGAATCCAGTAAAAAGTTTGTATTTACTTACTTTCTAAAAGGATGTATTGTATCTCTGATTACAGTTCGGCATTGTCAACATTTTCAGGCAGATTGCTTTTTTTGTTCCAATGTGCTCCCATAGGTGTCTTCCTCAGCCACTGTAAAAGGTTTTGCAAGAAAGGGTCTCGTTTATAGCCCCAGGCTAATTTGTGTAGTTTCTCGCTAGTTGAGTATTTAGCACACAGTTTGATATTTGGGCATTCACAGATTAAGCAATTAGCAAAGACATCTTATTAAGAGAATTACTGCTCACACTGGCTGCTGTAATTAAGTAAATTAAGCATTTATCTAGTGGGTGCTATTGGGTCAGGAGACTTCGGCTGAATATGTAAAAACCTCTTTTTTTCGACTGTGTGCTGTACACCAAGCTGTATGGACCTTCAGTAATCACAGACTCGTATGATATCAAGCTTGAGGTTTGTGTGATGTGCATTAGAACTGTGATCCACTCAGCATTTCCTCTGTTCTCCTTGTATAAACCCCTCTTCACTCTCCATAGTGGCTGCTTCTGTGCAGTTTGCCCTTACTTGCTGATCTCTTCACCACTCGTCTCCAGTCCGTCACTGTTCTGTCTGTTCCCCATCATCCTCGCTGCCCCTTATAACAACAATAATAATTCCTTCCATTTGAATAGGTTTTCACCCTAAAGACACCCATTTTCTGCCCATCAACTAGCAGATTCCAACCTTGGCTATCATTCTCCTCCCCTTGTGCTTCAGTGGTGAAGCCCAATAACTAGAGGCAGCAGCATTGCCTAGCAGGCGGAGTTCTCAGGCTGCCTGTCCAGATTGTAGCTGTAAACAATTCATTCCTGTAAATGCCAGATCTGTCCTTCCATGTTTTGCGTATGCAATTATATTGATGATATTAGATCAATTACTCTTTAAAGTTGACAATTTTTTATTATTTTTTTAAATGTATTGTTTGGAATATCAGTGGTCATGGATGAAAGTGTTAGCTAAATGATATTCAAATGTATACAGTATGTTTGCTGGTGTGACAAAAGCCAGGCCATTGCAGTAGGTCTAGTTGAGTTTTGAAATGGCAGTTTTTGCTTTGTTCTGGTGGTGTTTGGCTGGTGTTTGGAGAAATTTGTGACTTCTAACAATCTTTTTAGCTTTGCAAATGTAAGCCCTGTGAAAGTCGTGGATGTTTTTGTACTGGAACTTCACAAAGACCTAAAACTACTTTTTACGTAATGTATTTTTTTCCAGCAAAAAGCAAGAGATAACAGGGCTGCCCTGCGTATTAATAAGGTCCAAATGTCCAATGATTCCATGAAAAGACAGCCTCATCCTCCAGACATTTATGATCTTGTTGAGCCAGAGCCATATAAGGAAACACTGAAGCACAAGGAATCTGAACATGAACAGGAGTGGAAATTCAGACAGGTAAGACATGCATTGGTGTTCCATAGATAAGGTATTACTGCCTTTTTATCAATCAAACTTATGCTGCACCTCTGACATTCTCAGTATTACACAAATAGAACATAAAATCTGAATTCAGATTTTAACCTTTTCCTATGTGGAAACAGTCACACCTTTAAATGCATGGATGAAAATAATTGTATAGTTTGCATTATTCAGACTCTAATTCTTTAATTTGCATTAATTGAAAAGGAAGTGTTATGTCAGATGTGTGGACCCCTTAAGAAGCAACAGGAAAAGATTCCAAAAAGCAAAGCCATAACTTCAAATAAAGAAGTCCTTTTTGGACATTCCAACCAGGCATCTAAAGCTGCAGGATGTGGAAAATATACTCTGGTAAGATCTTGGGCAGGCCCTCCTCTGGATTAGTCTGCCAAGAACTAATAATAAAAATTTACAAGGTGGAAATAAAGAGATTGGATGTTGCAGAGAGAAAGTGGTTAGTTGTGTTTGGCCTATACACATCTGTAATTACTGTTTCGAGGAGCAGTGTCACAACACTTCTCACTTATATTTTATGTACTTTATATGTATGCTGTCACATTAAGATGTCTTACTTCCTGCATACTATAGCACTTGGAGGCTGTTTCTGTTGTAATAAAGCGCTTTACAACAGCGCTTCATAACCCTTAATGTTCTTAGTCCTCTGTCAATGAAAAGTCAATTGGCAGGTTTTTACAACAGGCTAAGTAATCAATTCATAGTCAGCAAGCATACAAAACAACATATAAATTAAAGGGCTAAAATGTTAAAACGATTTTTGTCTCCGTAACAGCAAATGAGACAGAAAAGCAAGCAGCAAGCCAAAATTGAAGCTACTCAGAAACTGGAGCAAGTAAAAAGCGAACAGCAGCAGCAGCAGCAGCAACAGTTACAACAGCAGCAGCAGCAGCAACAGTTCACTGGACAGTCAGGGAGTGATACACCTACCAGTGGGAATCAGAGCCCCCTTACTCCCCAGCCTAGCAATGGAAGTATGTCCCCTGCACAGCAGATGACGTCCAAAGATGCCTTTGCAAGACCTCAGCTGCCTAGCACGCCCACATCGGGGGCTTCGGATGATGTCTTTCTTCGACCGCAGCCCCCCCCACCTGCTGCCACGCGGATGCCGGCGCAAGATTCCTGTTCACAGGCCCAGTCCACCCAGCCTCAGTCCCCGCAGGTGTTCTCTCCTGGCTCCTCTAGTTCAAGACCCTCTTCTCCATGGGATCCATATGCGAAGATGGTGGGAACCCCTAGACCCCCTCCGATAGGGTCAGGTGCAGCCAGGAGGAACTCTGTAGAGACCTGCAACCCTCCACCAGTCAGGCCAACGGCAGAGCAGCAAGAAAGGGGTAATCCTTCTCCTGCCCACGAGTCCTTTGGGTCTCCAACGTCCATGAGCAATGATCCCTATGCAAAACCACCAGACACACCCAGGCCTGTGATGTCCACAGAACACTTTGTAAAGCCCATGGTCCCCCCAAGGTCAATGCCTGCTCCAGAGTCACCTGGAAAGCACCCAGCAGGACCAGGGCACCGTGCCGAAGTTTACCAGAGGATGTCACATAACAGGATGATCCTTTCTGATCCATACACCAGGCCTTTGCTGACTCCTGTTCCTGGAAGCAATGAGTCAGGCTCCGTCCCCCTCTTTAAAACCCCAATGCCTCCTCCTTCACAAGACCCATACAACTCTGTGCCTTCAACACAGAGGCGCCTGCCTGTTGACCCATACGAAAGACAGGTGCTGACGCCAAGGCCTCCAGATAGCTTTAACCAAAACCAGCTGAATGACCCTTATGCCCACCCGCCACTTACTCCCCGCCCAGCAGTGAGTGACAGTTTTCCAGCCCCTCCCAGGATGATGCGCCATCCACAAGGTGACCCCTTCTCACAGCTTGGGCCTGCAGCACGACTTCCTTCCAGGGATCCGTATGCCCAGGCCCCATCCACCCCGAGGCCAGTGTCGGATTCCTACTCGCAGGTTCTTGGCGCTTCTCGACCCCCACCGGACCCCTACGCACAACCGCCTGGCACCCCTCGCCCGTCCTCGGACCCTTATTCACAGCCTCCTTCAACGCCTCGGCAAATGTCGGACCCCTATGCTCAGTCGCCTTCGACCCCCCGGCCCTCTGCGGTGGACCAGTACCCTCAGCAGCAGCAGCCGCCTCACGCTTCAAGGCCATCTCCCTCACACTCAGCGGACCCTTATGCTCAGCCGCCAGGAACTCCCCGACCTGTGATGGGGGAGAGGTATTCAAAATCTCCTGTCAGCCAGAGAAATTCTGATCCCTACGCTCATCCTCCAGGGACGCCAAGGCCTGCAAAGAATGACCCATACTCTCAGCCACCTGGAACCCCCAGACCAGTGCTGAATGACCCTTATGCCCAGCCTCCAGGTACACCAAGGCCTGGCGCCTCAGAGGTGTTTAACCGACCTGTCGTCTGCAGGCCTGGACAAATGCCAAACCCAGACCCCTTCTCATCGCCACCACAGAACAGAGGTGTTGGTGGGCAAGAGACATTTTTGCGCCCTGCGGCACCTGGCCCTCAAACCTTAAAACACTCGGTTATACCAGAGGATGGTTTCGCACCGCCTCAGCCCAACCAGACACCGATTCACGATCCCTTTGAACAGGCATCTTTGAACCCTCGGCCGCAATCTGGGGAAAGGCTTGCGCTTGATGTGAACGAACAGCAGGGCACAGGACATGAGGGCAACTATGGAGTTTCTCCAGAGCACAAATTGAACCCCCAGGCCATGGGGCAGTTTTGTAATATCCCACAAACAACAGGAGCAGCAAATGAGCCAAACAGTGTGCAGCAACCCCAGGGAGATACTGAAGAAAAGCTCAGACAGGTAAAGGTTGTTCTGATTTTATTTTAAACAGCCCGGGAGGTACTGAGAGTCACAGGAAAACCTGCATGTCACTTGCGTCAATTATATAGCTACTGTTGAGGGTTCAGTTATTAAATAAAGGTATTAATACCATGTTTACATGAATGACCAGTTAAAACATGGTGACTATTAAAGCAGCCCCTTGGAAGATCTCCAAGAGTAAACTTGGTGTTTAAGGAAACAGACTGGAGGCTTCCTCCTTCTTAGCCAAAGAGTGTGCTGTAGCCTTACATGTGTTTCAGTAATTCAGGTATTAGAAATACTGCTTAATTTAATCATTAGTATTTTTTCAGCAGAGAGTACTGTAAAATGACTAAGGAAAAAACATGTATTATCATAAAACCCCGTTTTGCCAAAAGGTCAACAACCACATGGGTGAAGAGTCAAAAGAGAGCTTGGGATTGTGGTGCTTTTAATCTAAGCACTATTGTTGTAGTGTTTCTAACAGCAAAATGGTGCTTAATCCCAAAACAGCTTTGTAATACCTGGCAGCAAAAGTAAATATTACATAAACACTAATCCAATTAAGATGTGAAACCTATATTTAATGAAAAATAATTTGCCACATTAAGGAGAAAACAAATCTAAATGTTTCAAGCACTATTTAAAGAAAATACCTGTAATTTGGCTGTTGCCTGGCGTTCATTGCACTTTCAACAGAAAGCTGAAAATAGTCCAAGGAAATATGTTTCTGCATGCATTCATAACCTCCAATGCTCCAGTTCAGTCTGGTATTTTCTATGTTGTTATTCTCCTTATGCAAGCTTTTCATGCATAAAATTGAAGCCCAGAAATAACTGTTGGGGGGGAAAACAAAAGGTTTCTTTCTGTTCTCCATTCAGTTGCTTAAATGCAGGTAATCTTGCCTTGTCAAGTTAGCCCACCTAATGATGTAATTGCATGGTTTTAGGTATAAATACAGGTTGTTTCAGTAATACTGGGAAAATAAATATAACATTTAGTATGGGGTGATGTATTAAATCCCATCTGTACTGCTATTTGTTTTTTTCTCGGCATTTAAATCTGAATATTTACAGTAAATGTGGCTCTGTGCTCAAAGCTGGGGGGTAGGCAGTTGTCCGATCACCGGTATTGACAGAATTCAGTACTTTCATCTGTGGGGTATTTTTCTCCCTAGTCCAGTATTAGTTGCGTATTTCATTCGTTCTCAGGTTTACGGCAGCAATGTTAAAATACATATAGTTTCTTTAAACTGTGGACCCCAGTGTGGACCCCAGTGTGAAGGCATAGAGGTTCCACCCTGTTCCTTGATCGACACGCGTGCGCCCCAGCGGTTTTCATGAAGCGATCGTGCGCCTGAAGTCTGAACGGTTGTTCATGTGCTGCAGCGCCAGCGCCTGAGGGAGCTGATCCTGAGGCAGCAGCAGCAGAAGAGTGCCATCCGCCAGGAGAAGGGCCTGCAGGAGCCCGCCATCCCGGCGGCCGCAGGAGCGGCTCGGCCCTGGTCACAGGACGAGGCCGTCCAGCAGAGCGAGCTGTTCAACAGGCCTCCTCCCCCGTACCCAGGGACGGCGCGGGGTCCCCTCATGCCGGGAGCGCCGAGGTTTCCCGGCCCTTTTCCGGGTGAACCCCGAGGACCCTTTGCTGGGGAGGTCCAGTTCAACAGACCCCAGTTTCCCGGAGATGTCGGTGGCATGGGCATGAGGCCACATGGGCCCAGGTAGGTCTCGGTGAAATAGCGTTTTAAAACAAACATGGTTTTTTTGTTCGGCGCGTGAGAATCTGTGTACCAGAGTGGGGAATGTCATCGTTTCATTAATATCATCAATCGATCCCACAGGAATTTGTGAAATGCGTAATTATTTTATTTGGTAGGGACCTGTTACTTAATCCCTTTATGGGATATATTTAATTGATATGCTGTTAGTTTCGAAACTGGTGCTGAAGCACTACAGGGTACAGGAGGGAAAAAGTCTTGCCGTCAAAGTCCTGGGGTTTTCTCTTTTGGTCACAGATTGCTACTGTATTGGCTTCTGACCCTTTAGCTTCGGGGTAGAGCCATTAGTTTCATCAGCCTCACAGCATCATACTGCACACATCTAAAGAAGCCTTATCTGGACTGTTGGCAGGAGAAATAATGGATAAATCAACTGAAGTGGTGGTGTGAGTGGTGCATTAAAATAACTAATCACAAAAAGATTAAATAGCTAGAGTTGGAGAACCCAAACACAGGTTAAAGGCTTACCTGTATTCTTCAGCAGATAAAACAAACACACATGGTTCCTTGTGTTTCCAAATTGAGCATCATAGTTTTGGTACCAGTTTATGGACCAGAACATATGCTGTTACATGTAGCTTAGAACTTGTAGGAAGGTTTTTTTAATGCGTTTTTCTTATTTTATTTGGTTCTGCAGATTTGGTTTTCCAACTGGTGGGCAAGGACCACTTGCAGTGCAAGAGCATTTTATGCGACCTCCGCATCAGATGCAAGGTCAAATACTTGACGTTCCACCACAGATGAGAAGGTCCTTGTCTGTTGATCTCGTGCGACCGATGGGAAATAATCCAATGGGACTTCCCCAGCATTTTCCTCCTCGTGGCATGCCAATGCAACAGCACAACATAATGGGGCAGCCTTTTATAGAACTCAGACATAGGGCTCCTGAGAGCAGACTTAGGCTTCCCTTCAACCCTTCTGTAATGACAGGGAATGTTATGGATCCATCCCTTCAGCCTCAAAGACCAGTGGGATTTATGAGTGGGCAAGAAATGGTGTTCCCTGCCCATCTGGGCCCAAGAATGATGGAACCAATCCCAGGCCAACCACCGGGAATGGCTCATATTCAGATGTCATCTAGTCTAGAGAATATAGCCCAGAATCCTGTTCAGATGAATGCTGGACAGCCCCATGCTCCACTGATGAGATCTTTGAGCCATCCTTCTACAAATGATACTTTCAGCGTAGCTCCATCCATGCTTCTGCCTCCAGCACCCGCTGAACCAGCAGAAGAGATTCCAATTGCCAGCTCAGAGGGAATTGAAGAAAAGCTAGATACAGATGACTCTGCTGTGAAAGATTTAGATGATGTGGAAGTCAAAGACTTGGACGATGAAGATCTTGAAAATCTCAATCTTGAGGATGGTAAAGCTGATGATCTGGACCTTGAAACTAATGACTTACATCTGGATGACTTCTTAAGATCAGGAAAGTTTGATATTATTGCATACACAGATCCCGAACTTGATTTGGGGGACAAGAAAGACATGTTCAATGAAGAGCTTGATCTAAGTGATCCTATTGATGACCAAGCAGAGACTGCAGAAGAACACAAAGCGTCTGGAGGTGTGGCCGAAAATAAGAATGCTGCATCTGTCAGTGCTGTACCCTGTCAGACAAAGACTGAAACTGTTGTAGAGGGAAAAACTGAGAAAACACCTGAAAAGCCTCAGGATAATGATAACCTGAAAATCAGCAGCCCTAATAAGGAAGCTAATCTTCCATGCACAGTGAGTATAGTTAAAGCTGAAGTGAAAGAATGTTTAATACACACACAGGAATGTTGTAGCAGCAGTGATCAAACAGACAGGTTAGGATGTAACCAAGAAAACACTGGAGATAACCCAAGCATTTCTGAAGCATCTGCTCAGCTGTCAGCCCAACCTAGTGGTGGCAGCCTCTCTGGTTCAACTCCAGTGCTTTCTAGTTTGTTGATCAAAGACAAGCCAGATGACACAGGGCTTATAGATTCTCCAAATCAAAGTGACCTGACATCCCAGTCAAGCCAAGTTACAGGAACGCAGCAGAACCCTGCTGTGATAATGACACCAGGGCAAGTACAAGACCATGTGATGAATCCTAGTCTGCCTTTGGGTCAAAGGATAAACCCTGGTTTCTCTCAGGGAGCACCGCTAGTTAATCCAAACTTTGTTCAGGGCCAACATCCCTGTCAGAACTTCGGAGCTGGGCAACCTGTAGACCAGACCATCCCCAACAACATGCCAGCAGCAGGGGCTCCGCAGGCAATGTTCCCCCACAGCTTGAATCAGCAGAACCGGGAGAGGCCTCTGCTGCTTGATGAGCAGCCACTTCTTTTGCAAGACCTGCTGGACCAGGAGAGACAGGAACAGCAGCAGCAGAGACAGATGCAAGCAATGATCCGCCAGCGATCCAATGACTCGTTCTTTCCCAACATCGGTAAGACGTCAGCGTAGCGATGCTTCTTTGAGGTTATTAAATCCCAATCATTCGAAGTCTAATTTTGGGCATCCACCTACATGAAATGAAGATGAAAGCAAAAGCACATTTTTTAGTTTTGTATTTTTAAAATGGAGTGTTCCCCAGTATAAGAAGAAACGCAAATCAGTTTTTCCTGATTTTGATCTTTTCCTATACTCTATACTATTGGATATTCAAACAAACCTTATAATTGTACTAAACCAAATGGAGCTGGTACCTTAGGCTGTTAGTGCAGCTACACGTTCTTACCTAGTCCTTTAATTTTTCTGCAACCCGCATGTAGTGTTTATGAAACACAGGAAAATGACCTCTGTTGCCTCAAGTTATCAGAATTTCTAGATGAATTCTTCATAGATGTCAACAATTTCTTTATTTCATACGTTTAAACTATGTAACTCCCAATGTATTCCTTTTAGATCATAACATATTTAGTGTAATTCATATAGTATGTGCTAGCTTAATTAAAATTAGTTCACCTTGTCGTACCATCACATGTAATGATCATTTTCTGTAGTGTTAAGTCAGCATAAGGGTACCTGTTACAAGGTAACAATATTAGACATTGATTTAATCTCTTTATTTTTCCAAATTATTATCTATAATATATACAGCACAGTAGACTTAATATGGGGGCTGCTTGTTTTCTAAACAATACAAGTTGAACTCAATACAAAGCGGAAAAGACATTTTCATATATTTTTGCTTGCAGTGAGCATGGCTTATTTGTTTTATAACTTTCTGAAACTTTGCAGACTTTGATGCCATTACTGATCCTATAATGAAAGCGAAGATGGTTGCTCTCAAAGGCATCAACAAAGTAATGTCTCAAAACAACCTGGGGATGCCTCCCATGGTCATGAACAGGTATGACATGCAGATTGAAATATCTGATTCACTTCTTCTTGTTCGTAAGCCTTGTTTTGTAATCTGGTAAATCTGTTTGGTAAAATCTGCTAAATGTATTTTCTTTATTTTCTAAATTTTCTTTTTTCTTTATTGAAATCATTCTAAAATTATTTTATGTTTCTCCAAAGTGTAGTTAGGCCTTTGTATTAACAAAGCAAATATTAATCTGGAGTAGGGCAAACTCATTTTGTTAATCCAGTATCTGAGATTTAAGAAAATGTTTTCTTTTTCTGACAGATTTCCTTTTGTGGGTCAGCAAATGCCTAGTGCACAGTCTGGGGATGGCTCCTCTCTCCCGCAGCAAGCGGTCGGCCAGGTAATTTAAGGTTATCGGTGTCGCAACAATGATACAATGTGGCATTTGGCTTCTCCGTACACATTAACACCTTAGCCTATATCTTTGTTTTTTTTTTAGGATGGCAAGTTAGCACCACAGATGGCGAGACCTAATCCTCCCAATTTTGGACCAGGTTTTGTTAGTAAGTAAATCTATAATGTAAATGCATAATTGCTCTTTTTATTATTTTGTAACTAAAATGCTTTGAGGAACTTACGTTTTTGAGGGAAAGTCCTGTGCTACTTATACTGAAAAGTGAAAAGTGTACTGATGCATAGAAGAAACGGCACTTGGGTCGAATGATTGGAATCGAATTTTCAAAATTGGTATAAAACGTGACAGAAAACTCTTAATCGAGCGGGACTCTCCACTCTCCACTGGGTTCTTGGATTTGTCGATGTTCTTGGAGTCACTATGGGGAAAAAAAGTTGGACACCCCAACATTGTTGTCATGACTGAGTAGTAAGGCTCCCCTCAATCTGCAGATCGGCATCAAAGGAAATCATGTGTTCAGGGAAATTCGTCCTCAGGCCATTACACTTTTGCCAACCCTTCTGGTTGCCTTGAACACTGCGACTATCATCAGCCCACCCACAATGATGCATCCACCCTTTTTTAAAGCCTGCCAAAGAGCAAAATGGTATTTCTCTGGCAATGAAATGCTCCACCGGTCCACTTGTCGCTGCTTTGGATATTCTGCGAGGTTGTTCTCCAGGCATGCAGATCATCTTCATAGGTTATTCCGCAGATAAGTAGATTATTCCTGCCTAGACTTTAAACTGGGACAGGAAGTTGATGGTCCACAACCAGTGTGGTGAATACCTGCCTTCAGGGTCATGGCCTGCCACCCACTGAGCCAGTTTCCTGGTTTCTCTGGACTGGTCTATTGAATGAAACATTTTTTCAAAGACAGGCCCACTTCAACATTTCAGTCATGGTTTTAGTAACGGGCAATCTCACTATTTTTAATGAAATCATAGTTTATTATCCTGATGAACAATACATTAAAAAAATCAGCAAACTAGAGTGCTGTTTGCAACATAGGTTTCGTGTATATACAGTTACCCACTGTAAAATTAGGGTTCTTAGTTTTCTTTGTTCATTTTCCATCTGCCTTCCTCCCTTCAAAATGTAATTAGCTATCATTGAGTCTTTACTAGCTTCTAATGTGCTGAAAAAGTTCAGGATGATGTTTTATTAACCATAATGATTTTAAACATTGCACTTGTGATTGTTGTACACTAAAATATTTTGGCTAAAAGACTAGACACCTCATTTAACTCCTGGTGGAAAAAAATAAACCTGCAGCCATTTAAAAATATTTAGATTTTAAGAAGTTCAGTTGTGAAATTGAGCTGAACATTTGCAGGGATCAGTGCTCAACATCACCAAAACTGCCCCTGAGGGATTGATGAGGGAAAAACACTCCTGCTTGTGACGTTTTTGTTTCGTAATGCGCAGAGCTTGTGTTTTTAACTTGGGTTCCCTAATTGTAAAATTAATAAAAATAGAGTGTGCCATATATACTAAAGACTGTCATTTTCATTGTGACTTAGAGAATATGGTATATGCAGTTAATGGATTTCTTATTCTTGTGCTTTGGAACCTGATCAGTTCAGACCTGCTTATTTTTATTTCTACTTTTAGATGATGCCCAAAAGAAACAGTATGAAGAGTGGCTGCAAAAGACTCAGCAGCTACTGCAAATACAGCAGAAGTTCCTCGAGGAGGAGATCGGAGCCCACAGGAAATCCAAGAAGGCACTTTCAGCAAAGCAGCGCACTGCCAAAAAGGCCGGCAGAGAATTCCCTGAAGAAGACGCCGAGCAGCTGAAGCATGTTACAGAGCAACAGAGCGTGGTGCAGAAACAACTGGAGCAGGTAACTCTTGCCTTCCTCACTCTGTCAAACGAAGACCAGGGTTGCCCATCTGCTGGCTTCTGAATGCAGATGGCATTCAGATTCTTTAGTCTACAGGGCAATTTTTGTTGACTTCTTTGCCTTTGAACGGATTTTGTCTCAATGCAGGTTCTTAAGTAAAGCTTGCATCAAAGCTACTGATTTTCTCTGTAATAACTTACGAGCCTTATTTGTGATGTGTATGTGCAGAGTAAAGGCATTATTCTACTCATTTTAAATTAACTCTGATATTATTGCATAGGTTGAGGCATAACTTATTGATCTAGGTCTCTAATGGGGATCTTCCCCACTTTTTAGGATAGACACTATGTAAAAGGCAGAATCCATCGTAAGATGTCAAAAATTAATGTGGACTCCTTTCTTAGTAAAGGAACAATGGGGGAAGTCAACAGTAAGACTTCTCCTACTTCTTCCTTTGTAATGTATCAGAACTCGATGTTTCCATAGACTTTGGATAACTCGTTTCATGTAGTCTTCTCTGCCTGTAACTGAAATGAGACCGTGGGCAGCTGCTCTCCACCACCACAACACAGGGCCTCAGCAGAACTTGCCAAAATACATGAAACAAAATTCTTGCAATTTACAAACAGGGGGCGATGGTTTGATAGTTTTATTGAAGAAACATCAGTGCTCTAATTGCTATTTAGCAAGGGGCTCAATACATCAAACTGTTTCTAAACACATTTTCACTGCAAAGGATTTTTTATGTCCCTTCTTTGAGATCGATTTTATTGGTATAACTTCTGATGTAAAGCTTAAATTGCGAGGAGATGATGTAAGGAGCCAAGTCTTTGACCAATGAAGCTGTACAGACGATTGTCTTTCTCCTTGATGATTTCAGGGGTCACCTCTGCAGGCGGTGTTTTGTCATTGCAGTGCGTCTAGTCTTTTGGACACTCTGCACTGTGCCTGGTGGAGGTCTTGGCACCTAACTTAGCACCCGATACAGTTCAGGAGAAATGTCAAGTGGTTTATCGCCTCATGTCAAGAAGCTCGATGCATGATTTGTTCATTGTTTTACTAAAATTCTTCAAGAATTCCAATAATGCTTATGAGAAGAACTGCTAATATAGAACAGTGCTACTAAACAGTAGCATGCGTTCCAGAAAGAAACAGGGGATTTGTTAATGCAGCTTTGAATAATATAACAAATAAAACAATTTCTTTTTTTAAATGGTCCCTACTGTTCCTTATAATGTGGGAGAATGCTGAATTAATTTTCAAATATTGTATAATACGTATCGTAATATAATAATAGTATAATCTCAATTCTCCTGCATTTCTTCTTTTGATGCCACATTGCCTTTCCCTAGGCCATTTAATCTAGAATGATGTGCTTTTCAAAAACATCTGTTGAATTCTGTCTTGGGCAGCTGTTGAGTATTTAGGGGATTACAGTATTGTGGTAGAGTTGCATTTATTACTTTTTTATATTTTACTTTTGGAGTACTTTGTGCTGACACCTCTCTCAAGGCGTCTTTTGCTGTTTTTAATCTTGTTACATTGAGGTGAAACTGCTTTTCTTTTTGTTGCATTTATAAAGGTTCTTCAGCACCCTCCCTTAATCATTGCTTAAGTGGCAAATCGTTCACAAGGTCCATTTGCACACGGCTATCCATTTCAAATATCCATGAAAAACAACGATAGCTTTTTTGTGATTGATGTTCATCATTTCTAAACTGTTTTTATTCCATTTTAATTATATGGCCCCCCCAAAACTATTGAGTCTATTTGTCCTAGAAAAGGTTTACATCTGATTTTAGCTTTTTTTTTTTGGGGGGGGGGGATAATTCTCTTCACAGGCCTTTAAACCTCAAGGCTTAGCCTTTCGTGTTGTTTTCCAGAGGGTTTGCAAACACTTTAAGCGTCTCTGCCGCTCCGCTCATGACTGAACCTTTTCTCCACGTTCAGATTCGGAAGCAGCAGAAGGAGCACGCCGAGCTGATCGAAGAGTATCGCATCAAGCAGCAGCAGCAGCAGCAGCAGCAGTGCACCATGCAACCTGCTCTGATGCAAGGAATCCAGGCCCAGGCGCCAATGGTACCAGGGGGACCGGCTATGGGCCAGCAGAACTTCCCCATGATGCCCCAGCAGATGCCACCGCACCCGGGGCAGCCGAGCCCAGCTCGCATGCCCAATGCGCAGAATTGGCACCCCGGGGCCCCCGTCCCGCTGGCCGGGGCCAGGATGCCGGCTCACATCCCTCCACAGATTCCAGCAAACCCGGCCCCGCCTGCCCAGGCGCCGCTTCCGGGGAGCAAACCGGTGCCGGCTGGTGCCGCTGCGGGCAACGGCGCTCCCCACGTCAAGTTTGACGACAACAACCCGTTCAGCGAGGGTTTCCAAGAGAGGGAGAGGAAGGAACGCTTGAGGGAGCAGCAGGAGAGGCAGAGGATCCAGCTGATGCAGGAGGTGGAGCGCCAGCGAGCTTTGAAGCAGCGGCTGGAGATGGAGCAGCAGGGGATGGTGGGTCCAGATCTGAACAGAGCACCGCTTTCCCAGATGCCCTACTTTAATCCAGATATGTCCCCCGACTTCATGCAGCCCCAGAGGCCGCCACAGCCAACCCCTCAGCAGCAGCTGGGGCAGATGTTCCCCCAACAACAGAATATGCAGCAAGGCTTCGTGGGCTCCCCTCCTGGTACACCTTTCATGCAGGGTGCTGAGCGTAGGCCAGTGATGGGCAATGGACCATTTGGCCCAGACATGACAGTTGGAGGCCCAGGTTTCCGAGCCAAGAACCCAGCCCTGCAGGGGGCTAACTTTACGCAGGGCCCGCCCAGACCGCCAGGATTTGGTGGTCCTGGCATAATGCCACAAGGCGCTGGCGAAGGACCACCATTTGGTATGGAGCCTGCCACACCCCTTCCTCCAAATTATCCCGGTTCTGGCCCATCCTTGATCCAGCTGTATTCCAACATCATCCCTGAGGAGAAAGGGAAAAAGAAAAGAAACCGGAAAAAGAAGAAAGATGATGACGCGGATTCGGTGAAGACTCCTTCCACTCCGCACTCTGACCTTACTGCCCCACTGACACCCTGTGTTTCAGACACAGCTTCCACACCCACACAGAACGCCCCTGCTGACTCCCTGCTGCAGCACCAGGGCGACCAGGACACAGCTGAACTCCTTCCTGGTTCCTCTACTCCTGGATCCCTGGGAAGTCAGCCTCCTTCTGAGCTGGAGCGGCAGCTATCGGGAAGCAGCAGCAGCAGCGGTGGTGGGGGAGGAGGAGGAAGAGGCAGCGGTCTCTCACAAACAACGGGGCGTCCGTCTAGCGGCAGTTCAGAGGCAGACAGGGGTCAGCAAGAGGAGCCACACAAAGGTGTCCACGAGATCAAAGTGGAAAGGGTGGAGTCCTCCGAGTGTCACACACCCAAAGATTCCAAGGTGGAACAGGTCCAAGGAATCGTAAAGCTCGAAGATGGTAAGGAGGGGACCCCACCTCACGTGGCTGGCCAGAGCCCAGCTCACAGCACCGACGGAACGGGAACGAAACTGGAGTCTGGAAATGAGCTGCTGAAGCACCTGCTGAAAAACAAGAACGCGCCGTCCTTGCTTTCTCATCAGAAATCGGATGAGAGCCTGCGATCTGAGGACGAGGGGTCCGCAGAGCACAGACAGTTGCAGAAACAGGGTTCTGCTGATGGCGCGATAGTAAGTACTAGGGTTAAGAGATTCATTACGATGGCGCTAAACTTTGTGATAACTCTCGTTTGAGTCAGAGTTTTGGATGCCCACGGTTGAATCTTTTTTTTTTCCCAGTTCCTGGCTCATTGTGAGAATAGCTTCAGTCGACGAGCTGGAAAATTAAAAAAGTGAAATGATCCCTAAAATAAAATAAAAGGCATTAAAATTAAACATGTGAAATGCTTCCTATGAAGTGGGTCATTTAGCATCCACCTTATAAAGAAAATCCGAAGCGATATTTCTAAAATTAGAAAATACACAAGTCCTTTTTGGAATAAAAGGATAAGCATTTAAACACTGGCATTCAATTTAAACTTATGCGCTGCAGTATTCTTTTCTTAATGATCTTTCTAAATGTCTTGAAGTTCCCATAGCTTTAAAAAGTCTGGTTTTATTAAAATGACGTCATTTTTAGAAACGTAACTAAGTCTTCTTTGGGACAGTGTTTGAACAGTTTGATGGGGTCTTTGAAAATGGTAGAAATAAGCTTTTTTCGTACTACATTTTTCTGAGCTCAAGCATTACTTAATAGCACCCCCTGTCAATAAGGAGTTGGCAATGTCTGAAGTTAGTGTAGAACGGCAGTCTGTAACAGTATGTTTTTTTGCAGCTTTACAATATGGTTGGTATCCTTGATATCCTTTTAGAAATAAAATGCTTTTAACAGCACCCTCATGTTTTTGTATTTAGTTTTGCAGTAGAGGAGCTCAGGCTCTGCACTGTCTCCCAGTCTTGGTATCGTGCACCTGCAACGTTTCTGTTCCAGCTCTTTTGCTCAATTGAATGGCTGGGGTCCTTAATTAGATTAGTTTTGCATTGCAAAGAAAAAGCAAAATCCAGCATGTAAAAAAAGTGGAAATTCTACATTTAAGCTGGAAACTCCTAAAAAAAAGTCTAATCAAAAGTATTAGGTCAACATCAGAACACTCATCACTACGTTTCCCTGTGCTGCCATTTTGCTTAGCGCTACAGTTTGTCAGGTAATCTCTCTTACTATAGGCAAGTGACCTCTTAACATCCCAGACTCTTATATTTCCATGTATCATAATAAACGCACTGCTCAGAAAAAACATCTTAAATGAGCTGTTGGTGGTTTTGCAAGTGTGACACCTAACACAGCATCCTCTCTGGTTTTTATCGGCCCGACTAGCATCATTCCCCAGTGGCAGCTGGTGTCGGGGTTTTTCGAATCTCCTGGTTTAGCCCCGCTGACCCTCCCACTCTTTTCAGCAGCGGCCCACTGCCAACCAAATGCCCAGGAGCCTGGGCCTCCAGGGTCCTCAGCTGCAGAGAGCCGAGCAGGACCCGGACAAGAAGAAGCAGCGGAACAAGAGGGCCCCCAAGGGCAGCGAGAAACCAGCCTCTCGCTCCAAAAAGAGAAAGAAGGAGGAGGAGGAGAGGCCATTGGTGTACTCCAACACCGATACCTTAATGACTCAACTGAAACAGGTGCGTCTTTGGCTGCCTTCTTGCGGAGGTTCTGCAACACGTTTTTTAGCGGGGAAATGTGCGACTTTGGTTTTGTCAAGAGTTGAAATGGAAGGAGACCTGTAAGATGGTCATGTGGATGCGTGAGTTTCATGATGTTGCTTTGAAGGAGGCTTGCCCAGATGTTTTAGATGCTTGTTTTAGATGCACAGCAATGAGTAGTAAAATCCTTCAGTTTAATTGGGTCTAATCTCAGTTTAATCTCTTAAATCTTAAATAACTATTTAGCAACACTAGATAGTTAAACGCTCCCTTTGTAACAGTCATTTAAACCAACAGTTCAGTACATTAAAGGGCTGAGTAAAGCAACTCTAAAAACAAGCTGTAAAGCGTATACTTAAATGTTTGCATTGGTCACAGTCAACGTTTGTCATAAATATTTTAATTTATCACAAAATGTAGACTTGTTTCTCCTTGTGTACAAACAAATGTTCAGAAAGCTGGAGCGGACTTACGTTTGTACCTCACAACTCAGTGCAAGTGTCCCAGTTCTCCGTTTCCTCACAGCATGTTTTGGACACGTCAACCCTGCCAAACTTTCCATTTCAATGTCTGTGGTGAAAGATTTTCAATACATTATAGGCTTTTTTTCACCACCACATCGACTCAGCAGTTAGTCGGTAAGCCGGTTTTGGCAAAATCACTGAAAGGAATTGATCAGAAGGGTCTATATATTTGATAATCAGATGAGCAGATGGATTACACCTGTTAGTTCAATTGATAAATATTACGTACAGTATGCATTGTGGAGGAGTTGGTGACAATCTGTACTGCACCATCTCCACAGGTAATCCACGAGTTCATGAGATATATTCAAAATCTTTGTGGGGGAGCTGCGAGAGTTACATAAAACCAAATATTTCTTCACTCAAGTGAGAGGGGCTCTTGTTTTTTTATAAAGCATCAAAACTGTGCAAGATGCAGAAAGTATGGAAGAATGCTGAATTTGCGAATACAGTTGAATTTGAACACAATGACCCAGGACACACATCGCTTTGCTTCTTTTTCCACTTGAGCACATTATTTAAATGATTGTTCTCCAGTCTGACCATTCTTTGTTTAGCTGCATTAAAGATTTGGAGCCAGCATTTTTAAATTAAGAGAAGTATTTTGTTTACTTTTTCCATTAAATGGTTGCTATGCCATGATTGCTATGATCCTGATAATCAAGTACGCAGTTAATGTTTTAATTGCAGTGTTAAGAATTAGCAGGGAGCTGGTAGTTAGTATAAGATCTCGAAGTGTGAGGCAGAATAATTGATCTTAATTTAAATTCCATTAAAAAACAACAAATGAACAGTTACAGCAGTTAATTTGTTTAAGTCTTAACCCACTTAAGATAGTGGTTAAGTGCAAAAAAACACTTTTCATTACTCTTTCTGTATTTTTAAACATGTGCCGTAACCTTTGACAATGAGAAATTTTGCTTTGTGGCAAAAGGGTTCAAAAACTTTTCCCAAAAGATTTAAGTTCCATTTATTCTTTTATCTTCTCTTGGCTTCTGCTGTCTCCCTTGAAATGCCAACACTTGCTGAACAGCACAGATTAACTCAAAAACATAGTTCAAGCCAAGTGATAAAACCTAGAAATTGAAAGCTGGAATCCACACAGCTACCAGAAATAACAATCGGCAGCAGACATTAAGACACAAAGCTGGTCGCCAGAATATGACTGGTTCCTCAGTTCGTCATGCTAATGTTTATCCTCAGAGTATTCAGGCTTAGGTGCTTTCAGTTGGAGGTGCATCTCTCCTTCTCTCCATGGTAAAGATTCACCGCCTCTGTTGTGAATCTCATCGGGCTTATGTCTGGCCTTGTGTTCACATCCGTGTACACATTGAGGTAGACGTGCAATGTTTGTATAAACTTGAACCAGGAAACCCGTGAACCATAGTTTCTCTGGTTTTTGGTGCTCTATGGATATGAATCCTCAGTTGAATGTACAGTATTGTTTAGGTAACCCGTTTTGTAGATCAGATCTCAATCAGCTGTAAAAATTGCAGAGCTCCGGATGCCCGAGGGGTGGAATGCCTGTGCCGGGTGTGAGCTGTTGTAGTGTGAAATAAATTCACCATATCTCCATTATTCATTTCTATTCATATTCCTTTTCCACCCTTCAGCAACTCTCTCTGCTACCGTTGATGGAGCCCTTGATAGGTGTGAACTTTGCACACTTCCCTCCCTACGGCAGTGGACAGCTGAACGGGGAAAACCGACTGTCCGGCACCTTTGGAAGTGCATCCCTGGATGGGGTATCGGACTACTACTCCCAGTTGATTTACAAGGCAAGTTTCCTTTCTAAGTGGGTTCCTTCAAGTGTCGTCTTCAGCTGGCACTGCCTCAGTCAGGTATTTCTAGAATTCCCCCTGTGGCTGTGATTTTTTTTTTGTTGGCTCAATATACTTTTTTATATTGCGCTGGGTTGGCGTTCCATCCAGGGTGTACCCTGCCTTGCACCCGTTGCCTGCTGGGATAGGCTCCATCTCCCCCGCAACCCTTTGTGGAGGGGAAAAGCAGTTAGAAAGTGGATGGAGTATTTTTTGTATTGTCGAGTCAAATTACATCTGATGTAATGATGTAAGAGATACATAAGCATCTTCTAATTGGGTTGTTAGAATATTGCCACAGAGTGATTTTCTGCAGGTGAAAACAGTGATGTAAAAACATTTTTTTTTAAGGTTAGGTTTGGAATTAGAATTGGAACTAGTTTTGTTCTGGGAGTGCAGCTTGAACTGGTGACATTTCATTTCATCCTTATTCCCGATTAGTCCTTCAAGATGATTCTGTGGATTTTTGACAAGTTCTCCGTAGTCATTTTATTGAGCGGTGTAGTTCAGGAAGTTGTCAGTATTGTGAGAGGGAGATTTTAATTCCTATTCGTATGTGTGAGACTGCTGTCATCGGGCTCATGCTTTTTAGCTCAACAGTGAAAAGGAAAGAACTGCTGTACACATTCTAAAGGAAAAGCATATGTCTGTGGCAATGTAGTCATTTTTGTAATATTTATTTAATAAAATCCTTAGTGTGATAGTCTGTCTTCTTGCCGAGACTATCCAAGCCAAAACTGATACTGAGAGACTGCTACCTGAATTGCTTCTAGGAGAGAGAGATCACTTTATTGGACATATACAGTTTCTTGCATTAGGAATTTGTCTTTTCACATAGCCCAACTTGCTCTCCATGAGACACACAGGCACACAGACAGGGAGAGAGAAGCTTGGGGTCAGATCGCAGGGTCAGCCTTTTATACAGTGCCCCTGGAGCAGTTGGGGTTAAGGGCCTTGCTCAGGAGCCCAATGGAGTAGGATTCCTCTGCCGACCTCTGCCGGATTTGAACCGGCAACCTTCCAGCCACAGGCGCAGATCCTTAGCCACAGAGCCAGAGGTGCTTGGCTTGTTCTACATGTAGAGATTCAAACAGCTCCGATCTGTCATGTGCTTATACGCACGGTCAAAATGAGCTGCGTGTGCTATTTTGCCGAGTTGTAGAAAATTCTCTTAAATGATGTCCTCAGATTTTGATGTTGCTGCGTCTTCTCTTATACACCAGTAACAAAAACTGTTGTTTTGCAGCAGAACAACTTAAGCAACCCCCCTACTCCACCAGCTTCGTTGCCTCCAACCCCACCCCCAGTTTCTCGGCAGAAGATGGTGAATGGCTTCGCCACAGCAGAAGAGCTGACCAATAAAGCTGCTGTGATGGGGGGTCATGATGGTAGGTAGTTACCCCCTTTTCCCACAGATGACATCTGAACTGTAAACACTGTGCAGTAATGAAAAAAACCCTTACCTAGAAACATGCGGTTGTGTTGTTAACTTATTGTTAACCTAAATGTTGAATTTCTTGTTCCCCAGGCAGCATTTTTAAAGAAAGGTAATGGAAGTTACTTTTGACCTATGTGAAAGGATTCAGTGTATAAAGTTAAAACGCTTCAGGGTCCTTCATGTGTACTTTGCATGTTACCCCCTCGTTCACATGGTTTTTTAATCAGGTGCTTCAGCTCCCAACAACTTCCAAAAGCCGTGCTGACTAGGTTTGATTGGCTGTTCTCTGTGTCCCTGTAATAGACTGACAGTCCTCCCTTGCACGCTGCTTACAAGACTGTTACCTAAACCAGGAAAGGCAGCTTGCTGCTAATGGATCATTGATCAAAGAAGTCATTAAGTTTTTTTTTGTAAATGTAACGTTTCTGTATGTGTGTAATGATGGTGTGAGTTTTCTGAGGGTTCAGCAGGATGCCACGCAATTTAGGGATATGAAGAATGCTAGATAACGGCACCTTCATTCATTTTTACTTTGCCTTAGTTACCAAAAGCCTTGGACCCAAGCAGTTCCAGATGCCCTTTAGGCCTGAAGAGGATTTGCTCGCCCGAGCAATTGCTCAGGGCCCTAAAACAGTGGATGTGCCAGCCTCCCTACCCACACCTCCTCATAACAACCAGGAGGAGCTCCGGTGAGTATCCTGCATTCGTAAATTACATTAATGCCTTACATGTTAACTGACCGTTTTTTTTTGGTCGCCATTTTGAATGGTTTTCAGAGATGCCCATGCTTGTGTCTTTAGAACAGCAGTCATACAGGGTTTCTGCAACAACCATTGCAACACTGGAAGGATCACTTGGGCTCAGGCTCAGGCTTTTCACTTTTCTTCAGTAGCATTTGTGACCACTTGTGAACCAGGAGACGTGCAGCCCTCTTTGTACCTTGTACTCACTTGCAGAGAAATTGATCTCCTGTGATACGGCAGTACAGAGTACAGCGTCCCAAAGGTTTTTGGAGACACGTTTTTGTGTTCATGGTTAGAAAAATGAATATTTTGGGAAATTAAATGTCTTGCCATTGTTAATCATCTACATGCTTCAGAATTAAAATGAAGGCTCCTGCCTAATGCCACTCATATTTGTCTCTTGGTACCCACAGAGGACAGGAGCACTGTGAAGACCGGGATACCCCCGACAGCTTCGTCCCCTCCTCTTCGCCTGAAAGTGTGGTGGGGATGGAGGTCAGTCGTTACCCGGACCTCTCCTTGGTGAAGGAGGAACCCCCTGACCCTGCCCCCTCCCCAATTATCCCCATGCTGCCCAGCTCCAGTGGAAAAGGTAATGAAACAGACGGGATGCTTCCCAGTCAGGGGATAGGAGGCCCACTCCTCACATCAGCCTCAGGGCTAACTACTTTCGTTTTTGGCAGAGACACATCATTTTTACTTTTTATACTAGCATGACACTTGAGAAAAAGACAAGAAGGGATGTGGCCATGCCAGTGTGGACTTAATTTTTTGTATATAAAGAAAGTCAGAAGAACCAAAGATTCAAATAACCTCAAATCTGGTTCATCTAGTAGAAGACTGTTGATGTAAGAACCGTCTTTACAGAAGAACCAACGGTTTTCCATGTAGTCACCTTAAAAAGCATGGTTTTGTGGTTTGTTCTTGCTCTGCTTTGGAAACCAAAAGAGTAAAAGCCACTTGATAGTTGAGAGTTGTTGAATAATCTTGGCACTGACCATGAAACTATCCAGGTGTATTTGTTTTTCCTTTTAGGGACAAAATACAAAAGCATCAGGTTGAAATGGAGAAATCAGTCTCAGATTGTTAAATGTAATCCATTGCAGGAAACGGAAATTTTGAAGTTGTCACACACGAGTTGACCTGGCTCGCTTATAATTGCTGCACTATGAAACAATGATTAGAAATGCTCTTTTACTCATAAATTTAACCAGCTATGAGGAGCTGACGTGGCGTGCGTGCTGCTTTGATGAGGTTTATGGTTTATGTTTTTTAACAAGTACACTTGTGGCCAAGTTTAGATTGCTTCTGTTCCATCCATTGATTTGTCAAGTTAACAGTGCTGATGTATCTGTTCTTTATATGTCATCGCTCCACCGTGGCTGTCTGCTCATTGTTTGATGGTGGTGTTGATGGATCGCTGTGAAATAATGTTTGAAAATGCGTTAGGTCTACTGCATGCTTATATAGGTTTATAAATATTTAGTATTTCTTCTAACATGTCGACAATCCCAAAAAATCTCATTTTCCACACCATTTCGGTTTATGCCAGGTGCCAGGAACCTAACCCAACTTTATAAAAATGGAAATTAAAACTCTAAATATAGGGGGAGATGCCCTTCATTAATTTCCCATTGTGTACCTAATTTACTCTCTTTAGATATCCAGATTTGTCTGCTTCAAAATGAACCTTTTTAAAGTTATATTGTGCTAAAACGAAAGACTTCCACCACTGTCTTTTAGTGTATGTTTGCTTGTGTGTTGCCAATCAGGGTCAGAAGCCAGGCAGAATAATGTGAAGATGGAGCCATCTGGCGTGTTCTTTGGATCTCAGTTCGGGCCGTCGCAGAATTGTTCAAAAACAGGGCTCGTATCCATAGCAATTACACTGAACCCAGCTGCAGCAGAGGTGAGTAATTTCGTTTTTTTTCTTAAGAAAAAATACTTGGCTTCGTTTGTGTTCATTTGTCTGAGAATGGGAGAGGTTCTGTGCCTCTTGAGGTTTATCTTTGCTTGAATTGTAATGTGCAATAACTATCATTTGAATTAAAGTTGGCCATATGCTTTTGTAATTTTCAACTGTTCGAACCATTTTACAGCAAATTAATCCAAACGGTATTAATACCTTTCCCCAATTACAAGCTGGATAGTTCTAGGTGACGACTAGTTGTTTCCACTGATTCTTAGTCGTACTTTACTTACAAGTCCTCTTCAGCTTTAGATACAGCAGTTTTGTATGCTTATACCCTGCAAAGACTAGCTGGTGTGGTACATCATCAAGGCAGTGTTATGGGAAATGGAGAAAAATTAAAACTGGTACTGATAAAGGTTAAAATATTGATAATATGGGGGGGGAAAGTAGCTATTGTGAACAGGCCTAATTTTACAAATGTTTGACTATACTAATTTAGAGGCTGCACATATTCTGAAACACACTGCTGTGTTTTTCCCCAAAGTTTGTTTTCCACCACGTTTCTGTGTTGTGGAATGGATGGGTAGTAAGCCGTCAAAAAATTTGGGAGTGAAAAGAATGAAATTTAGATACCAATCTTAAATTCAACTCAATTCCATTTTTATTTAATAATCACACAAAACACGGTGAGCTTTTGCAGCTGCGCAGTCCCTACTGTCAGTAATGGACAAAACTGAATATTGGAATATCTGAAGTTTGCCTATGTCCAGGATGTATGAATAAACTCTCTTGAGAAACATGTCATGTGACACACGTGTCCAGGACGTCCGCGTCACCTCAGATACAGATGGTTCATCTTGTGGCAGCAAGAGAACTGCAGTTTTGTCAATACCCAGACCAGAAACAATTTTTCCTATGTATATATCTTTATCCCTACGGAAATTGTCCCTAGTTTTTCCAGCATAGAGACAGTTGATCGGTGACAGTGTTTTTGTTTCCTCTTTGATTTTGATTAGAATTTGCTCTGGGCAATCAACATTTGCACAGACAATTGAAGTGGAAAATTGAATAAGATTATTCTTTATCGGTTCAAGTCTGTTATACTTTCGTATCCTTCTTGAATGGAATGAAGCCAGCTGATTGCCTTAGGTTTTTACCCATTCTTGTGCTGCTTTGTAAGCATGTACAGTAAGTGGTATCGCAAGTCCAAGCTTCTTTTTTTTGTTTCTAGAACATCCATGGTGTGGTAGCAGCGGTGGCCGATCTCTTGTGTGTGAAAATCCCCAACAGCTATGAGGTTAGCAATGCTCCAGACAGGGGCTCGCTGGCCTTCCTCAACAGCCTCAAGGTACACCAGCAGAACTTTGAGCCTCGACCCCAGTTGCTGTTCCAAGGGCCTGGCCCAAACCATTCAGCAGTCATGAGGTTCATGAGACCCTCGGGACCTGTGGGAATGCTGCAGCCTCAGCTTCAGTTCCACCCCAGCAGTACCGGTGAGAATATTCTTCACTCCCTTTTCCTTGCACAGCTGCGAATTTACCAACTACCTGTCTGGCAGCAGGTTTGTTTAGTTGCTGTCATGGCACATCAGGGTCCTTGAGCAAAAGTTTTTTTTTTAAACTCTTCTCGTGCTAAGGAGTTCACCCCCATCTTGAAATTCAATTTCTATGTCGTACAAAAAACGTCTAAAAAACAAATTCCTTGGGATGACACCAAAAGTATTTTACTATCAGGACTTGTGGACTTCGAGGGGTCAGTGATGCAAAAAAACAAACTAAAACTCTTGGAATGTTCCTTGGAATGTTCAGGGCTGTTCTGCACCATTGCTAGAATCCTCATCCTCATCACTTCACTTGGGGAAACTCTGCTTTCCAGTTGTAGGCGTCTTGCTTCCTCTCCTGTTTGAGCCACTCGGGAGCTCCAAATGAGGAGGTCTTTGACACGATGGAAGCCAATTAGAATTTCAATGCAGGACATCAGGGCTTACAATCAGCAATTGCCTTAAGAAATATTCCAAGCCTTTCTAATTTGTATATAGTCATAAATCATAACTGTGCTTAATTTGCAGATAGATAAAGAAAATCTGGAAATGTACTGAACAATTTTAGGAGTGTAGTAATTTGTGGTTGAGACCACCACTGTTTTTTCTGCCAGCACTGTTCCATAGCAAGTACTTTAACAGCAGTAGTTATATGCCATGAAGGTCTACACTTGCTTATGCAGTAATTTCTTAAAAGGAGCCCAAGGTTTCTGGATTTACTACATAGCTATTGTACAGTAGTTTGTTCCGGATATCCAATCACAGAGGAAAATAGAGGAATAAGTTCTAGAGTAAGATGTGTTTGTAACCATTTTTACTAGTTTTGTGTGTGTTAATAACTGAAGGCACAGAATATTACACAGATATGATTGAATAATTTTAGTGAATTGATCTGATGAAATAAGTATTTTATTAATATAAAATAAAAACTGTTGTTACAAATATTTTATTATAGATAATGAGAAAGTAGTCCTAAGTATTATATCCAACCCCTTTCACAAATATATAAATGTCTCTTACGTAAAAGCCTTACAATTGTATTGACAAACAGGCTCTGTGTTTCCAAGTGTTGTTGTGCATCAGTATTGATTTTGCCAATGTTCTGAGAAGTTAACAGATGAGCTAATGGTTTTGGTAAGGCTTGTTAGTGTGAAACCTCTTAAGGTTTAAGTGTTTTAATCTCAGATTGTGTCTAATGAAGGTGTTAAGTCAACCTTGTTGATTTTGAAGCCCTAAATGAAGAATAAGTTATTTTAAAATTCACTAAATTTTGTTTACTTGTTTACTTCTGCTCATGTGGATGTTTAACTGTGCTGTATGGTGTCCAGTGATTTTATTGTTAGAATAGGATACATTTATTTTTGTTAATTTTTTCAATGCAGCTATTTTAACAATTTTGATTTCTGGTAAAAACAGACTTATTGAGGACTAAATTCTGTGGAAAAGTTATAATCCTGAGTCAGTTGAAAAAAGTTTATTCCAAATACAAGGTTCATGATTTTGTAGCTCTTTGAATGCTTTTTTTAGGGGTTTGAACCTGTCAAAATCTTTGAAACAGCTTAAGAAACATCCTTACCACACAAAAGAAATCTTTTAGGTGTATTTTTAGCCCTTGCCAGCCACTAACGCCAAAAATAAAAATGGTCTGATTGCAAGTGTACTGGAGTCTGTCACTGCATCCTGTTTGAAACGTGGGAATGTGTTTTAGGTTCGGCTGTGGTGAAAGGAGACCCTGGACTGAAACCACAGTGGTGCTGTCACTGCAAGGTTGTGGTTCTTGGAAATGGAGTAAGGAAATCCACCAAAGACTTGCCTTCTGCTGGACAGGTAATACTCCAGAATACACAAGCTCCAGTTGCTGTGGCTTGAAGTCATGTTGTCCAAGTCTTTCAGGAAACTGTTCATTGTTAAGGATTAATTGTTCTGTAATTAGAAATTTCTGCTCCCAGTGCTTCCAGAAGTTTGCATAAATTCTATACACTCATTCCCCAGAGTCAGAAACCTTTCACTTCAGGTCCTGATCTCAGGCAGCTGCTGAGACTCACATCAAAGTGGAGATTTGTCAAGTTCTGGCTCAGGGGCACACAAAAGCATAATTACGAGACATACAGATTCATTTTTTATCAAGGGCAGTGCACTGTTGCAGAGCAGTTAGGAGGTTAACTGATAGAAGCTGAAAGGTAGAAAAAATAATGACAGAAATGTAAATGTTCAGAGGCCCAAAGTTCACAAATGGTTAATCTTTTGAAATGCAGGTTATTCAAATCTGTGATACCTTTGATGTTCTTACAATATGCAAATTTAATAACTCCTTTTGGCATCAACAAAGGTTGATGCAAGAAGATTCTTTGATCTTTGATTCCCACTGTGTCACTTGGTCTGCATTTGAATGATAATTTATAATGATTTGAAGGCAGATGAGAGCAGCGCTCTTTGGAGAGAAGAATGGTTATCCTTGACTTCTATTTCCCAGGACTCACGGGACGGACCAGGGCGAACAGAGGGGAACATGGTCTTCTGCAGCCACAACTGCTTTGTTCTGTACTGCACAGCCATTCAGTCCAAAACCACGGAGGCCAAGGTATGAATGGCAGGAATTCTGTATGCCCGACTGATTCTGGCAGATCAACAAATGCAAATTTTATTTTTATCAACCTCATGTAAGGCAAAGAAAGGGTGGAATGAAAGTATATTTACTGTATGGCAAAAGGATTACAGGTTATTGTATGAACAAGCACATGTGTAACTATGTTATGTGGGCAGTGAACCGTGCTCCCAGTAATGTCATAATTTAAAGTCTAGTTGAGCTCTGCATGCAGTATACCTCTGTGGGATAATATACAGGTGACACTAACAGATGAAAAAAATATACAGGGATAATGGTGTGAGTTTCTGCTGTCACCTGATTTTTGACTGTCCTTGGGGACAAATTGAAACCACTTTGAATTATTTTTTGTTCATTAAGACTTCATTCTTGTGAGTTTTCATCATAATAAGGTCTGGAATAAATGCCATTGCATCACAAGACTTTTAACGGTTCTCTTAGATGCAGACACAGATGCAGATCCTGGATTGCTTACAGAGATGAATGAAATTATCCTTTGTAAACCTGCCTTCAGTTGGGTACAGGTACCCACCCAACTTGGAGTCGACAGTTGTTTCCATTTCGGCTCACAGCTGCAAACCTACAGCTGCATGTGGGAGAGAATGAGGACGTTTGTGGCCTGCCTAACTTTGAGCCACCCCTGGGAAATCCTGGTTAAAGTCAACTAGTGGCACGACCCAGGCTCAAACCTGCCATACCTAGTTTCATAGAGATCAACTTCATTCAGGAGGCCCAAGCAGTTTGCTTCATTTCTGCACAGCTTCTGATAATGACCCTTATAAATATGCCCTGAGGTTTCTGTACAAGATCATGTCAGAAAAATGAGCAATAAAAATCTCAAATGTCTTACTTTTCACCACAACCTAGGAAAAACCTTATGTTTTTTTTCCACCATTTCCATTGAACTCTGCTTTTCGTTTCAATAGTCAATGAAATAAGACAAGGGTAATTTTTTTCCAGTGCTTTTTTTTTTTACGTGTATAGTTTAAGGTTTTAAAGCTATGACGAGCAGAGTGAACGAAAGGAAAACATTGACCACGTTTTGCACAGAGGGATTAGCATTGGCGCACGGACTTGATGTTTACCAAAAGCGATTAAGGGTTTTTGGCCTTGTCGCTTTTAAAGAGCCATGGAAGGTAATGGAGAATGGAGCTAATTCTCAGTATCCTGCAGCAAACAATTTGAAAGGTTGTTAACATCCCAGTATTCTTTTGTATCTTCAACAAGTTAAAGATTTGTATTATGAAATACGGAATCTGAATAAAGCGGAGCGGTGGCTCTGTGGCTAAGGATCTGCGCCTGTGACTGGAAGGTTGCCGGTTCAAATCCTGCGGCCAACGGAGGAATCCTACTCCGTTGGGCCCCTGAGCAAGGCCCTTAACCCTAACTGCTCCAGGGGCGCCGTACAATGGCCGACCCTGCGCTCTGATCCCAAGCTTCTTTCCCTGTCTGTGTCTCCATGGAGAAAAGCTGGGGTATGTGAAAAAGATGAATTCCTAATGCAATAAATTGTATAGGGCTAATAAAGAAACATTATTATTATTATTATTATTATTATTAATGAGGGTTTGCTTTTTTTGCAATAGCCACATGGCTTGAGGATGTATTTGTGGTGACCATACCAAACAGTTCATTTGTTTTTCAACAGTTCACCAGTTAATATCTGTGATTTATGCATGTTCTTTTAAGTTGGCGTGGTTGAGCGCTCATGTCTGGTGTTATCCAGGACCTTGCTCTTTATCATTTTTTACAATGGTTGAAGTATCGCCCTGGATATCAAAACAGGTTGCAGTTGCCTTTTCGGTATTGTATATTTTTCTGACTTGATTTTTTTTTTTTTTTAAACTTGACCTTTCTTAAAACTGAAAATTGATTGAAAGCCCTAAAGCCCTTTTTAACCAAAGGTTTCTCATTTTCAACCTGAAATGTCCTACAGCAGTTGTGAGCTTTTATAAATTCTGTTCTTAATACCGTCCTTCTCCTTTTTTTTCTGTGTGGTTAAGTGCCATAAAAGAACCAGAATTGTCCTCAGGAGGTTTTACATCTGAACTTTCATCCAACTCCTTTGCAACTCTTCTTTTCACAGGAAGCTATTACTGTCCTGTCCGATTCCAAAGCCAAAGAGGCGACTTCCAAAACCCTTCACCAGTACAGCAACAACACCTCCATGCTGGATGTCCACTGCTTGCCACAGCTGCAGCCGAAGGAGTCTCCTCCCCTGACTCCTCCCATCACCTTCCCCACTGCTGCCTTGGAAGCCGCCAAGATCGACGCCAAGCCCGATGTGCTGAAGGTCACGGTGAAGCTGAAGCCGCGACCCAGGGCTGTCCACAACGCTTTCGAGGACTCCCGGCACGCGGGGAAGAGGTGGAAAGGCATGCGGTGGAGGAAGTGGAGCGTCCAGATTGTGCTCCCGAAAGGCAACTTCAAGCTGCCTTGCGAGGACGAGATTGACGAGCTCCTGCAGAAGCTTGGGACCTCCCTGAGGCCAGAACTGCTCCCTAAAGACCACCGGAAATGCTGCTTCTGCCATGAGGAAGGCGACGGTATGACAGATGGGCCTGCCAGGCTCCTTAACCTTGACCTTGACCTCTGGGTGCACCTGAACTGCGCGCTGTGGTCCACAGAGGTCTACGAGACGCAGGCGGGGGCGCTGATCAACGTGGAGCTGGCACTGAGGCGCGGGCTGTCCATGAAATGCGTATACTGTCAGAAAATGGGCGCCACCAGCGGGTGCCACCGGCTGCGCTGCACCAACATCTACCACTTCACCTGTGCCCTCAAGGCCCAGTGCATGTTCTTCAAGGATAAGACCATGCTCTGCCACATGCACCGGCCCCGGGGGGGCACCCACGAGCACGAGCTCAGGTACTTCGCCGTGTTCCGCAGAGTGTACGTGCAGCGGGACGAGGTGAGGCAGATCGCCAGCATCGTGCAGCGGGGCGAGAGGGACCACACTTTCCGTGTCGGCAGCCTCATTTTCCACGCCATTGGCCAGCTGCTGCCTCACCAGATGCAGGCTTTCCATGGTCCCACTGCCATCTACCCCGTGGGCTATGAAGCCAGCCGACTCTACTGGAGCATGCGCTATAGCAACCGCCGCTGCCGCTACCTCTGTTCCATCGACGAAAAGGACAGCAAGCCCGAGTTCACCATCAGAGTCGTGGAGCAGGGCTACGAGGATCTGGTTCTCACCGATAGTACTCCGAAAGGTAAAGACTGTCAAAGACTCCTCTTTTTAACACCGCTAAGCACCGACTCTTGGTAAAACGGAAAGTCAAACAGATGCGTGTTTTTCTAATACTCGTGCTATTGGAGCTCGGGTTGAGCAGGTGTTGGTCCTGAAACAGGCTCTCCTACTTTTCTGGGGCACGTCTTCCACAGTGCCCCAGTGTTCATTGTGTTTTTTAATGCTGTTTGTGGTTTCTTGCAGGGGTCTGGGATAAGGTTTTGGAGCCGGTAGCAGAACGGCGCAATGAGTCTGGTACATTGAAACTATTCCCAGTGTACCTGAAAGGAGAAGACCTCTTCGGCCTCACGGTCTCTGCTGTGACTAGGATAGCTGAATCTGTAAGGGTTTATCTATGTATATAATACAGCCCAAACACCTGTAACACCTGCTATTTATTATTCAGTCTGTGGCCTGACATGATGCCCACATATTGTTAATAGTATAAGGATGGATCAGTTTTCTTTTCTAGATTTGGGATGGGTGAAGACTCTGCCAAGTCTCGAGTCAAACGCTTCTGATGTCTCTCATGGGGACTTCACTGACTTTTAGTCTGAATAATGTACCTCTTGTAGAACAGTCTTTAATCATATTTTCTCCTAAAGTGAACTCATTAAATGCTGTTTATCTAATAAGTGCTTATGGTGCTTATATAGATATTTTTTGTAGTTTATACTGCACGTGCAAATCGTTTTCAAGTCTCATAGCTGTAGAATGATTATCCACACACCTGGCCATACTTTAAATGCTTTTTAACCAGTTTTTATTTTCAAAACTAGAAAAAACCTAATTAGTTCTTGATGGTATACAGCTGATCTGGAAACAGTGACCCTCACCTGAATGAGGCCTGTGGATTAAACAAGTTGTGTGTGCAGCACAGACATGAGAGCACACATGCCTTTTTGTTTTGCTCTTGTCTAAAAACTGCATGTTCTCTGGTATTTTGTGTGAATGAGTTTTGTCACCCTTAAATTTGTTCATGAAGGAATGGGAAGTTTTGCAGATGTAAGATCTCTGTCTAAATGGTGTTCTGGTAGGAAGTGTCAAACTGCACAGTTTGCACAAGACCAAGCTCATATTTGACCTACAGAGTTTTGTCACTGCCTTTGTGTTATATCACATTTAAATACAGTTCCCCAACTTTACAACAAAAAACACTTACTAACAGTACATATTTGTCATTTTACTAGAAATATTTGTGTATGGTGTGTGTATTTTTACATTTTTTGCTCACTGAGAAGCATTATGCTCTAACTTTTTTCTAATATTCAATTTTATCTTGAAATATTTCTGTGGTTTACCCTCTTAGATGTGCAGTTATGGAAATATTACTTATTGCAAACCTAATTTTATGGATATAAATGTTATACACAAAAGTAGCTGGTAGACCAAAGCTGTAACGTTTCATAAGGTTTCACCCTCAGATTGTTAACATAAGGTTTCACCTTATGAAACCTGAGGCCATCATTTTTAAATCACAGGCAACTTTAATCAGTCTGGTTGAAAGAAAAAGTTTAAAAGAAACAAGTTTCATGCTCAGTGAAGCCATTGTTAAATGTATGTGTGACTGTCTTCTAGAAATGCATTATTCTTTTGAGGAAGAGTAAACTTCCTCAGACTTTTGCAACTGTGGACAAGAAGGCTAACGTGACAACTTAAAACACGACTTTAAATATTTTATTGAAATTTGTCATCTTGTCATGCAATTTTTAACTAGATTGTGTTTTCAAACTTGCTATACACAAACAGAGATGTTTTAAGCTATGGATGATTAAGAAAAATTCAATTTAAAATAGAAATCCAGTATTTTTAGCAGTTTCTGGCCGTTTTGTTGAATTGGCTGTGCAGGTTCAACGTTAGTGATGATAGACTTCATTACAGAAGTAGGTACTGAAAGTTTTAGCTTTCTCATCTTAACACAAAAAAAACTCACATATTTGTGTTTTTATTTTTTCCAGCTCCCTGGGGTTGAGGCCTGTGAAAACTACACATTCCGCTATGGCCGAAATCCTTTAATGGAATTGCCTCTGGCCATCAACCCCACAGGCTGTGCGCGCTCTGAGCCCAAAATGAGTTCCCATGTCAAGAGGTTTGTGTTAAGGTATTTTGTCTGATTTCAACTTCAAATACAATCGTTGGTGTTCTGGGTCTTGTGCCTTGCATTCTTCCTGCTGTGGGAACGTCCCACAGTCCTGAGCTCTGTGTCGCAAGCTGGCATCTGGGGAATGGCTTCATCTCCGAGCACATAAGATCTGCCTGCATTTCTTCCTTTTGCTGAGTGTTTTAAGGTTGTTCAAAGGGGTTTTGGCTCAGTCTCCATTTCTGGTGTCCGTGAAATCGTCCACTTGAATCGAAATGTTTCTTTCTCAGTAATGCTTCTTGAAGGAAATGCTCCTGGTAAAGCAGCTGATGTGTTAGATCTGTGTTTGCAATTTCTGGCCTCTTTTAGCATTGTGATTCTCTCAACTCTAGTCTTTCCTTGAGTGATTTCTTACTGTAACTAAGTATCAGCAAAGTTTTGTTTTATAAACCTGTCTCTGACATCTAACATTTTTTCCCCCCCCCTTTTCAAACTCTTGGATGTTTTTTCTTGGCCCTCTTAAGTGGTTGTTGCCGTCATTCTCATCTTAAGCCTTTGCGTTTTGTCGTCTTGTCTCTTGTTGCGTATTTTTCTAAGGGTGAAAAGACTTCAGTCTTTTTTTTTTTGTTTCTTGTGGCCCCCTAAATCTTGCAGGCCTCACACACTGAACAGCACCAGCACATCGAAGTCCTTTCAGAGTACAGTGACTGGGGAGCTCAATGCACCATACAGCAAACAGTTTGTTCATTCCAAGTCCTCTCAGTACCGCAAAATGAAAACCGAGTGGAAGAGCAATGTTTATCTGGCCCGGTCTCGCATCCAGGTCAGTAAAACTCAGAATTCAGAATCGGCATCACTACTTAACTGCGCATGTGAGAGTAATGTGGCTAAGCTGCTCTACTACCGAGGTGTGAAGTGAAAAACATCTCACTTTGTTTCATAATTAGCTAAATTTTAATGTCCCGTTTAAAAACAAAGTGTAAATCAGCCAAAGACAAGTTTATAGGAGGTGTTGTGACAAAAAATGAGCATCGAAACAGAACACTAGTGCTTTAGGAGCAGTACATCATGGAACTCTTACAAAAATGACTATTACACTAGTTTGTCTGGCTCTGATCGTTTTTTTGTTCAATAGTACTAGGACCTACGGAATAATCTGTATTCCACACACTCCTTAGGACAGTTGTCAGGGGACCAGTTTTAGAGACTTGCAAGTTAAGTTTGGCATGATCTTAACTGCACTTAATTTCAAAATGATTGTATTAGACTTTCTCTGTATCCTTTTATTTGATTAAAATGGTTTCTCGACCACTGTGTAATCTGTGATTGCATTGATTAATTTTAATTTAAAGCACTTTTGTTTCTCAAAAAATAGAAATGATTGAGAGTATAAGGTGTATACAAGGCTTTTATTTTATTCGATTGTGTTAACTTGCACATTGTTGACAGGGTTTGGGACTATACGCTGCCAGAGACATTGAAAAATACACCATGGTCATTGAGTACATTGGAACCATCATACGTAATGAAGTTGCAAACAGGAAAGAAAAGCTTTATGAATCTCAGGTATGGCAATTACACCCCGATGTTCAGGAACCTATTAGGCCATTTGTCTATCTAAAGCAAAAGTATATGTCATTGTCTTGTACAATAACAATCCATAGTGCAGAAATGAAAGACATAGCAGTGCTTGTTGAACAGTCTATTTTAAAGTCACTGTGACCACCGATTAATAATGGTAGATTGTTCACCAAAGCATGCTCTAAACGAGAAAAATTATGGGGAAAAAATCTGACTTAAGATAAGTCTTTCTGAGCAAAACTATCCTTAGATTATTCTGTGGCAGTCCTGAATGCTAGCTATTATATTGTTGAAACTCAGCTTTGTATATGTTTCAAACAATAATGGTTGAATGGCTAATGTAGTAGCTGTTATTAAGTTGTGCCATAATCTAGGTATGACAAATGCTTTTTTTTCATTGCAAGTCAGCCTTTTCTGAGTATCCAAGTACTTTCGTTCCAATCAGTATTCTGGTGCTGGTGTGTTTTGCAGAACCGTGGAGTCTACATGTTTCGAATTGACAGTGAACATGTCATTGATGCAACACTGACAGGAGGTCCAGCCAGGTAGGACCATTGACAGGATGCCTGGTTGTTCTGCAAATAGCACATTTAGATGCTGTCTTGAGAATTTGTCCCATTCCTCTCATAGTGTTACAAATGTTAAGTAAATTCACATCTATCAAGTAGGCTGTCCACACTATAACTCACATGATCATCTAGCAAGAAAGCCACTGTTGCAAAAGTAGCAGGAGTGGTGTGTAGGATCCTGTTGGAATGTTAGTGTGTCAGAAGGTCAAGTGAGGTCTCAGGACGGGATCAATACAGCACCATGCACTCAGATTGCTATTGATCAGTGCAAGTGATGCAGAGACAAATGTCACCACACCGTCCCACTTATACCTCCCAATTAATTGGTCTTGTGTACGCTAATACTATGTATCGTTCTGCCACGCTTGCTTATGACTGTCAGGGCAGTCTACACAAAAACATTCATCAATAACGGGGAGTGGGCTTCACCATGAACAAATCTACTTGCAGGAACTTGGTCCGTTCTCCCCATACTGGTGACACAAAGGCATTTTTTCCTCTTGATAATCGGGTCATGTTCGCTCTTGTGTTTTTCTTACTAGATTTTCACCATGACATTCAGTAGATTAAGTCCCCTGTCCTATACCCAGTCGGCTTTGTCACTAATGATGTGGTTTTGCACTAATAAACAATCGCTCAGGTGCGTCCGTCATGAATAGTCAATGACAGTGATGCCAAGAGCATTTAATCGATATCCAAAGTCTCTTAAAAGTTATTTTTTTCATCTGATGTTTAATATATAGGTTTGCATTCTATTTAATGTTCAGTGATTGATAGCACATGCACTGTATCAGTTTTGGTCACAGACGTTTGATGGAGCCACCAAGCAGCTTCAAGTATTACATTACTGTTTTGAACTGAGCATTTAATGTTCATTATTTAATAGTACACTCCATGACCTTTCGTAATACATTGAACAGTGTGGTATGCTGCCCCGGCCTGTTCTTAAGTGGCAAGAAAATGGAAGCTCATTAATAATTTGTCATTCCTTTTTTTTTTTGCACTAAGCTAGCATTTGACACTGCCAGCCCCCTAGCAGACCTTATTAAAGAGCTGTTCTTCTTACAGATTCAACTGAAAGCCTGGAATCTCAGATATGTTACTGTTGCTTAGCCTAGGCCAGGTGCTCACCTGCTTTTTAAAAGACACCTCTGACTTTGTAGTCAGAGAGCGTAAGTAATCAATTAGCATAGGGCTCTCTGTGCAGGAGATGTTCAGAGAAGGAGTATACAAGTCATACATATATATACAAGTAGTTTTTTGCTATCCACTCTAGTATTTTTGTTTTAAAGAAAATACAACGTTTCAGAACGTTGTTTTCTTTCTTCTCTTTTCAGGATGGAAAAAAGCCTATTACTTGTTCCTTTGCAGCCTACACATGCTGATCCAGCTACCCACCTGAACTGTTTGTTTTAAAATTGCACTTTGTGTGTATAATTAATGCAAGCGTTGGGCAACTTTTGAGAAACGTTTTGTTTTCACAACAGGTATATCAACCATTCTTGTGCACCAAACTGTATAGCTGAGGTAGTGACCTTTGAAAGAGGACATAAAATCATCATCAGCTCTAACAGGAGGATTCAAAAAGGAGAAGAGGTTGGAAATCTTCTGCTTTGGTTCTTTGTTTGAAACCCTATGTTGTGTGCTTACCAGCTTTAATGATGATTTCAATTCAAATTCAGTTCAATTTGAGCGTTTGATATCCTGTGTTCTCCAATTTCCTTGTTTGAAGAATCCCATCCTGATGCCGGACATGTTGAGTAGTTTGTGTGCATCGTTGCACATGATAATCAAGAGTATTATTACGCTAGAGTGCGGGGGTGTTTTGTTTGACATATACCATGTTTTGTTGGTGGAAGGTATTCACAGGATGCCTAAAATGACACCAGGAGAATGACGACATGATATTTAATGGTGAATGATGTTTAATATTTAGGTTTGCATTATATTTAATTTCAGTGATTGATAGTACATGTACTGTATCAGTTTTGGTCAGGCGTTTCGTTTGGAGCCACCAAGGAAGGAAAATATTGTTCTTATTATTTCTTTCCCGCGATAAATCATCACAGGCTGTCCTTTATCTTTTTCTGTTCTCTTTGAAAGCTGTTTACGCATTAGTCAGTTGTATAAAAAAAAATGAAACCTTTACGAGCGTTTCCCTTTTTTGTTTTCAGCTGTGTTATGACTACAAGTTTGACTTTGAAGACGACCAGCATAAGATTCCTTGTCACTGTGGAGCTGTAAACTGCCGAAAGTGGATGAACTGAAAATCGCATTCCTTGGCCATCTTTTTTTTTACAGATGCACTTGTTCCTTTGGAAGAAGTGTTTGAAACTAAAGATCTTTCAATACTGGGGGGGGAGGGAAGGGCTGTGCTTGGGGTGGGGTGGGTTTAGCAGCGGGATTATGAGTAGGGTTGGAGTCCAATGTTTTGTGATAATATTGATTTCTTGGAGATGACTTGTAAAAAGGCACAATGCCAATTGGGTTCTTCATGACAGAAGACAAATTGGCGACACACTGGCACTTCAGTACTGAGTTGAGTGACAAAACATTTTAGGATTTTGGACAAGAAACCGGAGGGCTGAGCTGCTAGCTCATGTTGCGGTGAGTGATTATGAATGTAGGAGAGAATTCACCAGCGGATCCAGAGCGTACATAGTGCTGGCCACAGCCTTATTTGTTTAAAAAGGGGCAGGCCCTCTAGTTTAAAAAGATATATATAGAAAAATATATTAAAAAACGTAGACACCACTGAACAAGGAATGTACTGAGATGACTTCCTTAGGGATACAGCTAAGGGAAATTAACTTGCACTAAAATACATTTAAAATACTTGATTCCATGAGTCAGTTTATCGTAGTTTGTTTTTTTTTGGATTTCTGTAAAATAAGAGAAACATTTTTGTATTTATTATTGGATAAGTGAATGAAGCTATTTTTAAAAATTAAAAAAAGAAGAAAGCAAACTGCTGCTGTTGCCTGCAGATTTAACAGATCTTGTTACTTTGTACAAAGTGTATATAGTTTGAAAAAATTGTTTAAAGATATAGAAATTATTGACCAAATGCTACCTTAACTTTGCGGCTGTTTGGGTTGTTTTCTTTGTTTTTTGTTTTGACAAAATAATTTAATAAGGATGTCATAATTTCGTTCAGAGTATATATAGTGTATAGATGTGGTGTACAGAATGTGTAAAAAAAAACATTCACATGAAAATATTTTGTTGTAATATTGTAACCGTCGTAATTAATGTCTTCTGACCACTTGAATTTTTTTCTTTTTTCTAGTTTCCATAATCATTACTTTCCTTTTGCTTTTGTTTGGGTTGTATGATGACTTTTGTGATCGAGGCATCGATCTGAGGATCGCAAGGAAAAATTGTGACATCCTTATTCTGTAAATCAGGTTGGAGATTATAACTAGTGAGAACTGTGAATTTTTAGGTCTAAAACCACGCAAGCCGAATCTGGAAGCTTCTTTTTAACATGAACAGGCCCATCTTTCGTACTCCGATCATGCAGGCTTAAGAGTAGAAGACACTGCTTAGGGCTTCAGTCGTGCAGATGTGTTTTCAGAAATTTTACATTTGCCTTTTGCTTACAAATTGTAGGAGCCTGGCAGTTGGGTTTGAAATACAGAAAAAAACAAGGAAAAGTTTGTATGGATTGTTTTTGTTTACATTTCTTTAAGGAAAAATAAAACCAACACTGTCTGTGTGTTGACTGGTGGAGAAGTGATAACATTTTCAGCCAGTTTAGCGTTTCATTTTCAAGTAAAAAAAATCTGGTACTGACACTTCACAAACCATTTAAGTTTGAAATGAAGTTTTCTTTTGTGTGCACAATTTCAGTGGACTGTAAAACTGTTGGTATATTCAAAGACAGTCTTGTAATGTATATGGCATGATGTATTTTTTAACTTTCAGATAAATCAATTGTATATATTTTTTTCTTGATAAATAGCTGTAATGAAATTGTTTCTTGGATATTTTTCTCCTCCTTGTACAATATTCCAACATCCTTACCAGTATTTGTCCTACGATTTTTTTTCTTTGTCCTGTATAGTAGTACCTAATGTCAACAAAATGAAGCCTTTTTGAAGTATAAAGAGTGTTATGGGTTTTGGAGTTTGTGGAACCAGATTTAGGAGCATTTACAAAAAAAATAAAATATTTTACATCTAAAATTGTTGCCTGTCCTTTTATCTGGTTTTACTGGAATATACAGTTGTTAGGGTAGCGTTCATCAATTAAAAGAGGCATAATAAAGATATCATGCCACTATAAATAATTCAGTATTATTGTAATTTATTATATCATAATAAAGCCCTCTTGTGGAAGATAATGGGAACAAACAAATACTGTGCCTTCTTCCTGACTGCAGGCAAACTGACTTTCTTGATACTTGCGGAATACTAGAAAAAGCAAACTTTGACATTACAGAATGGTCTTATTCAATGGGGAAAAAATCACAAATACTATAGCTGTTTAGTAAAGATTAGGCTCCAAGCAATAGCTCTGTTAAGAGTACTGAAGGCAAAAATGGCACTTCATTGATAAAAGGTGGATATTGTAGAATTCTGCAGAATGATGCCAAAATAACCTGGTGTCTCCTAGTTGCAGAAATGACCCCAACAAGTCTTGCTTCCACCTCTGCATTTCACTTTCAATATAAATTGCATTGTTACGCACACCCCAAATTAAAGTGGGAGCTACACATGCAAATCCAACTGAAAACCACTCGATCAGATCCCAACAATTCATCAAATTTCCACCATATTGGCACTGATGTGCCCGCATCTGGGACAAATATACTGGATTTCACAGTAAGTACATTCATCTTGAAAACGGTAAGAACAATCAGACAAACAGAATAAAACCAAACATGTTCATATTTTAATTTTTTCCAGTAGGCATTTAAGTTGTCTCACTGTGCTGTTCAGAATTATATTTTTTTTCTAGTTCATTTCCAGGAAAAGGCCACTATGAGTAAGCTTGCAATATTTTTCTTCAATAACAATGTGAAGGAACTTTGTAGAAGATGGACTGAAGGACCAGTTTTGTGAACTTGCTGATCACAGTGAAAACATTGGGCTTGTGCTGGAAGTTTGAACACTTGTGATCGGCTGTTTCTTCAGTCCTAGTTTTAACACAGCAGTCCAGCCAGGTGTACACTAGAGATGACTGGGTGGAGGGGTACAAACTAAAAAGTGTTGAACATATCAGTGCTAAATATTCCATTGCTGTAAATTTTAAGTGCCTGTTAAAATGCAATTTACAAGGAGTATGAAAATCTTATAGCAATTTTTAAAATTTGTGAGAAGAAAATTACAAGTACACAAAAGTTACACTAGTTGAAGTGCATACTATTTTAGAATAAAGGAGTTTTGGTCTCCAGATCCACAAATGAGTAAAATAATTGCTAGCCTTTCCCAAATCTACTATGACATATTTGACAAAGGCTGAAATCAAATTTTGAATATCATGTTAAAGGTACTATCTGTATCCAAACAGTACACAAACGAAACACTGAAGAACCAACTGAATAATTGAGGGGACATTTTAACTATTTTTACCTAATTTTCTTTAAAAGTGCCAACTTTGAAGTGGAGTAGTGCTCGTAAGTAGATGGTGTAAAAAGTGTTGGAATGGAGCACAAGATTCAACGGCTGTCCACTTGCAATCGCCACAAAGCTGCACGCTCAAGTTGTGGCTACCATCAAGCAAGGGTCAGACTTCTGAATCGTGATGTGGATCTTTCTCTCAACAAGGCTGCTTCAGTGGAGGGAGAAATTCCAACTACAGTATTGCAATCGTAACTCAAAAGCTTTGCCGCATACTTTCTTGTATTCGGCAGTTTAGCAACTCCTCTGTACATTTACTTGGGAGAGCTGTATTACTTTTGAAATTGCCATGCACACATCAACTAAAAAAATAGCAGGAATATATCTGGTATAAATTGGGATGATTACGGCATTTTGCTTTCAGGTCTTTGAAGTGGACAGCCCGTATCATCTGGATGAGACTGAGAATGTACTTTAAAAAAAAAAATATTGCCTAATATCCCCAGATGGGCAATTGTGTGTTTTTCCACATCTGGGCTCCCAACTCTTCAGCCAAACACAGGCAAGAAGAAGGGAGTGTAGACAAGCCCTTCCAATCCACCATCTTTTTTTGGGAGCCACTATTTTCACAAGCTACAGCCACCAATGGGCCCGTACCATGAGGTTGAGTGCTGGTAGGAGGTACAGGCGCCACCTAACGCCCAAGGCACCGCTGTGCCACAGAGAGAGCCATGGCAGTTCCTGACGACTAAGCTCATGCCACCCTTGACGGCGCTCATTCAGTTGTGCGCTGTGTTGTAACAGAAGAAATAAGGTTCTTGATCCCGAGATGAAGTAAAACAGATGAGTTTATTGCATGCAAGGAACAATAAAGCCGAAGTCTTGTTTCCCGCAAGAAACAACAAAACCGAAGTATTGTTCAACGTACTGTTACAAACTTTTGGGTTATATAGTGTTTTCTTCTCCGTTTCTGACGTCACTCGGTCTGATGGTAAAGAGGGGGGTTCATGGTATTTGGCCAGTTTACGATGTTCTGGACAAATGGTCAGTTTAACATTACACCCAGGGGGGTTCCTAGCTTGCATCTGCAGTCCTTATCAGTTAACCCCCTTTCCTGCCATAAACCCCAGCTTGTGACTTAGAAGTCTAAACCCCCTACAGAAAGGATTAAATTCAAACCCCCGTCTTCACATCTTTCTTCAGCTGCCTCTTGGGGAACCCCGGTCCCCGAGGGCTGGCTCGTGATCACAGAGCTCACTCTGTGCTCAGACGAGCACCTTTAACCAGCTGAGCCACTCGGGAGGCCCCCCCACCGAAAACAAATTAATCCGGTCTCTTAACACTAATCCCAAAGTGATTCCGATCTTGTGGGTTTTATAGGTCACTTAAAAATCACCCCGGGAGGCTTGGAAGTTATTGATCCATTTAATACGCAATGTGCTCAGTTGAGGATATTGAGGACTGTGCTTCTGTTCCAAAATCATTCCTATATTAATTTAACAAAGCCCCTGCTCTTCCTCACAATTCAATTGTACCAAGCACCTGGAAACTGATCCAATGTTCAACGATTAACAACTACGTGGCCGGGGCTGACCTGAAGCGGGGCTGGAGATTTCTGCCCCAGACAGTGACGTGTGACTTTGGGGAGAAAGACATGAAAGATGACATCTATCCAGCTATTCGATTTTTTTTAAAAAAAAAACATTGACGCCCATTGTTGGGATTAATTCATACCTTTATTATTTGCATCATTTACAAAAGAAAACAAAAAAAATCTGAAATTCTTGACATTCACAAAAAATGACAAAATGCATCAGTTTGTGCATCCTTTGGAAAGCGTAACATTTGTACAGTTTATTGTATTGTGATATTGCCATGTTGCCATGTTTGTCTGTCGTCGTTTCATTTCAGTCTCTTTATTCCTGTTTTGCCACAATATTATGTTTTCTCACTGTTTGAAATAGATTTTGCCCATGACTAGTATTAGGTTTAATTTTAACACAAATCCTCACATATTACTGACATCAGCTGCTTTAGTAGAAGAACCATAATAATAATAATTATATTCCAACAGTACTAAACTGTTTAAAAAAGAACTTCTATAATAATTACAATCAGCATTTGCCAAGCAATGACATCATAAAATAGATTACTTTTAACGACAGGTGACCACAATTCTGGACTCCAATTTCAATTTTGAAATACTTTAAGCAATATGTTCTTATTTATACAGGATATACTTTTTATATTCTAATTACTTCTCATACATTGTAACACACTGCATTAATCTGTGTATTAAGAAAAATTATGCTTTTGGGTAGTACTGTAGATTCATAGAAAGATGGCAGGCACAACTGAAACATTCTGTACCTCTGGAAAATTCAGTAAACAGCTGTCATACATGTTGCTGAAATTCACATTTGCTCCTGTGTAATCTTTTTGAAACAATTCATGATTGCAGTGCCAGTTACAGAGTTCTGCTGAGAGGGTTCAAACAACACCGGTTAAAATTATAAATAATGCTTTATGTTGTTCAGCTATGCTTTAAAGAGTTCCCAGAAATAAAAATAAAACTGCAATTCTATCGTTTTAAAATGTTTTAAAAACAGTTAAAAAAGTAATTCACAAGAACAGTTTGGTCTAAGGCTAATACTGTGGCTATATCCTACCTGCTCAATCCCCCCCGCAAAAAACACAAAATAATGCTTCATTAACATGGCCCTTTTAGAAAGTGTGCTTTTGTCTCCTGACAGAAACACCATGTAACTACCGTGTCCAGGATCAAATCCAGAGACTTAACACAATGGCATTTCTCCCCCTGGCAGACTGCCATCACAGAGCCTTCAGGCCCAAGTTGAGTGTTTCTCAGTCCCAGTAAGTGTTTATGAATTATGTAGGCCCTTCTTTCTCTTGGCAGTATCAGTCCTCGAGCTGCCATTGCTGGGATTGAGAACCATCACATATTGCCATGGCAACATACCCTTTAAGGCTGAGTGGGTCAACAACAGCCAAGCACTGCCCAACAGACACTTGGTAAAGACGGTTACTCTTCTGGAAGACAAAACAAAAAACAACAACAGAAATAAAGTCACATAAAAACAAGGTTTCTTAGGAGAAAAAAAACCCTTGTGTTGGGCTACAGAAATAACACATGGACGTCCCTGTAAAAACCATCACTCAGTGATGTGATCTGTGAATCTCAGTTGGCCAAGGTGCAAAGTGGTAATTCACCATCCTCTCATTTCTGGGTCAGGGGATTTCAACCAGTGCAGTCTAAAGAAATCATCCAGTCCAACAGCTGAAAATAGAATCACTCAAACAGCCCAAGGCTAGCACCTGCAGAGCTCTGTTCCCCTAACTTTCCCACACACTTTCCTACAAAAATAACCGCTTGTGTATGAGCCTAAACAGACAATATTACCAGCAATAATTAAAGCATGGATTATAAAAATGTAGCAGATTATAAATACTTCATTAAGCAGCATGAAAAGCAGAATGTAAATTTAGAGGACTTGAACTGACATGCATATGTATTTTATAAATTTCTATGTCCTATAAGAAAATGATATAAAAATGTAATCCAGACCTACCTAACTTAAACTCACCCAAAAAGTCCCTAAATATTCTCAGTATTATTAGCAAATAATGTGGTAATGTTTTTTTCTTAGTTATATATAATATTTTCATTCAATTACAAAATTATGTAGGCAAATGTATGTTCTAAAAAACCAAGTTATTTGACAAGACAAAAAAGAATGGAAGTTTCCTTTAAATGCCACCAACGTTTGCCAACTTTACTTTAAAAGACAATTATTTATCATTTCCATGCCACCAACATCTACACGGTACTTGAGGACCATTTCAGACATTAAGCTAAAGACAAGTGTCTACTGAACCACCAGTTTTTCTAAAGAGTAGTAAGTTAACTGAGCAAGTAATTTGTCCCATGAAGGGAACTCTGATCCTTGAGAGCTGAAGAGTCTTCAGATTTGGATCTCGAATGAGGTTTCAGGTCTTTAGAAATACACGTTTTAATTGCTACCTACTGATTCCTTCTCTAGGGGCAGCTCAGTTCTAGGGTTGCTCACAATCAGCTGGTTTCCTTTCCCTGGTAACACATGACCGAAGGAGAGCCGTCACACGTGAAGCCAGTGGAACCAGATCTTACCCCCATTGTCCACTGCTGAGATCCCCCTGAACCATGACATTTCATGAGACGAGGCGGATCGGAGGAGCGGATCTCAGACATGTCCAGGCATAGCAGGCCAGCGAGGATCAGCTCATGGTCTTCGTCATACGTCCACTCCTGGAGACCCCGAGACAAAAACACATCTGAGTGGACATGCCCGCTTTCAATTAGCGTAAGCACCCGCGTTTCCGGGCTCAGCGTTCCCTCGGGTTATACAGTGCATTCAAAATCTGAAATGAGGAACCATGCAATGTAACAAGGCATCTGCTTTAATTAAGTCTTCCAGGTCTCAGTCTTCCAATTCATTTCCTTAAAGTCCATTTCTACAGAAGCTTTCCAAGGTCAGGTAGGAAGACAGCAAAGAAGTACATAGTTTATTGTTTAAAAACTATTTAGGATTAAATACTAAAAATTTGAAATATAAAAATTATAAAACACGTACAAAGTAATAAGAAAAGTACTTGTAAGAAGCTGAAATAAAATTGTTATATCTTAGAATTCTAGTTAAAGTTATGTAATATATTACAAATATTATGTTGTTTTTCCCTCCTATTAATATTGCAAAACAATTACAATGGATGACAACTGTCACATTTCGATCCTTGTCACTTATTATGGACTTAACAGAACTGTTTAAAAACACATTATTTGCCTTATAAATCATTTTGACTTCATCTGTTAGGAATAATCCAAGCAATAATGGGAATGTTTCTTTTCCTTGTGTGAACGTTTTCCATTCACCTTCGGCATTCACATTCAACTAATGATCTACAATGATCGGGCAGCCTTATTTTCTGAAAATAAAACGTAAAAATTAAAATACTCCTCATATGAGATACTGTATATTGTTGCCAAACATTACATTAGTAAGACACAGCTCGACTGAAGCATAGGTTTAGTTGAATGTGTCTAATGTATTTTTAGGTATTCATTGCCTATTGATTAAAAGAGTCATGGTTGATGTGCTCCTGTTGTTGTTGAAAGGTTAACTGATTCACATTCTCATGTGGCTGTTCTCTTTGAACTCCTAAATTGTCTTACTGCCACATCTTACAGTCTGTCTTACCTTTGTTTGTGTCTTATAAAGGAATTAACTTACCAGAAAGATAAGCATTATCTAGCTCAAACTTTGGAATAAAAAAAAAGACACCATAAGAATTAAATGAAACTATAAAGTGGAGGCATTTGATCTACGAATCAGAGGTGGAACAAGGGCAGACTGAGTAGGATTCCTGAGGCAATACGTTCATCCCAGTACCTGCTCTGAATCACTGGAGTCGCAGTCTCTCACCACCACTATCCCTCCTTTCTGACTGGGACGGCCTTGGGCCACCAGACACTTATCTACCAGCAGATTGCGGAGCTGAAAAGGAGAGAAAACAGGTACAAGGGCACTTTCAGCAATCCAGGCTAATCTTTCATACACAGTGCTGCTAAGCCTTAAAAGATTAGGTACAGATCCAGCTGATATAGCCGATACATTAAATACCTCCTTCGAGCAAACAGATCCTTTTACAGAATTACCTTAACCCTAGGGCAAGGCACTTCAAAGTTATTAAAGAGACACCTACAGGCAGAAAGTTTAATTGCAACTGTTAGGTTCATAAGTGTCAGTATCTCCAATAAAACATTTGACTCTTTCTGATATTTGCATTCCAGTACTCTACAGGGAAAAGACATAATATAAGGAATTATTATCATTTTCAGAACTTTTATTTGAAATACTGAAGAATGGAAAATGGAAAATTAGTTATTTTTCAGTCGAAGAGAAATTACACAGGATACTGCTTAAGATGTAGGCATCCGCATAAATTCAGGATAAGTTGATCCTGATGTGAAGTGAAGAATCTGTTATTCAAAACCCCATGTCCCTTTCTGCTATGTGAAAAAGATTGTATTTTACAGAAAATCAGCAGGGCAGGAAAAACAAACTGGCTGAGAAACTAAACAAATAGGTTGGAACATTTTTGAAATTTGCTCTTTGGAAGGACCTAGAATGCGTTTTCTGGGCACAGAAAGTGCTATAAAGAATTTCATTTCCCAATCGGCCTCAGTCACACAAAAGTCAGCCATTGCACTGGGCTGTAGAAAGCAAGAAATAATGATAAGGCGGACAAAAATCTTAACGATTAGTTTCAAAGGCCTGTCCTCTGATACGTACAGTATACATCAGTTTCTGTTGTTACAATTGTTTACAGCAAAGGTTTCAATTCTGATTACAAGTGTGAGTTAATTACAAGTGGTTTAATATGTTTCACTGTTCACAGGAATCTATGTATGTATATTTTCTGTTGCTATGTTAAGCAAAAAGGCTTTGTGAAAGCAGCTCATAACATGAGATACTACTAATCTGCACCATTAGATGATCTGTATTCACATGCAGCCCCTTTCAGGCAGTGCCTTAAAAAATGGAATATAAAAATAAAAAAATTCAGCTTTTTATAAAGCACTGTATTTAATCATAAGTGATCCTCTTATTGTTTCTTTAAGATTCTCACACTGGATTCTCACGCATGAGAATTGATTCCTATTGACTAATACAGTATTCAGTAAAGCTGAGGTCATTACACACAACCATCTGTTCTGTCACTGTTCTCCAAAGTCATACAGTGGATATACAAAGTCTACACACCCTTAATGAAATGGCAGGTTTTTCTGATGTGAAGCCAGAAATCAAGATACATTGTGTCAGACATTTTTCCATCTTTAATGTGACCTTGCCACCAACCAAATTCAAGAGAAAAACAAATAGATCATTATAAGGAAAAATAACTGAAATGAAAAAACCTACAACACCCTGGTTGCAAAAAGTGGGCACAACTAATACTTTGTGGAAGCACGGTTTGCATTTCTTACAGCAGTAAGTCTTTGTGAATAGAAGTCTCTATCGACCTTGCACTGAATACTAATGCTTTGTGGATTTTATTCCATTTGTCACAAAGGCATATCTGAATTGCCTGTCCTGCAACACACAGGTTTGCACCTGATATATTCCTTTCACATCGTCTTCATCGAAACTGCTTCGAATCGCTAGGAAGCAACATTTTTTAAAAAAACATTTGGAAAGCGCACGTCACTTACTGTACTGTACCTTGCCAGGTTTTAAGTTGGCAGATGTTTCTGATGAGCTGAATATTAAATCTTAGTTTTGTTCCTTTTTGACTTCATTTTCCCTTTAGTTCAACTATGATCATCTTCACAACAGTGCCACCTGCTGTTGCATCCGGCAGGTTTATTATTTTCATTTAAAGATCTCCAGGACTGTGACATGTTTATTTACCAATGTGTATATTCTGCCAACCAGACTGTCAGTGTGCATTTGATCATAACCAACAGTTATGATTTGCTGACACTCTGCAGGAAGATCGCCGTTTATCAATGTTTTAATAATGTTATATTTAAGATAACATTTGGAACATTTCTGATGGGATATGACTTAACATCTGAGATACAAGTCTCTTTATTTTTATATAAAAATCTCTTTTTTGTGACCAGCACTAGGTGCTAGATGTTTCAGGCAAATTATTTTACTTGATTATGCAAGGCATATGTAATGATAAAACAATACAAAAATACATATTGGGTTTTCTTCTCTTCCGGAACATGCTATACCATATCTCACAGTTCAAAAGCATATAATGTACCCGACTAATATTCAACAGAAGTCTAATCCTCATCCATGACGTCCAGTGTATTGACAAATCAAACTTCAGCCAACAGCTGGGATCTTAGACATCATGTTTTTTATCAACTGACGGTTTCTTTGATGGTTTATTCAGTAAATGACACTCATCGCAGTGAATTTCCAAAATAGTTTCTGTGCATAATACACTACTGTTGGCATCTCTGAAGTGTTTATAATGTTTACTTTTTTTATGTTTTAATTATATTATTTCCTAAGTATACTGTAGAAATCATGTTCCTTTCTAACAGTCAGACTGACGTCACAGCAGTGACTAAGAAAAAACAGAAAACTAAAATGACAGAGTTTTGAGAAATCTGAAAATATTTTGGCCCATACCTAACTTGCCTTTTCTATCAAAAACATTAGTACTTTACTATTGTAGTAAAACTACTCTCACTGTGTTAAGCACGTATGGTATTTTGTTTTATGGCTGGTAAAGTTGTTTTAGATGCCTGCTTTTAAAGGACCACACATAAAATATAATATTGTTTCAGTAAATGGGTGAGCTTAGTTTCACCTGGGATTAGCTTGTTTAGAGTTCCCAGACTGATTGCCTTATTTTGAAGGTTCAAAATTGGGCCTTGATACAAGTAAACAGTGCAAAACGTACATATGATAGGTCCTACTAAATTAGTCAGGTCAATTAACTTCATTATTTAATTATATGTTACATTAATATAGCCATGTATTAACTATAGCCATATAGCCATAATATAACTATTATATAGTTAAAGAATACATATTCAACAATATTGACTAAGCCATTTGTGAGCTTATTAGTCCAGCCTACACAGGAATCGACCGTAGCATAAATACAAGAACAGACATACAGGAGGGAAAGACATGAGAATTTTTCCAATCAGACTTGAAATTGGATTTTATACTGGTAATCCGAACACTGAAAGAGCACTGAAAGAGTACCAGACTCTGAGCTTCAGAACTTTCTGTGGGATTTATCTAGAAATTCTGATTTTCTTTATTGTGGAATCCATAGGCTAAAAACATCTCCCATATCTTAACGGTGCCGTTGTTCAAAGAGGGATATTGGTTCCTATTCATCTGTGAGCATCCTCTTAAAGAGGGAAACTAAGTCCTGTTTCAGTTCCATTTTGTTTATTAGAACACAGGTTCTCTCTCTCTCTGGCCTGTTAAAGTGTTTTGTTGTATTTGGATGATAAGGACTGAATTCTGGGATATTCTATTTGAATGGAAGGTAGGGCTCTGGAACTCTGGAACAGATCCGTCAATGTCTGACCTTTGTGTCGCGTAACATTTTGTTAGTGTTGTTTATAATAAATGCTCGTCTAAGTTTGTGCCTCATTATTATTCTATTCCCAAGCTGTGATGGAGGACGAAGAGCAACAGCCGCCCTTGTAAGAGTCAGTATTCTCTGCCCTTACTTATGCAACAATATAATAACAAAGACCGCAGAGTGCAAGGACTATAAGGTCACGACTTCGAAGAAAATGTTAAGGTTTTGCAACAGTCAACCTGGGGCCTACAGAACACATGCGAGGTCATCTCTCCATTGCTGTCAAAAGGAGAAAACTACAACTGGCAGAACTTCGCCAGCCTGCTGCAGCTGCACAGAACAGCTCCCAGCAGGCGGTCTGGAGACAGATCATTTCAAGGTGCCAGTGCCACCAGGATTGTGTTAATGCTCAGGGAGCTCATACCCAAACCTAGCTGTGCAACGTTTTCATATGGTTATTATTTCATGTCATACAGAAAACTTAATACGATTGTATAGTCTGTTATAGAACAGTTTTCTGTTCACATTTTCTGTGAGTTTGATATCTATATTTAAAATATTTGATTAAATCCATCAGATCTGAATGATGTGTTACTCTGAGAATCAGTGTAGTTATAAAAGCTTACAAATTTGAAATACCATACAACTGG